AACACTGCTCCTACGATTTTCCTTCTCCATCTGTACAGACAATAAAGACATGCGGAGAGCCAGTATGGAGCAAAACAATGGCCAAAGAGGCATGCTACAAGACATTACCCTGGAACCACCCACGGATGTGCCCTCCCATTAAAGAAGCAAGAACCAAATTACATGATCAGCAGAACCAATCTCAGCTGCAGTTAGAAGAGTGTAAGTTACAGACTGGTTGGCAAGTGCGGAGTTTTTTGGATAACTTGAGAGCAGAGAACATCAGAGCATCTCAGTATGAGCCAGGATATGGTCTGAAGACACACGATGCAGCAATCCGGCTAAAGCTAAGCAGATCTGGATCGAGTCTCTGCTCGGAGAGGAAGGCATCCTGCGTGCCCTATCTTGAACTCCCTGGAGGAAAAGCAGACTCTTAATGGCAAGCTACCTTGGGCACTATCTGGAGAGAGAGATTTGTTATGCTGTGTGTGCAACATGAAGACATAGAAGGAAGAAGAGTGGGGAAGGATTTACACTCTCTCCAGATCCTGCAATAGCCCTGAAGTAGAACTGCTGCAGTGCATCACAGTGTCCAAGTAGAAATACATATTTTAGGGTGCAAGAGCTTTGCAATAGCAGGGGTGGTACAAACAGTTGTTAATTATGTTGTGCTCTCAGTCTGGCAAGTGCTAAACCTTTGACTTCCAAGGACTGCAGTATTTATCTTTTGCTTTTGTTGAGTGAGGCATTATTTACATGCTACCAGTAAAGGCTCTGGGGAAAAATATGTTCTAATATTACTGATCCACCTAATCACACACTGTTACATGACTTCTAAATTTAAAATGGCATTTAGTAGTTTGTATTACTGAGACATCTCTCTGTTTCAAACAAGGCATATAATAGAATGTAAAGAACATTAAAATGGGTATAGTTTAGGTAGAATGCTTAAAAAATAATCACAAACGAAGCACTGAATTTAAAGAACTTTTGCCAATCTGCTACATTAATGTAGTACAACGAAGATGTTCATAGAGAAGCCTGGCTTCAAATCCCAATTCCTATAAACTCAATCAGATGAGCAGATGGTACTACAGCTCACCAAAATTTCCAGTCTGCAAAAATGGAAACATGCCTTATAAAACCATCACAAAAGAAATGATTCAGAGAACGTCTTGCCCTTGCTAGAACAGGGTGACATTACCCAGTGCATTCCCAAAACCTTAACTCCCAGCATCATTAAGCACTGGTCTCGCTAGCTGGGGCTGATGGAGCTGTAGCCCAAACTAACAGGAGGGCACCAAGTTGCCTGCCCTCAGTACGGACTGCAAGAGCACAGTGCAGTCCAAGAATTTGTTTTGAAGGAGAACCCTGAACCCGGGAAAGAATGCAAAGCCTCAGTGCATACGCAAAGTATTGTTCTCTTCTTTGTCATTGTCTAAATGTATGTGCTGCTTCCCACCAGAAAGAAATAATCCTGAAGTGTCTTTTCTTACACACATACAGGGATGCAGGCCAGATTTGGCCCAATGGCCAACCTATCTGGTCCATGGAGCACTGGACAAGGGCCCTCACCCTATCCCTTGAAGGCTAGCAGGAGAAGATTCCCATTATCTCGAGTCACTGATTGGAGTTAACAACCTAGATGCCCTTCGGTTGGTGTGTTGCTCACCATCAGAAGTAGGAGGTTGAGTGAGTACGAAGAAGTGTTTTGCCTACCCCATGTCCTTCCCAGTGGGTGAAAGGCTTGGCCCAGGGGAGGTCAGTGAACTGAGGCACTAGCTGAAGGAATGCCACAGGCGAGTAAAACCTGCACACAGCAAAGAGCACTGGCTGGGAGAATGCTAGCCGGCATGACAGCCAGAGTCCTCAAGGCCTTATTTTTGGTGTCTTCTGCCCCATGGAGGGCTCAGAAAAGAGGGTCATCGAGCTTATGAAGGGCTCGGTGGGGAAGAATCATTCAGTTCTCTGCCCAGATACACTTTGTCAACCCTGCCTTATAAGAACATAACAGCAACCTGAGCAAAGATCTAGCTGTCCAACACACTGCTTCCCACGGTAGCTAATGAATTGCCTCCAAGCAGCTCACAAGTAGAACTCAAAGGCAAGAGAGATCTTCCCTGCCCTTGAAAATGCTCCTTGGTCCGTTCGTGGCATGTTTAGCATGAGCAGACCTTTTCTCTGTTGCTCCAGTGAGCAGAACTGGAGCAAACACATGGAAAGTGGAGAAAAACAGATTCGAGTCACCACTGAGAAAAACCTACTAATGGTCCTAGCTTCTCGGGAGTGGAGCAGACTGCCTTAAGAACTAGTGGACTCTCCTTCACTGGGTGTATTTAAGCCAAAGCTTACAGCTGTCTGGGTTGTTGTAGTTGCAGGATTCCTTCAGTGAGCAGAGGGATGGCTCAGATGACCTCCAAGCTCCCTTCAAGTTCCATGACTTGCAACTCTGGCTCAAGAGACGGTCGGTTCTTGCATCCCTGTTTTGCCATTTGGCTCATGGAAGCAGAAGACAGTGGTCCAACTTCCTATGTGTCGCAAGCCTTTTGTTTTTCAGCAGGGCAGAAATGGGACAAAGAAAGTGGGTGCCATGGAGAGACAGAAAGAGGCAGCTCCAACCAGACCTGGACCACCCTTTTTGGTTTTGGCCGACTTTGCCCATTACCAATGCCCGCAGTCAAAAGATTACTCCAGCTGTAATGCAGCACTCAACTTTTAAAAAATGGATTCCCCATCCTTGGCTTAGGATCTAGAAAGGACTCCAACTGCATTAAACCACCATCAATCCTATCACCATGCTAATTTTTGACAGAAGTGGTTCCCATTTTCATCTGCAAGTTATTTAGCTGAGATATTAGGTAAGATTCAACCCTAGGAAAAAGGTTTGAAAATGCTTCTTCAAACAAATGTCACATCCATTTTCTAGACATTACTGCAATACACAGGAGGATGGAGGGTGGGGGAGAGCATGAAAGGGTATCTATGCGGCAGGTATGTTTTTGCCTAGTTTTATTAATGCATTAAAGATGTAACTTGATGCAAAGGCGAACCTTATGTCATATGGTGATGTTAGGAAATGCTTTCTTAATTATTCAGGCAAGCGGATTTTTCTCTCTCCCTTGAAATTTCTCTGGAATTTCTGAATCAAGTCTCCAGCAAAAGGATTAACATGACACATTACACAATCGATAACCTCTCCTGGAACATGTTATGGCTACGGGCAAGATTTTCAAGAACGATGACGTCAGAGCACCCGAGACATCAGGAGTGCTGTCACAGCAGCAATACAACAGATGCAATTTTTCTTGGCACAGCACAAGTATTACACACTGATGACGATCAGATGTCTTTGTGTTGGCACTCATCTGCCACAGATGTGGAAGTGTGCAGCCACATCTGGATGCAAAGTGTCCTGAGGCTGTATGGGCTACAGGAAGCAGAGGGCGAGCAGCTGCATTCAATGAACACTACGGGCGTGTCATAAAGTGATGAAAGACCCAACTTACCACAAGCAGAACATACAGATTTCTTTCATCAAAACCCTCTAGGTAATGGCTTGATGAGTGCTTGCCAAAATGAGGTTGGGATCTAACGCACTTATGTCAAAAAGCTCCATTCATATCGCTTTTGTGCCAAGCTGACATACAAAAGCCATGACTCTCATGCTTTCTATCTTCAAGTAATAATAAAATGTAAAACTGAGAAGCCAGCCCACAAGGAGAAAAAAGAAAAAGGAAATATATGAGGAAGAGAAAAGAGAATAACCAGCAGTTTGCACAGATCAAACCGAGTTACAGAACCTTGTTGTTGTTAGTCTCAAAGTCGTGCCCGACCCATCACGACCCCGTGGACAACATTCCTCCAGGCCTTCCTGTCCTCCGCCATCTCCCGGAGTCCACCCAAGCCCTCACCCACTGCCCCAGTGACTCCATCCAGCCACCTCATCCTCTGCTGTCCGCTTCTCCTTTTTCCATCAATTGTTCCCAGCGTCAGGGTCCTCTCCAGTGAGTCCTTCCTTCTCCTTAGGTGGCCAAAGTATTTGAGTTTCATCTTCAGTATCTGGCCTTCTAAAGAGCAGGCAGGGTTGATTCCCTTTAAGATTGACTACTGCAGACCAAAAAAAGGAATCTGCTGTGGCGGGAGCCAAAGACCAAGCGGACGGGTTCAAAGCCTCAAATACCAGCATTTTTTAAAGCTTGAAGCTCTTTATTGCCTCTATCTAAGCCTTAGGAAAGGCATTTCAACTTTTTTTAAACTGGGGGGAAAAACTGGGCAAAAGCTAGGAAACAACTAAACCATCAGTGGTAAGGGAAAGGGGAAGGAAAGGGGAAGAGGATGTGGTCATCTAGAGCCAGCGTGGTGTAGTGGTTAAGAGCGTGGGACTGGGACTCGGACGATCTGGGTTCGAGTCCCCACTCGGCCATGGAGCCAGCTGGGTGACTTTGGGCCAGTCACAGACTCTCAGCCCAACCCACCTCACAGGGTTGTTGTTTTGGGGATAAGATGGAGGAGGAGAACGATGTAAGCTGCCTTGAGCCCTTTGTAGGAAAAAGGCAGGATATAAATCGCAATATAAATAAAATAAATAAATAAATCTAAAGAACTGATTTTGGGGGTTGTAGTTCAACGCATCTGGAGAGCACCAAGTTGAGGAAAGCAGGAACAGTATATGGCGAAAAAGGAATGGTGACTATGGCACCACACAACTGTTGAATTACCTTGTTCAGCTGCGCTCTATCTTTGGACAGAACAAAACAACAAAACGAAAACAAAAAACCAGAACCAACAAAAGAGTTTAATAGCAGAGAGCCACTTTTACTGATTTTCTTGGCATAGTTCCCTCAGAAGGGTTCCCATAAAAGGGACACTGACCCCTAAAAAGCCCTCTCAAATATGTGTCTATATGATTTTTGCAGAGACAGATGCTGAACAGGAGATAGAGATTTCTACCCAACACTAAACATACCAATCTAACTCCTGGGTCCTCCACACATAATTTCTCTTCATTGCCACTCACTCACCTGACACGCTTGCCGATTTCTCTCAGCATTCTCACCAAATCAGCAATGGGATACTGAGCCTTGGCTGCACATAGGCCGTAACCTGTGAGAAGGGTAGAAACTCAAGATATGCAATGTGTTCATACAATGCTTTTCAGTTTCCTGTGAATGCTGTGCTGGTGTGGTGTAGGGACCGGGCCCGCTCCTCCTACAAAAGAGCCATTTCATAACATAATAAAAGGGTGTGGAATTAGATTCTGAGGCAGGTGGAGAGGCCGGGCCATAGTCTGCAACTGATGTCTAGCTGCACAGACTCTCAGCAATGACTGAGAATTGGAAAGCTTCCAAATCTTTGGAAAAGTTTAGTGAACCACTGATAAAAATGGAGTAGGCCTAACAAAATGAAATTGAAGCTATGGTGTCAAGTTAAGAGGGCGGACCAGTTCAGAAGCATCAGAAACTCTAGGTATTGGCCCTGAAACAGAAAGATCCATCCTGACTGTTTCATTTGCTCTATCCAGTTTTGAAAGGGAGGAGGAGTATTCAAGTCTGGAATCAACTCCCTAGATTTAAATCTCATGTCACTAACAGCCAGTTTTCTAACCTTGCTTGTTTCCTTTGTTGACTTCTGCAATTCTCCCTTTTTTTGTACTGCAAACCCTGTCAGTCTGGTCAGCTTTAAGATACTATAATGTTTTAGTGAGAAAGTCTCTGTCCCAGCCTGCTTGGAAGGAAGGGGAGAAGAACTGCTATAACAGGCTGGGGAGACACACAACCCAAGTTAATACGCTGGTTAATTCTACCTTTCCAACACTCAGTCCTATACCAGATATCTATTAACATGTTATAATGGATCAGGAAGTGTCAGATATTGCATATGAAAGAGCTGTGGCAGACAGACCAGTGATATGAGGAGGAAAAATTTCCACTGCTGTTTTTCCAGGCAAAATTCTCATTTTGTTACTGAGATGCATTATGTGTGTGCAATCTGTATAGCTCCCTGTTGAAGCTACCCTATTTAGCCCTGCCTAAATCCCTGTTTTAAAAGGAAGCCATACTTTTGAGAGCTGTCAGAAATAAGTGTTCACCCAAATGGAGTGGGGTGCACACTTCTCCTTTCCAGAGCACCTAAAGTTTTGGGAAAGGGCAGAAAAGATGGGAGCACAGGAAATATGGGGGAAACCCTGCAAAGGGGGAAAAGAGTCTCCTACCCCCTTTTCACAAGAAGAACTCCCACAAGGCTTTGATTTCAAGAGAGTGTCAAGAGCGGTCAAGGGAGTGCATAGTGCTAAGGTAACAAGAAAGTGCAAGGTAAAAAATACACCTATTTGCAGTCTCTCTGGGTGAACGGCTATTAGCAGCTGCTAAGTTTTCATGAAAGGCACACACCTCATCACTTACAAAAGATGGCTTCCAGCTTCACTCATGTTGGAAAGCAGATTGCAGCACTAGTGAAGCATCCATCTTATTTTCAAAGGAGTGAGAATGGGAGTGCCAATGATTCTTCCTTGCACTGGGGCACGCGTGTGCAAATGTATCTTAAAAGGGTTACAGGCCTTTCCCCACTCATGGTGAAATCTCTATTTAAATAGCGACTTAAGATCGCAACCCATTAGAGAGTGAGAATTTGGGGCATGAATGCCTCCTATTTTTCATGTCTGTGTTGTGGTTGCTCCATAGTCACAATATATATCAATTTATATTGATAAAACGCATTTTATATCTCCTGAAATATTGGGGAGAATTGCTTTTTCTGGTTTTCAGGAGTACTTACAGTATCTAGAGCCTACTTTTTTCTTGCTTAGTTTCTTACCTTTCAAAAACCTTGTGTGCTTATTGACCCTTAGATGTCCTGTTATACTGTATGCTACTAGGCATTTTGGCATCATATAAGAAACCATGGCACCTTCCCCAATTGCCTAGGGTACAGAAAGTTTTATTATTTATTGTACTAATTGTTACTTGGTGAGGGGGAAGAGAATGGCAGCTGGTTGAAATTCACCCCCCCACACACACCTTAATTGTAACAGACAGTCTGCAATAGATATGAAGTAAAGCCAGTAAAAACATCAGCCTGGACCCTGGCTTTCCACACTACACAAATTAAATATATCATGGAACCAGTTCTATTCACAAAAAATGAATGAGAATTCATTTGCATATATGAACTGTAGAACATGAGCAAGGCCTCATTTTACCTGGAGTGATTATGATGTCATTGGCTTCCTTTATCATATCAATTGCACTGTCCACATTCACTTCTGTATGTGTGCCAGTAATTTCCATTGGCTTCCCACCAGCTGTTGAAGTAGTGCCATATCCACCAAGGATCACGTTGGCAAGAGAGCGGTTCATGGCCTAGGGGAGAAAAATACACAACTGGGTGTTTTAAACAGCTTGACTTTAAGATCAAAAGCAACAGACATTGTTCCACAAAGCAAAATTTCAGCCATTTTTAAAATTTGTTTGGGTTTATCCCACTCCAAGTTTTGATTTCCCATAATGCTCTAGCCTCAGAATGACACAATTAAATGTGATCCTCTCGAAAGACAGTGGAAGGCATCAAAAGTCTAGTTCCTGGGAATATGAGGGAGAAAACAGAAGAAGAAACTATGAACAGTGAAAAGTTTACATGGAGTTTGTTTATTTCTGTATAGCTCAGCAGCCAAAGCTCTCTGGGAGAGAGGGGAAAAACAGGAAGGAATGCCAATGGCAGTTGAGAATCACTAGCATTTCTCTCCCATTTTATATTATTTGTATCTTTCATACTTCTCCTTAAGTATAGATAAAAGATAAAGTGAGAGGGATAAAGGAAAGTAGCACTACTACAGAGGTCATCCTTATGATTAAATTTCTACAACAGGCATGCTTGCAAATCCCACTGAGCAAACATGCAAATAAGCCAAGGTGGGTTGGCTGCTCACTGAACAACCCTCAGTCCGCCTGGGAAATGATCTGGCTTGCACAGCTTGTTTTCCCTCTTCTTCCCCTCTAGTCCACTCTGGCCTGTGTCCCAGGTTCCTCTGCAGCAGAGCCTGTCTCATCTCTCCCTCCCCTCCCCACTCCAATCCAATCCTTTTCATCCACCCTCACTGTTGTTTTTTGCTGCAAAGAAGTGCAATCGGGACTCCACTTTTTCAGAACTTCATAACGTGTAATGCATTATTGTACAAGTCAGAATGCATTATTATTACTATGACTACTGTTGTTATTAGTTGGTCTTTTCCAAGCACACACTTGCAGCTACTGCGTATGAGTAGACTAGCCCGGTCAATTTGCGGTCTGCTTCCAGTTGGTATCAGATTGAGAGGGCTGCATATTGACTAATTTATGCAGGGTTACCAGGGTCCACTGCCTAGTTTTCAATAGAAAAGCACCAGTAAAGCGGGGAAAGCAGCAAAAGCAGGTGCTCCACTTACTTCCTACCCATTACATTTGAGTTCATTTCTAGAGACTTCTAAATCCTGGCAGGGACCAACAGTAACTGCAACAGTAAGTGCTCCAAAAAGAGCCATAAAAAGGTAACAGGAGTTAATAATTTACCCTTCTGAAATAGCTGGAGAAATGTTGCAGTGCTGAAAAGATGGAGGGTACGAGAACAGTCAATTCAACACTTAAAATTAAGAGGAATATATTGGTAAGGGAGATATATTGGCCTCCTCTCTTTTTGGTGTGCCTTCTTTTGCTGCTTTCCTCCCTTTACTAGTGTTTTTAAATATATATGCAGTCTGTCTACTCTGCATCACTACTGTTTTTGGCATCTGAAACAGACAAGAAAATTGACCAGCCAAGACTACACATATCAGGTATGCTCTGGCACACCTATGTAAATCTGACCAAAAAAAATGCAAAAAAAAAAAAAAAAATTAAAAAATCACATATTTTGAGCAAGCAAAAAATAAAAGGGCAAGGAACAAACAACAATCCTTCCAAAGAGTCATTTCAGCATCAATGACGAACTATAATGAAGTCCCCCTGCTGAATTGAGACAACCCATCATGGACAAGAACAAACCGTGAATAAGCCATAGGTCCTTGTGGCGGCTTGTTCATTAAAAAAAAAAAAAAACCACTCTGCAGAAATAGCACCAAGGCTGGATGACACAACAACCCACCAAAGCAGATTATTCATGGCAGGTTGTCACATTGTACAAACCAGTAAATTTGTTACTTGCTAATTATTCATTTGCACAGATTTGCTGCCACCTAGTGGCACTGCAAAAATTAGATCCCAAATACTGACTTTAAACCCAGCTGCAAGTTACAAATGTATTTAGCTGAATCTATAAAATAAAGATAAGGTATTTGATTTATTATCATTATATTTATTATTGTAATTATTAAATTTGCATCCTGCTCATTTTCCTTCCTACCCAGAACCCAGAGTGGCTCATACTGTTTTTCTCTGTTTTTGTCCTCACACAAGCAATGGGTTAGGTTGTCAGTGGCTGGCCCAAAGATCCACAGCTGAATAGAGACTAGAACCTGACTCTCCCAGGTCCTAGTTCAACACTCTAATCAGTGAAATACAGTGAAATTTTAAAGGATACTTGTAGTATCTATGAACAGTACACATAATTTCCATCATTATGAAAATATAACATTCCAAATTTTTGTATCAAACACATAATCAGAACATTAAAAAGTTGATCCAGTTTGCCCAACAACTGAGAAACAACTGCAAAACATACAGCACAGTACACTAATATGGTACTTGCTGGTTCTGTGCTTTAGGATGTGAAAGGTCAGAAACAGCCTTCTGCACTGAGCCCGGACTTGGCCTGAGCCAGTTCAACTAGGATAAGTCAGGGATGTTGAAGGCGTACGGGGATTTTCTGGTAGAATGCCGGATGACTGATAGAGAAAATGGCAAGGATTAGCAGCAGCAGCAGCAAGGTGGTTCTAAAAAGCAAACCTAAGTCAAATTGCTAGAAACCCTGATCGGATCTAATTCAAATGTCTATTTGTAAATGCATATAATGCATATATGCATCCCAGCATATGGTTTATAAGATAAAGTATTTATTTTATTTTTGATTCACTGTCTCAGTACTTTGCTTCTGCTGGAGGACTCTGCAATTCTAGATCTTTTAAAAGTGGATTCTACAAACCTGAAGTTTGTGCGTGCCCAATCTAAAGTAACACCTCCTCCCATATGAACTTAGCTCACAATCAGATCTTTATTTATGTATTTATTTGCATGTATTTATAGGCCGCTTATAATTGCCGAGGCCTTCCTCGGCGGCTTACAAGATCTTCAGGTTAAGTCTGCAATCAATGGGACTTACTTCTGATCAGGACTGCACAGAGGGCAAAACACAGAAGCACTATTTGAATTTGTAACTCACTTTTTGACTTGAGCCACAAATTGGCTTCCATCATTCACAAACTCTAACAACTCCATTCGAAACCATAAAGGAGGAGGCAAAAGAAGAACCATAAGGATCGAAGAGGCTGCACGAAGACTTTTTTAAAAGCTGAACTAAGAAAACCCACAGCTCTTCCCACCCATGAGCAATGATTCATTCCTCTGGAGAGGGAAGGCACAGTTCTATGTTCTCCTTACCACACACATGATATAAGATAGGATGGCACCAGAGGAACCAATTAGTGCGCCCACGATCGTTAGCAGGTTGTTGTTGAGCAGGAACCCTTCGGCACACAGTGCCCAGCCAGAATAGCTGTTCAGTACAGTAATAACGACTGGCATGTCAGCCCCTCCTATGGCTGCTGTTAGAGTAACACCCTGAGGAATGGAAATAAAACAAAGACAGAACATTCAAGCTCTCGGCAAGCACATTTGTTAGCTCAAAACACTTCTGGATGGTTTTCAGAGCCCCTTGTGTACTTAACAGTTTTTTTAAAATGTGTAACTAAATATTCAAATAATTAAATAATTTAAACATAAAGCATATATAAAACACAACTATGTTATATGATTGGCAGGTTACTATTACATATGTATTTGCTTCCTTTTCATACTTTGGCTCTTGATAGACATGAGAAGGAACTAATTATTAATGGCACTGAAGCTGCCTCCCTGAACCATAGGAACTTCCCCAGGAACTGTTCATTCAAGGGTTGAATATGAGTTGTCATTAAAACATGGATTGTTGATGAAATGTGGGTTATTGTGCTGTCCAAATCCAGCTGAGATAACAAGCCATGATGAACAACTCACCACCTACAACCCAACAACAGCCCATGTATTCTTTTCATAGGTTCTTCATGATTAACACGTCATAGCCCGTTAATGCAGCTGGGTTCAGACAACACAATAACCTACAATAAAACAAATTACACTCAGCCTTTGAGTGTAAGTTATTGCACTGTCTGAACCGAGTCACATTTTTGTCTATCTCCAGGAAGAATTCAACTGAACTTGAGAACTCTGCATACTCTTTAAATCATACAATCTGAGTTGACGGTGCTCCTGAAGGACATTCTGAAGGAATTTTTGCTAGACTAGTATTTTACACCCCTCCACTAGCATCTTACTTACCATAACTGCAGACAGAGCTGACACAGACCCTAAACAAGCAAGCCCAGTTGTGTAACTAGGATCCATCATATAGGGAACCATTCCACCTATGCTTGCAGCTAGCAAACCAGCATTCAATAAGTGTCGGCCTGGTAGGAGGAGTGGGGCTGAATTCAGGATACCTGTAAGTACAGAACAATTTCTTGGCCTGCTAAAAAGACATTAATAGCAACAACAGACCCTTTACAAAACATTCTCTCCCTGTCTGCTCCTATTAACATGGCAGTATGCCGTCACTAGTTCAGTACCAACCTTCTTCAACAAAGAATAGACTGCTAGCTGTGACAGGAATTTTCTTCTGGTTTTTGTGGCCTTATTATTATCATTTCTATTAACTTCTTCTCATTATTACAGAAGTCCACAAGCAAGAGTAACAGTGCACCTTAAGAGAAGAACCAGAAGCAGCTGACTGCATCACCCAACTGATGTTCAGCCCATCAGACCCTACTTCAGCAACTGGAGAATGCCTATGCCCCTCTTTCCCAACCTTCCACCTTCTGGATGTTGAGAACTACATAGCAGGCTGGAAATTAAGGGGATTGTATTACAGCACATCTGGAGTGTGCCAGGTTGGGGAAGACTATCTTACACGTTCTGAGGAGTGTGTATCTGCCCCCAACACACATACCCAAACCCCATGAAAACATCTCTTTTCTTATAACAAAAGGGAGGGTGTTTAGAGACCTGTAAGTATTTCGCATTAGAGCCTGAATTTGACAGCTGGCCCCATAAATAAATGAAAGACTTCCCTAAATCCCTTCCCTTCCCAGTTGTGTGGCCACAACTGAGAAGCAGGTACTCCAGATCCAAAAGGATCTGGACAGACTATGGAAGTGGGCAGAAGACAACAGGATGGTGTTCAATGTGGATAAGTGCAAGTTCTTGCACTTGGGGCATAGGAATAGCTGTCATAAGTACAGGTTGGGTGACAAGTGGCTGGAGAGCAGCACTTGTGAAAGGGACCTCGGGGTGCTGGTTGACTGCAGGCTAAACATGAGTCAGCAGTGTGATGCGGTGGTCAAGAGGGCGAACGCCACCCTTGGTTACATAGCCAGAAGTGTGGCTTCTAGATCGAGAGAGGTATTGTTGCCACTCTGTATGACTCTGGTGCACCCGCAACTGGAGTATTGTGCTCAGTTTTGGGCCCCTCATTACAGAAAGGATATAGCCAAGTTAGAGTCAGTGCAGCGTAAGGCCACAAGGTTGCTGGCCGGTTTGCAGGGGATGGGGTATGAGGCAAGACTGAAGGAACTGGGTCTCTTCAGCCTGGAGAAGAGGAGACTCAGAGGGAATATGTTGGCGACATACAGGTATGTGAGGGGATGTCACATGGAGGTGGGTAGAGACCTGTTCTCCCCTGCAGAGGAAGGCAGGACACGCTCCAATGGAGCAAAGCTCAGGGAACCAAGGTTCCATTTAGATATCAGGAAGCACTTCCTGACAGTTAGGACCCCGAGGGTGTGGAATGGGCTTCCACGAGAGGTCATTGAGGCCCCATTGGTGTGGGTGTTCAAAGATAGGCTGGACATGCACATGGTGGGCATGTTGTGAGCAGAGCCGGCTGGTGCCAGTCAGACGAGATGGCCCGAGAGACCCCTTCTGACTCGCTCTGTTTCTCTGTTTCTAAATCATTAACTCTGAGTTGCATCATGGAAATGCTGTTCAGATGCAAGAGATTCACTCTTACTGAAGGATTAACCTATGTCTGGGCTATACCACATCAAAGGTCAGGAACGAAGCTTCTCTCGTAAGCTTCTTTCTGAGATGCAAGCTTTCTAGCTTCATGGATTTTCCAGCATGTGAAGGAATATTCACCTTCCTTCAGCCTGCACCTGCAGACTCAGGTGGTATAGTCCAGACACAGGTTTACCACCTCAGTGAGAACTGCACCAAAATGAGGAATGAAGATGAGCTCTATTAATATGCATGCACTCATAGACAAAGAAAGGGCAGAATGTCCCATCCGAATAAGGGGAGAAGTTACCCTGTAGCTTCCCGTAAGCCACAAGAGAGCCACTGAAAGTCACGCCTCCAATATATGTGCCAAGGTAAGCCACGATCTTGGTGAGGTCTGCAGCTGGATCAGTGGCAAAGTGGGGATACTCAATCATGTACTCTGCCACGCAGGTGAGGACGGCAGCCAGGCCAACCAAGCTGTGGAAAGCAGCCACTAGCTGAGGTAAATCTGAAATCTGGATACGCTTTGCAATCGTCAGACCTGTGAGGACGAAACGTGTCAACGGTTAGGTGCAGTCGTGCCTAACAGAGAGAGAGAATATCGTTGCTTAATAACAGAGACATTGCTGCCAGTAACTAAGGGCTTCTCCACACAGATGTTTTGTGGTCCTTTGCATGACACTGTCATTCTGCAGGGCCTCTCCCAGGTTTTTCAGACATTTCAAAGGTCTTTTCTTTGTTTTCAGACAGGAAAGTGCAGTATTATCCTAGATGCCAATGATTCACTATCAGAAGCCTCACGTATGGCCATAAATCCACTCTATACCACACCATCCCTTTATGGTTGTGTACTGAAACATACAAGAACATAAAGAAAGGTAGAGGAGGACCCTGCCCACAAATTAAAGAAACATATCAAAACAAAAACAAAACAGAAGCTCTCCCATCAAGGAGACTCTGTCCCTCCTACAAAGAAAACAGAAGATACCCCAGCAAGGAACCAGTTACATGCCTCATGAAGACCTAAAGCTGCTACAGCATCAGCACTGACTTGCAATCTATAATGCATATATTTGGCATTTTGTGTCTCAGAAAACATAACATTAAAGGAATCAAGAACACAATTACAAGAAAGCTGCTTTATGCCAAGAAAGCCATTTCATAACAGTCAGCCTCTAAGATGCAAAAAACTAAGCCGTTCTCTACTATCATTTATTTTCCGTTTCTCGGGTCTTAACGGCTTTATGATTTCTAGTGAAGGAAACCTTCCTAACCCCTTAAGAGCTGGTTAACCAAGGCTGTAACTGTAGCCTGATAGGCTGCAAAAGATGTACTTTGGCCCTTGTTATTGTCCCTTTCAATTACAGCAAAATCCAAAGGTTGAAAGATACTCCTGGGTCATTCTCTAAATGACCAGCCACATACATGGAGGCTTTTTAAGCAGACCCTGAAAGACAGTGAGGGGGGAGGCAAGTCGAGAGATCTAAACTTCCTCTACCTGGTCATTTAATAGCAGGTCAGATCAAAAGCACACCTAGTTAACTGCTGTTGACAGCATTGCAGCTGGTCTTGAAAACGAGTTTTCCAAAATTGCATGCCAAGTTCATCACCAGCTGGACATCACAACATTGAGCCTCTGCCCCCCCACGCCCCCCCCCATGCATCACTGTTTTGCCTCACATGCATGAATACAGTGTTTCAGATTGCTTTGCGACGAAGGGTACTAAATGAACTTCTTCCTTAAGGTTCACCAGATCCTCTGCTAAGAGATGTTTAATAATAAAACATATGCACATTTGTCCATCACCACATTTGTGAAAACTACATGCCTGAAATTTGCCATGCATATTAAAGGGAACCTAGGAGTTATTTCTGAGTTTTGCTTTTGAAATAATGTCAATTTAATTTTTATGGGCCCATGTCGTTGAAGCCTGCAATAACATCTTCAGCCACTAGGGCAGAATTCCCTAACTAGGTTGAATTTTTTTTTTTTTTAGGTTGAAATTTTTCATTTAAATAAAAACATACTACAAAACTAACTAGGGCATTGCTTTGTAATCAATCGTGGAGATTAATAGTCCATCAGACAAAGTTATCCCACCATCCATTCCCGCAGCTGTGGGAAAGGCCTACTTCAGGGAAAGGAGAGGGCAGACCCCCCCCCCATAAGGATGCACCATGGAAGCGGCCGTACCCAGCAGTACCAGCAGCTTTGCTCGTCCAGCATGTCTGCTCTCACAGCTGTGCACATTCCCCTGAAAGCTTAAGCTGTGTCTGTTCCGACCCATGCAAAGCTGGGTCTCTTCTCTAGTCAGAAATAACACATACAGATAACATGGAAGTACTAAAAGCATCATAAAGGGGCATCACCCACTAGGTTGAACCGCAATGTGAGAGATTTGTGCAACTAACCTGAATCCAGGTTTCTTTAGACCAGGTGACGTTTGAGCTCTGCACTCACCTATAGTGCCCCCCAGGGCCATTGCACCTGACATCTGAGCAAGCAGCTCCGGGGATGGTTTCAGGCCTCCAAGAGTAGCTGCCAAGCCCCCAGCAACTCCTATCATGCCCAGGGCATTGCCAAGTCGAGCTGTTCCTTGGGTGGAGAGGCCAGCCAGAGCACCAACACAGCACAAGCCTGAGCCCAGGTACATCATCTTAAAAAGTGAACATAAAATGTATAAGCCGCTGAACTTGCTAGATGCTGTAAACCGTGGCTTCCACTCTAAATGTAAGGGCAAGACATGTTCATGAGGGTAGGGGGAGGGGAGGGATCAGAGTTTGTTAATATGCATCACAGACAGAACTGTCACATACCAAAATGTCGTGCTATTCTAAGAAACATTTGGTGCAAGTATACAAGTCTGCACTGACTGCAAGTATATAAACTTTTGCAAAACCTTCTAGTATTTGGGCATGGCTAGAGCAAAGAGAGCTCTGTTCAGTTTGCTTTCAGGCCTTTTGCAATGTACACCACCCATAGCACAATTTCAGATGCTTATTTCCAACTAAGATTTTTTTTTCAAGGAAAGGCAAGATTCAGTGTGGCAGTTCCTAAAATGCACAGCCACACCCACTTTCAGAAGCTGGCAGACCTTCTGCAGCTTTCAAAAGGGAAGTTAACACAGCCTTCTAATACTCCAGATAGTATGAGTATTACCACCAAACAAAATGCGGGAGTTTCTGCACTGTTTGTCCAGAAATGTTTCTTTATCAGTGTTCAAAGCTGCTCTTAGGTGACACAATCTGCATGAAAAGTTGTTTCAAAACATGATCAACACTAATCATGAGTTTTCAGATCACTGCAAGTCATTTCTGCATGTGCTAGGAAATGTGGCTAGTACAGAAGCTAATGTAATTTAGAAAAGAGGAGACCTCTCCACAGCTTCTCCATGAAGCCAATCTCCTACCTCATCTCAACCATGGTAACTATGTTTTCCATTGGTGCTGACTTAAGTTTAACCAGGATTTGAAACCATTATTTAAGTGTGTTTCTGCTCTTGGGTTAAGGAGTCATTCTGGTGCTACCATTCTGAACCATTCTTAACGTGGTAGGGAGTTAGTCCAGGGACAGGAAATGCCATGCTCTTGATACTTCCTCTTTCCAGACATGGCTGATGACCATTTTGAGAATGATTCCCTTGCAGACTCATTTACAATTGCTATTGTTAAATGGGGGATCCAGTCAGGAATCTCCCATGTCACATTTGTTTTGGCCCTCAGTAGTTCTCACATGATACGAGTTGGAGGAGGAAGTTGAAATAGGCATGCATTTCATAAGACCACTAGCAAGTTTTCATTATTGAGAAATAGGAGTCCATAAATCTATTGACCACAGGAGTCCATAAATCTAACCAGCAAGTTACTTCCTTCTAGTGACAGCCCCTTTGTTGGATATCCTGAGAAGATCCCCTTGCATGAACTGCAAGAAATTTGGGAGGAGGGGGGTCCTTCACTACACAAGCATGAGAACAAAGCCCATCTCCTTTCATATGCCTCACCTGGTGTAGGGCTTGAAGACAACAGATGTGCTGAGAGGCTTCCCGGCTGCTCCTGCCTCTGACCAGGATTTATATAAAAACCAAATGTCCTTCAACTGTGTAAGCCAGAGAGCCCTGGGTGGGCTCAGGAGAGACCACCAAGAATAACTGCCTTCGAAACCAGGCCAAAATAGGGAGGTGTCTGCACTCAACTAAGCTTGGGAAGCCCTGCCTGCCAGCATTAGCAAGCTGCAGAGCAACAGTCCAGTCTTCTCCTGACAGTTCCAAGCAGAGCAGGACAAAGGCTTTCTAAACCAGCAGTCTTTATTATTTTAAAGCTGACCAGATAGACTGGCTTTGTGATGCAGGTGAAGACTACTGCAGAAGTGGATAACAAAGGGGGCAAAGGGTTAAAATACTGGCCATTAGGAAAATGCAGCTTTATGACAGAAAGTTGATTCCCAACTGAATACAACTCCTCTCTCTCTCAGTCAAAAAAAAAAAAAAAAAGCCTATTTACTTTCAAGGTGCCTATCACCTGGAATATCTTGTGTTCCTTAATTGGTTCAGTCTCTTAACCTGATGTCTTATGATTAGACTAATGATGTTGAGTCTAACCCCTCTCTTATCAGCTAGCTCACTAAGTTTTCCCACATAACTCAGAAACCGTCTGATCCCAGGAACTGTCTGGCTGATCTCTGGCTTCTGATGGAGAAATCCAGTCTCTTCTCCTCTACTTATGTATCAAAATCCAAGTCAACAACCTTTGATAGCTGCACTACACGAGAGGACCTGATCACTACAGGTTGTGAGGGCAGGAATTGAAGAAAAGGTGTTTCAGCAAATACAATGGCAAGGTTGAAATTGGAATAGCCTAAACCTGGAGGCCAAATTCCTTCCAGGGGAATACTCTGTCATGGATCAGATAGAAGAGCTGGAATTCCTAGCTCACCGCTACAGAACACATTTTGTAGCTCTGATCTGCAGAAAAACCAGTAGGGGTTAATTTACGCAGAAAAAAGAAACATGACCTGGAAAAAGAACTGTCATGCCAGACAGTGAACATCCACACGCCTAATTACACCATGGACTGGAAGTTCCCCAATTCTCTCCTAAACTAATATTGTGGGCTCATTTCTGAATCAACTGTGCCTCTCAAGTCAAATGAATTTCTCAGATAACACAAACCGGACAGTTCAGCCTCAGGTTCACATTATGGCTGTAACACACTCAAAGAGACTATATGTTTACATTCTTTTTGCATGAAGAAAACCTGTTATTATGAGTCCCTGAGAGATCTTTTTACCTGCTCAATGGTATACCCGCTTTGAAGTGCTGCTCCATATCCTCCTACAAAGACACCAGCAGGTAAGAGGTACAGGTAATTGTATTCAGGAGGATCAGTGGGGCGCTTGAACATGTCCAGCATCCTTTGTGTGACCAGAAAGCCACCTGTCCCATACAAACAACAAAAATCAGATGTTGAAACCAAGCAACAGTGTTAGCCATAGCACGAAAGTGGGGACCATTAAGGAGAGACCGTGGCTCAGTAGGAAAGCACACACTGCGTATGGCCAAGGTCCCAGAATTGCTCCCTTGTGTCTCCAGGAGAAGACTAGATAAACTCCTGTCTGAATCCTGGAGAGCCACTGCCAGTCCAGGTCAACAATACTGGGCTACATGCACCAGTTGTCTAACTCATATGAGACACCTTCTTATGCACCTAATAAAAAGGTACATAGAAAGCAAGCTAAGAAAGTAGATAGTTATACTGAAGTCCAAGACTCAGTTCCATAGCAGATCTCAACCTCCACGAAGGAGGAGTGTCCTCATGAAATAGTGTTAAGATGTCACAATGCATACAAATTTTGGGGGAACAGGTATAACCAAACAGGTTCCAAAAGACCCTCAAATCATGTTTGCCAAAAAACAACAACAGCAACAGCAACTAAAAAGAACTGTGCATAACTTGTGCAGAAATACATGAGCAAACTGGGACTGGAATGGAAAGCCCTCCTAACATTGGCAGAGGATGTCTAAGATAACTAGAATTAACCCTAGCCCATATCATAACACCTGTTCATTTTCTTGTCCTTGCCTAGGTTTAAGGACTCAGTGTTTGGTGCCAGCCTGAAGCTTATTTTTTAATGGTCTTCTTCCTGCCACCCCACTCCTAAATAAGAATATTATATCCCTTCGCTAGTACAAAGTGCAACCCCACTTTTTTGCTTCAAAGTCCTGAAGGTGCTAAATAGGAAAGTTAAAAAATGTTCAGTACCTGCAATGTTGACAGAAGACACAAAAGCAGCAAGAACAGCAAGGCTCTGGGGCAATGTTTCAGGGAGGTACGTTCCCCCCATTAATGCCAGCCCACCAACTGCAGTCAACCCTGGACAGAAAAAAGAAGTCATGGCTCTTGTATAACAAAAGGAGAATAATTCTGGCCATTAAGATAAACATCTGGTTCAAGAATTGACAAAAGACGCCAGTCTTCCCTAACCATTGGCAATGACAGCTGAAGTATATTCAAAACATATGGAATGCACAACCAGTGACTGATTTTATGGAGAAAGGTTACAATAAAAAACCTTTACAAAACATTACTTTACAAAACAAAACTAAGTTATCCCATCTCTTACAAGGTTCTATAAATCCAAGTCATGCTGGCCATAGAGGAGTGCCTAACTCAAATATCACTTTATTGTATGTTGCTACGTATCTTCTAAAGAGCTCTATTTATATCTCCAGGCATTTTCCTCAGGCGTGGCTTAATTGTTACTCAATTGGCAGCATTCCTTCTACTTTTGTTGTTGTTGTTGTTGCAAGAGCACCGCATCTTGCACTTGTCCTAAAACATCATTTTGTTTTAAAGAGCAGCACATGTTATTAGACCAGTCAACAGCCTAAATTTGTAGCAAACGTTGTTTTACTATGAAAATCTATACTAGAAAAAGCACCAAAAAGATTCTAAATGTGGCAAAATGCTTAGGCAACACCTTGGCCCATTTGGAAATACAGTTCCCCAAACATCACTTCTCTCGACATGACTTAATCATGGGTAGAACTTAGCCTATTAGCAAACAGGTCATGGTGTTTCTTGGTTTAAATAGGGACTGTGCACAGCTTTCAATCTGCAGAAATTTTCCCCTGTGTGATAAGAATGAATGCAAAAACGGACAGTAATTGGAGGAGTTACTTATGCCTTGAACTCTGGCATATGCCTAGGATCTCAGACTTTGAAAGGATTGGAATACACGTAACTCCATCTAGGATCTGGACTAGACATTAAGTTTTGTTCGCTGAACAAACTGCTTGCACTTTCATTGCACACAAACCTATCAATTTTCCAGGGCAAATAATGCATTTGATATAGACTCTAGGCCAGGGGTCAACAACCTTAAACATTCAAAGAGCCATTTGGACCCATTTCCCACAGAAAAGAAAACACTGGGAGCCACAAAACCTTTTTGGCATCTAAAATGAAGATAATACTGCATATATCATTTTTTTACCTTTATGCCATGTATAAAAAAACTATAGTGTGTTGCATCTCCATCCAGATATTTTTCAGCAAAGGCTGTGTGTTTATTTTGGAAACGTCTTGCAACATTCGACTTTTTGTTGTTTGCCAATTTCTTACCACATATTAAGCATACTGGTAAACCAGTCTCATCAGCAGTGAAAGCAAATGAATCTGCTCACGTACCATTAAACTATCAGTTTTCTTCTGAAACTTTTCTTTTCTTGGATTTATCCATAGTTGGCTCGAAAAGCTCAATAAATCATATGCTGGTGCGTGTCGCACATTGGTGGTTGTGACGCATATTTTGAGTGACAGGGAGCTGTAGCAGAGGGATGAAAGAGCCAGATGCGGCTCTGGAGCCGCGGTTTGCTGATCCCTGCTCTAGGCCATGCTGGCGGGAGATGATGGGAGTTGTAGTACAACATAACTGGCGGTTTCCCAGTAGGGAAAGATTAATCTAACCTTTGCTGGTCTCCAAGATGCCATGAGACTCTGTCATTTGTGACAACCCAAATTTGGGGCCTGTGAAGACATTTTGAAGCAGCAAACCTATGTTTGCCGCCAAAATTTATATCCTCAAACAGGGAGCTACAAGCAATCCTGCCTGTCATTCATGGGTTCCCATGTCATATGCACATTTCCAAACATGCATTGGTCTCATTCACACACCTCCATTTTTATATGCAAACTTGCCCCTCAAAGATGCTTCAGGATGAAAATCTAATGTGAAAGCCAACAGCTGTCATCACCATACCTGAGATAGCATTAGTCACAGACATGAGTGGTGAGTGGAGCGCAGGAGTCACACCCCACACTGTGTGGTATCCAACAATCCCTGCCAAGCCAAACGTTGTCACCATCTGCGTGAAAGCTGAATTTGGAGATGCAACACCCAGCCCGAGCATGGTTGTGAGTCCTACAAGGAAACACAGCATTCAGTCTCAGCAGTGCTTCAACAGACAGAAGCTAAAACGGTAAGCTTCACGACGAGTTTCAACCACCGACAAACTGTTGTGCTATGGGTGACCCCCATCCCAAATCTTCCAAACAGGCCCATCTGCTTCCATCAGTCTTAGTACTCATCTGTAAGAAAGGCAATCCAAAGAAAAGCCATTATAATATGCAATACGGAGGGATGCCTTTGAAACTGCTCAGCAGGTTCAGCTTACCCAGAAGGATGCAGTCAGACTGCTGACTAGGGCTGGTCATGGGGAATGTGTGACTCCCTTGTCACACTGGCAAGCACTCTGTTTCCATACATAGTTCAACGTGCTAGCTATGCTTATACAGCTCCACACAGCTTGGCATGGGGCTATCTGAAAGACTAGTGTCTCCCCCAGGGGGCTACCCACATTTTAAGATCCTCGGGGAGGCTCTCCTTGGGACCATCGCCTTCAGTTGCAGGCTTGGGGCGAAGAGAGGCCCGGTTGGCCCTTTCTCTACTGTCTTTCCACCAGCAGGGCAAATATGATTTTATTGAAGCAGGAGCAGGCATACAAGACTGTTAGCTGGGTTGGCTGTTATTATTATTATTATTCTGTTACTGTCCTTTAACTGTGTTTTTAATGCGTTTGTTTGAGTAATGTTTCACTAAGTTTCGTTTCAACTTGTTTTAGTTAGCTGCCTCAAACACCACTGTTTGAGCAAATAGACAGGGCACAAACCTCAACAGAAAATAAGAAACCTTGCTTTGGTGATCCGATTTTGATGCATTTTTCATTGCTTCTTTTTCCCTTCACCCATCCTTGTAAACAGGTGAACTAGCTCATCACACAGCTTGTGAAATGCCAATACTATAGGGACATATTACACAAAAACAGAGCAATTCCACTGCACCCACTGAGAGACCTGCTGCCTTTGGCCCTTGCTCAGCCATCACCCAGAAACAGCCATTCCATTAGATTACCTAAACTAATTCTATCCCAGCTGGCAATTGTAAAAACCATAACTTTAAGTACTCTTATCTAAGGTTGCTTTTTTCCCTCCTCCTTCTCCATCTGTTTTTTTTTCTTTGCATTTTATATATTCTGGACTGCTTATATTTGTTATGTTATTTGTATTTGGACAGCTTATATTAGTAAAAAATTAGAACTTGGATAGGAATATTTTATATACCTTGCCAAGCATCCAAAATCTCAGGGTACATAAGATTATGCTCTGATGGGTCAGAGGGTATAATATAATTGGACAAACAAGTTTAATCCTCAATCCTGGAACCCTTTTTGCTGCTGTTGCCACAGAGAAGACAGAACACTGCACCTGTTGCTCACCTGCTGTATATGCAGAAGCAGTGGTCATTGTTTTCCTGAAGGGGGTAATCGTGGCTGCTTTTTCTGCTTCCAATTCTGCAACAGTCTTATGTTTCACAGGGGCTGCTTGCGGAATGTTCTTAGGAGGTGGTGCAGGAAAAATAACCTTTCCATCCTACAGAAAAACAGTTATGATTTTACCCAAAAGATCAGAGAAGTTACACTAAAGAGTCAGGACATGCAACCTCCAGGACTAAATGAGAGATGCAATCTAGTTGGCAACCTGAGTCAAAAGAAAAAGATGACGGGGCTGATGCTATAGAGAGTACGGCAATTTTGCGGGGGAAGATATGTCGATGGGGGCTGGCCCACCCTGTTCTGCCATTGCCTCAAACTGGGCCTCCAATAAATCTGGCTGTTTCCAAGGGGGCTTGTGCTAGCAAGAGCTATTCATAGACGTTTTAACAAGCGAGTATCAATAGGACAACAAAGCATCTCCATGGCAATTAGTTCTCTTTCAGAAGAAAAGTACAGATCAGCAATTCGTAGCCAGGACGTTGCGCCTTCTCAGAAAATGAGCTAGAAATTTAGAGAGATATTTGAAAATTTGGGGGAACATTTGAGCTCTCAGGCAGTCTCCTCTGCACTCACACAATGGAAAAAATGGAGTTCTATACTATTCAGCCTGCCATGAGGATAAAATCCCAGAGCCCAGATCTCTCTCCCAGGCCCCTAAATGAGTGCAAAGACATTGGAATACAGGCTGGATGTGTAGGTGGGGAACAGAGGCTTGCCTGTTAAGATGCCATTTCCTGTCTACAGTGAAAGTTTAAGTAACATGGCCAGGGAGTGGCAGTAAAGGCACTAAAAGCTGCATTGCCTTGTCTGGTCCTCTGGGGCCTGTGAATGCTACTAGCCAGGCAGGTCTTTCCAGAACAGTGAAGACAACTTCTGAAGGGTCTATCAGAATCCGAAGAGAGAAGAAGCTGATTAACCCTTTCCTTGCTGGACCAGATGGGGCAAGGCTTGTTTGGGTGGGGTGAGGCTAGCATGCCTCCAGGCCAATTTTATGAGCATGGTGGAGAAATGGGGCTTCTACACTCACCAACACACCCCCTTTCCCCCACCTCACCCCAACTGCGGGTAGGATAGCTACACCAGTGAGATTTCCATGGGCGCATCAGGGACCCACCTCTGCACAGCCCTCACCCTACCTGTGGGTCTCCTTCTTGCTGGCAGAGCCACACTTCGGCCATTTCCAAATGGCCTTTAACCAGCTGCAGCACTGTAGCCTCAATTTCACCCATTTTTATTACTGTAAATAATAAAGATCTTCCATTCCCCAGTCCAAACATCTAGGCTTACTTTGAGGTTTTTCTCTCAGTCCTACCTGCCATAGCTCCAAATGGATATTTGGCAAGGGGCAGCATAGAAATGTTTTAATAAATAAAAATAAATAAAAATATTTGCCTTTAAAGGATGCAAGATATTCACATGAAGGAAATGGGGAAAATATTAAGCACAGCATCCTCATCTACCGTCCCAATGGCCCCTCCCAGAATTTTTTTCCCTGCATATAAAAGTGTGTTAGACTAAAGTCAAATGCATCTGCACTCAACATTTAGGTCTGTCCTTAGCATTCAACTAGTTAGTTCTTTTCAAGTGAAAATACCTAAATTGATGGAAGAAGACCAGGATTAAATGAAGCATGAATGGCACAGTAAAATTTTAAAACTGTGTCAATGATCTCTACCAAATACAAAAAAGACTATCTTACTCAGACTGCATTTTACTTTAAATTTCATTTATGAATTGTGCCTTCTTATGCTAAAGTAGGCACGGGGGGGATCAAGTTCTTTGACTCTTCCCCCATGCTTGGGTCCCATTCTGGGTTTGGTGCCCTGTGTCTACTCTCAAGCAAAAATGACTGCAAAGATGTAGCTTCTTGATTTAGAATTACAACTGTTTTGACCCTATGAAGACAAATTATTCAGAGGACTCTCAAAACACAGGGCGTCCTGTAGATCAGATTGAATAACACTTCCAATAACAACGTGTAAAACAAAATCTGTTCACTCACCTTCATTACCACTGTTCCTCTAACAACATGGTCCAAAGTGCCATAGTCAAATTCATCCTTTAGATTGAAGTAGAAGTTCTCTTTGTCTGGGCTTATAGCCTTTAGGAGCTTGGTGATGTTATTGGAATACAGAGTGCTGGCTTGGGTGGCCATTCTGCTAGGAAGGTCTGTGTACCCTATGTGTGTTATTCCCTGAAGATGCAAAAAGATGGATTCACCAGTAAATAAATGGAGACACGACTCTTGAAAATGTAGACAAAGGAAAAATCCCATTCCTAGAAACAAACACCTAAGAGGGACAATAACTGTTAATATTGCCAAAGCAATTATCTTTCAGTTAATGTTGAGGGATCTATGGAATGTCTTTATTTATTTAGATATCTAAAGGTCTAAACAGATTACCTACACACCCACAAAGAGGGGAAAATGTAGCAGTAGCTGTCTTCAGTGGATCTACACTAAACTTCAAAATATTTTAAAGGGAGTTATACATCAGGCTGTCTGTCCTCTTGGAAGATTTAACCAATGAATTTAAAATACTTACTTTAGAAGCATTTTGTACTTTTGCAAGTAAGTCTTGTCTATTTACATGGGCCTACTTCTCTAAAGCAGAATTTCTATGAATGATTTTACACGTAGGTAATGTTTAGATTCTGGCAGAAATATGGTCCATAGCAAAGCAGGGATCCATAAATACATCTGCAGCCTGATACCAATTTAAAACAGGGAGACCTGGGTCAAAGTCCTCACTGCATCATGGCACTCCGAGACTAGCCAACCTCACAGGGATTGCAGGAACATACAATTATGCTCTCTCATACAGAATCTTAAGCTACTTGGAAAAATGAAAGGTTCACAATTGTGAATAACAAATAAGATTTATAGATTAGAGAATGCCAACTCCAAAAATACAAAATTCAGCATGACCACACTAAGGAGCCAGTACCTTGTGACTATAGAGCTCTCCTGGCTTTGTAGTTTCAATGTTTCCACCTGCTTCAGCAGCTAGATCTACGACGACTGAACCTTCCCTCATCAATTCAATCATATCTTTTCGAAAGAGGACTGGAGCTTTTTTACCTAGAAAGAAAAGGGGAGACATGGCAAGGTATCTATCACATCCTGTAGGATGCCACAGCAGGAGAGGACAGATGTCTTCAAGCTCCAGCTCTGGCTTCCTGGAGACATCCAGGTGGCCGAGATAGGCCTCTGGTGTGAACTAGCAAGGATTCCTCCACTCTTAAACCTCAGTAAAATCCTGGAATCTGCCCACACCATGGAGGGAAAATAAGCCACTATAGTTCATTCCCCCAGTTACAAATTGCCTGATCAGCATAACTGCCCTCTTCAGGTGTGGGTTGTGGTCTTACCTGAACCCGGTAAGAATCCAGGGAGGTTAGGAAACCACCTCAGTCACTCACCTTTGCTGGGTTTAGATGTTACAACCCCTGTACCCAGCAAGAATAACTGTGATAATTCAGATGCTCGCAACTGGCATGCAATGGTAAAGAGGAATAAGCTGCCATAGGTTATTTTCCCTCCATAATTGTATGAACTCAATCAGTAAGTTGCTCCAAGGAGAACTTGTTCAGTACATTCTAGACCAAAGCTGGGAAACCTGCAGCATTCCAGGTGCTCTTGAACTTCAACTCCTATCAGCCCCAGCCAGCCTGGACAGTAATGAGGAACGATGGGAAGAATAGTTCATCAACACTAGGGGAGCCATGTATATTGCACCAAGCTACACAGAAAAGGTGTCTGTTTGACTCCCACAGAACAATAATTTCTTTAGAACAAGGTAGAGAACCCATGAGCTTCCCAATGCATGAAGGAGAACCTATAGCCTCCCAGAAGACAACATACCAGGAATGAGTGCTGTTGTGATGATAATGTCAACATCCTGGCATTGTTTGGCAAACAGCTTCATTTCGGCTTCAATGAACTCTTTGGACATCTCTTTTGCATAACCTCCTTGACCTTCCCCTGATTCTTTTAGGTCAACCTCCAAAGGCTCAGCCCCCAGTGATTTGAACTGTTCCAGTGCTGCAGCTCTACAATGTGGAAAGAAGCACAAGCTATTAGTATTTAGGGGAGAAAGGAGGAGAAAAATGAAAACCGTAAGACTTTCAATAGAGGTCCTCACAATGTGACAAAATAAGCCCTGCAGCAGTTTAAGTCTCACTCCAGCAGAGGCTTGGGATCAATTCAAGTGAACCACCCATATAGCAAGCAGATGACCACAAGGAAATTTCCTTCCACAAAGGAAAAAAACCATCTTGCATTCTTTCAGTAAGTTAACCATGGAGCAACAGAAAAGAATGGAATCTTCAGGCAGCTAAGTCCAAAGCCATGTGACCCATCAGGGCTGTCCTTAAACTTTGCACTGGGCACTGTTCCATTTTCACATAAAGGCTCTTCAGCTGCCCCTCCCCCTGCCCACATATTTAGTAAACACCCACAAGACAGCCATGCTGTCCTTGGGGCCAACCCATCACCTTGCCTCCGCCACCCAATATCTGTACATTCAGCAACTGGGGTATCAATACCTCACTCTTAGGAACCTTGAATGATCACATCCTGTGGGGAATAGGGAGGGATGACACTTGTAGAGGTCCTTTCCACATGGTCCCCTTAATACAGGGACGTTGTCAGTGGGGTAGGTGGGTTAATGCACACGCAGGCATTTGGAGGTGGGGCCAGCAGGCACAGAGAATGCACAGGGAGAAACATCGGAAGAGTTTCACTCTTCAGTCTCACTCACAGGATACGTCTTTGTGGGTGCTTGGTCCCAAAGGACCATGAGAGATGCCAGTCAGTGCAAGTCATGCAACAATATTCTTAAGGTTCTCTTAGGGATTACCGTCTGCAACAGTGCTTTTGTACAGAACAGTAGAGCGAAATACAACGCACACATTAGTAAAATGGCACCTGAACCTTTTGCAGAGTTTTCCAGTCAGGACCAACATCAATGGTGGGCACCACTAAGCACCCTGTACGTCAGCCCTGTGGTAACAAGGCCTCTTCACCGTCCCAACCTGCTTGTTCACTGACCTCTCACTCTAACCCAGACAATGGTCGGGATGAGGAGGAGCAGCAGCAGAGGTCACTGTCTCCTTGTCACCAGCTCCCTGCCTGCCCAACAAGGAAGTGGTAGTGATGAGAAGACAGGGCTTGAGGAGCAACAGCAAGAGGCCCACTAAGGGCATCCTGTGCAAAGGCTTAAAAACATGGAAACTGCATGGATTTGGTGCAATCCGGAAGAATTCAGAGTAGTGTTATACTGAATTATATCCTACTTACGCTGAAGAGGGCAGACAGCTGGTACGGTATTGTGAAGTTCAACCATAATGCTTGCTTTGGGCTAGTCACCAGCTCTCATGCCAGTCACAAGATCGTACCAAGGAGAATATGGAGACAAACCCATATATACTGTTCTGAGCTCTTTGGATGGTGAGGAGACAGAAGAAACAATAATTTGCAATAAACTTTGCAAACAATAATTTAAGATAGAGGGGCGTGTACCTGGTATCAAAGCCACGAACTACAGCTCCCATTGATTTAGCTGCTCCTGCAGATGCTAATCCAGCCACTCCACCTCCAATTATCAGAACCTGTGTGCACACAATGAACAGCAATTACATTATGTCCCGAACAGAATCAATGTAGTTGATTCATACAAAATTCATGCTGATCCATCATAACTTGAACAAGCCGGCAACTTCCATGTGGAGTCGAACTAGGGTCCACAGGCATGAAACACTACAGCAAGAAGGCAGCTAGCAAATTGATGGCATTTTATTCCAGTCAGAAGGGATGCAAGAAGATATGGTGCTGATCCTTGCCTAATAAGAGGAACTATCCATGAAAATGCTTTTGAACTGCTCCAAGGTAGAACCTGCATGAACACCTGTGAGAATGCTGGAAGATGAAGAAGTAGCTTTCTAATGAGGGAACAGTGTACCAGGTTTCTAGAATTACTGCCCATGCACTGTGGTTGGCTCTTTAGTCCCATCCATACAATCAGTATTGCCAATTAAAACAAAAGAAGTTCATTTGTATTCATCGCTGGGACAAGACACTGTTGGATGAGACAGCAGCTCTTGGCGTGTTTCCAGGGACAGAGTGGCACTGAATGGTCAGCTGTGGGCAGCAAGGACTAGGAGGTGCGTGGTGTGGGGATAAAGGGGGCAGCAGAGGGTGAACCTGTCTCAAGGCTGCTGCCCTCGGTTTCTCAGATGGACCATGGGAACAGGCAAGGCTTGAGAAGGAAGGAAGGGGGCAAAGGAGAGGTGGAAGATGAGCCCGTGTCCTGCCCAGTCCCTGACCCCATGGCATGGTCACAGAAAAGCTACCCAGTTAGAGGGCCTGCACAGACCTGGAAGGCTGGCCCTTCTAAAGGTGGACCCTCCCTCCCACAGCGGTGACCCCAGTGTTACTGCAAAGGAGGGTTTTCAGAAGGAGTTTCTAGTTTGGGATGAACTAACCACTCTGTTCATACGGAGACTAGCCTTTCCATGGCTGTAGCTTGTCAGCTGTGCTTTGACAATGAAAAACTATTTGCAAAGAGATTTCTGTGGTTTTGTTTCCCCAGAGTGACTGAGAATAAAAAAGCAAGGAAATGGAATTAATATAGGCCTCAGTGTCTTCCATGCTCAGCTTAGCCTGCTCGTGGCTTCCTTAGCAGGCAGGTCTGTTTTAGGCCTCTTGACGAAGGACCGACACACAGTATCTTGCACTGGAATAACGCGCAGGTGCTGGCTTACCAGGCTTGGGTTGCAGGCATAGGCCAGGTTAATTAGTTGTGGGTCAGGCTACTCTTACCCCCTTCAATCCACAGCCTTCCTCATTCACCGTAGTATGGCCCTGTCAATCAATTGACTGACTGCCAGCAAGGCCAATACTAGCCTATGGTGAGAAAGAGAGTGTTGCCACTCAGTAGAGTTAGGCATGATGTAACCCTAAAGCTGACACAGTTCCATGTATACCTGCCCACCCCTAAGATCTGGAGCAGAGGTCCTTCTTTGGGAGCCCTCTTTGAAGGAGATCAAAGAGGTGGCGCCCCAGCTATGGAATGGGCTCTCCAGAGAGGTGCGCCTGGCACCATCTCTTGTTTCATTTCGGCACCAGGCCAAAACCCTTTTAATTTCTGAGCATTTTAAAAGTTAGTATTGTTTTCAATATTGATTTTATACATTATTGTGATCCTGTGTCTTGTATATGTTATCTCCACCCTGAGACAATGTAAAGGGTGGGGTGCAAAAATTTTAAAACAAACAAACAAACAAATAATAGTTGTAACTTCAAAGCTCACACCTGTATCAATGTGTGCTTTGCTGTAAAAAACCAAAGGTATATAAAGTGGGGTCTTGGCCCAACCCCTCTTTGTTCAGATTTCTTGGACCAGCAGACTGCACTGATCATTTGCTCCGGCTGACTTGAGCCTTGCTCTCTGATTGCTGCTACTGAGTGCAGTGTAAGTTACTCAACAGATCGAAAGATCTCCTTGTAAGCAAACCTGGAACTTTTCTTTGGAATCCCCAGACCTTTCAAGCCCACAGCTGGGGCAAACACATATATTAGTAACAATCTCAAATGTTTGAGTATTGGTCCTGATGCAACCAAAATACTGTAGCACTGCCCATGCACATAAAGGAATAGGCATGCTTGGGGAAAACTCAAAGTTTGCAAAAGAACAAAATACTTTTAGAGGAAAAACCCTAAAAGGGCAGAACACACAAAACAGCACACAGGAGACTGAGTGCGCTCACTTTTGCACCTGTGGGGCAGAGTTAATGAAACAGCATGGCTAGAATCACCTTGACTCCAAACCTCAGTCCCTTTCCTTTATCACAGCAAGGTTCTTGTGGCTACAGCAGACTGTCAAACATGCACACAGAGCCTGGTCTGAGGGCAAAAGAGGGCTCAGTGGGATTTCGAGCAGTCAAGAAGGGTTTCCCCCTTATGCCCATCAGAAGATGGATAAATTAGGTGAACTATGGAAGGTATATGCAGGATACTTGATGTATGCAACTTGGACCACTGGAATAGTCTTTTTTGGGCACAGAATTCTGGTTTTGTTAGTGCAGGAGTTCACACTGGCTGCTCTCTTTCAAATAATCACTGTACTTACAAATAATCAGCTAAAGATCTGAACTTATTTTTCCTTAATTATTCTTTGATTTACTTGTGCAGAAACTTGCGCAACTTTCCGCACTTTTATACAAGCATTTAAGAGCAAAATACGTGCATGAACACATGATTTGCCCTTTCCTTTTCCAAGTCATACATACATTCCCTGTACCTACTGAATGACATATAGTTTACCCTAGTATCTTCACACAAGTATGTAGTGCTATTGCAGTGGCACCAGTCCGAGTAGCGATCCTTGAGCGGCAGGGGACGTAACCTTACAAGCCCGTAACAAACATTACAAGTAAGCTTACAAGTCCCTACGAACAAATCATTTAAACTAATTCTAATGGCACAATTTAGCCTGATGGCAAGATAAAAATCACAGGTCTTTAACCATAACTGCCATTCATAGCACACATTATTAATAAGCAGGCATAACCAGGACCATACGTGACTGCATACAGAGCCAGTCCTGTTTTTCTAGCAAGAGTATGCCAGTGTTAATATTAACATTTGTAACTTGAGGCTCAGTTCAAAAGATGCCAATTGATAAACCATTCCACATCCAAACAAACAAATGACATCAAAAGAAACTGCATCTGACCAGCTGAGAAATGCCAAAAAGGTTAACTGGGCTAAAAACAAAGTTCAAACTAGCAGTTATTAAAATACAAGGCCACAAACCAGAATCACTGATTACTTTTTCTTCCAGTTTGTTACTTGCATGTTTCTTCTTCCACGTACCTTAGCTGGAGGGACTTTGCCAGCTGCAGTGATCTGACCGGTGAAAAAACGACCAAAGTGATTGGCTGCGAGCACAACGGCCTTGTACCTGTTCGAAGCAGCAAGACAAAACAGGAAATTATCCGCACTGTTTCCCATTCCTCTTCTTCTCTGAATAGTTATTATGTTGCATTTATATCCCACCTTTCTTCCTATTGCAAGGGACCCAGGATGTCCTCCTCCTCTCACAACCACCACCCTGAGAGGTCAGCCAGGTTGCAAAGCAGTGACTAGCCCGAAGTCACACGGTGGGCTTTAGGACAGGGTGGGGACTAGAACCGAGACCTCCCAGGTCCCCAGGCCAACACTCCAACCAACACCCCACGCTGGTCCAGACAAAGGTAAGCAGTACTTCGCAGTAGTATTCGTTAAGCAGTTGTCGTGTCTGCATTTGCCCTACAGCCTGTGATAGCTGGACTTGCAGGACCACCAGCTACCCCTTGCTCCCATTCTCACAACCCTACCATAACAGCACTTGTGGATGACTTAAACCTGCCATACTGAACTGATCACAGTTAATGAGAACTGGTAATCAGGAGCAACCTTGGACATTATGCTGATTAGAAAAAAATAAAACACCGCGGTTCCTGCTCCTGTACACCTCCACCCTGGCCAGCACACAATTTTTCCATTTTCCCTTCCCTTAGGAGAGGCATAAGCTCTACATGTCAACTTGGTTCTAGTTTGACCTGATTCAGTCCCTTCAGACATTGGATCTCAGAACCTCTCTACTGCATGGAAATATTACATTTTTTCACCCTAACTATAGCATGTCCCTCTCTCTGGCATTCCCGGTTTCAGATTCAATGGACTCTCAAAAACATCCTTTCCACTTCCTTTTTCAGCTAGTGAATCACCAGCCTCATTATTGGGAAGAACCTACTGGATTCCAGATTCCCATACATCTGTTTAACTCACTGAAGCACTTCCCAATTTGCAAGGCCCAACTGGATGACTCGTGTCTTAGCTACCTGCCTTGCTGCATCTCCCACTGCTGTAACCCAAGAACAGGGCCTGACTGTAGCAATAATTAACAAAATAAAAATGCAGACCTGCCTTGGATATGAAACCCACTCAGTACCTAACAGGCTTGCAATAGCACAGATGGTTACGTGCTATTATGGTTCCTTACCCAGCTATGTTGGCCATGGAGCTAAGAGCGTCATATCCCTGAGCAATAGTCACACGTGGGACCTGATCCATAGCCAAGACAGTAGTTTTTCTTTCAGCCAGTTTGTTCAGGAGATCTGGGTTTTGAGCCGGATAGATAAAACTGATTAGGGTACTAGATGGCTTAAACAGATCTGCCTCATGTACACCAAGTGCAGGATTAAATATGGGAGCCCTCACCTGGAGAAAGAAAGAGTATAAATCACACAACCCAAGAATACAAACATAACAGCAATGAAAAGACACAAAAGGAATTGAAAGAAGCCCATGCTTTAAGTGTGTTGCTCATTTTAATTGGTTATATGGTATGTTAATTCTTGAATGCTTTATCATCCCCCTTCCAAAGAATCTGCATTACTGACTAGCTATGCAAAAGAGTGTATGAGCAGCAGTAGTATTTTATCATCTCAGTAATCCTAACAATAACCCTGTAAAGCAGAGCAGCTTTATGCCAATACTGCAGGAGGAAGTCGGATGCTTAGGGCCATTATGTGAATGGCTTTAAAAAGGAAGTGGACAGATCTGGGTCAAGACTGTGGCAGGGGAATGGGGGCCTTTATCACTTTCCTCATTAGATCAGGGCCCCTGCAGCTATTTGCACTGAGGGAGAAAGCCCCTTTTCACACCAATGGAAGCTTCTCTCTGAATACCAGCTGCAGTCTAGGGTGGGATCTGAATCAGGAATGAAAGCAGAGGCTGCCCCTTACATTATCATCAGAGCCCACATCCAAGTCAGACCCCCTGCACCTATTCACTTTGCTAAATATCATTTATAAATTATATACATTTATATCTTTGTATAAATATAAATTATAAAAATCACGTATAAATAAATATCATCCACTAAGTCCATATGATCTCATCCAGTTTCAGCCTGGCAGAATAATGGCTGACTAAAGTCTATCTACAAACCTTGTGCATATATGAGAGACACAAATCTTGGATTAACTAACTCAATTAAATTGAGGAATTAATTAAATACATGGTTTGTTCTTAGGTTAACCTAAGGGTAAAACCGGATGAGATCATATGGACTTAGTTACCAATGGTGTGGATGGTATTTAATTATTTATTTATAAATGATTTTTATACTTTATATTCATCAGAGCGAATAGGTGCAGGGCGTCTGACTTGGGTGCGGACTCTGGTGATAATGTAAGGGGCAGCCACTGCTTTCATGATTTGCTGCTTTTACACTGAAACAGTCGGACTGAATTAATGGCAATAATCAGTAAAGAACTACAACTGGAACATACACTATTTTGATATTCCTCAAGTAATCCTGTAAAGCAAACTAGTATTACTCTCTAGATGGGCTGAGAGACAGAGTGATGTGCTTAAGGCCAATATATGCAAAGCAGGATCTGATTTGGGGACATCCTCGCTGCCAGCTCATGTTATTCCACTGCTGCAGCACCACTCAGTGAAGACTCTGTAGTTCAACAAAAATTAACATATGATGTGTTATGAGAAGGGCCACAGCTCAGTGACAAGGCACATGCTTTATATGTGGAAAGTCCCGACGCTGGCATTACTACATTTATTACAGTTTTGAACTGCTCAACAATCCAAGTTCTTTGGGTGGTGCGTAATCCACTAAAAATAGAAAAATGCCAACAATAAAACAAAGAATAAAAATGCTACATGCTAAAATGCAAGATAACTAGGTACATATAGTAAAAACACTTCAGTAGATTCAGTCAAACTAAAAGCAAAGTAAAACAGTGATCAAAAAGCACTAAAAAAACTTAAAATGGCATTTTAAGATAGGTCTGGGAGACAGTCCTATATAAAACTCTGGCAGCTGCTACAAGTCACCAGATAATGGTCTAATTCAATATAAGAGAACTTTCAGTGCATTCAGATAGTGACACTAAAGAAATGGAAGCCAAGCTTTATCACAAGACTGGCAGTCAAATGCAATGGTCAAATACAGAATGGACTTTGGACAACTGAAAGTATGCTTTGCGATAACTGCCTTTCTACTGATAGAGGGATAGAGTGAAAATGATGGTGGTTTGTTCTGTCTAGTCACACGTTTTATAATATCTCCAAAGAAAACCTACTGTTAACCCTTATGGCATCACAACTTCTTTATGCTTACAAGAAAACAAGCATGGAAAACAGAAGTGATTGAATTTTCCAAGTAGGACAAGATAAGGCATATGGACAATATATTCAACAAAACAAAAATGCAAAGAATATTTAAGGTAAGATAGCTCTCACCCACAGCCCATCTGCTGAAACTTTCGGAGAGTTAGGATAGTTACACAGACTACAGTTGCCCAATGAAAGTAGCTCACTGCATTCTCTGAACAACACAGATGGCTTATGCAACAAGCCATTCTATGCACTGTAGTCCATGTACTATATAGTAACTGTACACCAGTTCAGTTACTATTTCAAGAGCTGTTTATGGCAACTACAGTGTGAAGAGTGGCTCCTTCTTATTCCAAAGTATACACATTACTAAGCCACCTTGGCTTTCTTTGAGCATCTTTATGCATTAGCAGCATCAGCCACTGTTTCATTCCTAATCAGCAGGTAACAAGTTCATTATTCCTCTGCTGTTTGGTCTTGCAAGCAAATACTAAATCAGTTTATATACTATACAGCCATGGTTTGCCATCTCCCTTTTCTTGGGGGCCCCTGTCCATTGCAATCTGTCTGCTACAACTCCTGTACACTGCACCTTGGAAACCAAGAAGGCTTATTAATCTCACTTGGTGAATATGTTGCACCCACTGCTGCCCAACAGCACACACAGTTCTTCCCTGCCTCTGTACAGAGCATAGGAATGTTGGCAATGAGGACAAAATTCCCTTCAAGGAACCACATCCAAAACACGATTACTGAATTTGGTTGGTATCAAGGATTCTTGATCAGTTTCCAAGAAATGACAGGATTTTCTGGAACTCAGCCTGGAAAGCCATTTCTGCAGAGGATTAATGTATGTGCAATTTGGTGATTCACACAAGGAAAATACTGGGAAAGATCCATGGGCTGCATCAACTGCTAAGACTCCACATGCAGGTGCAAATTCAGCACCAACTTTGAGACAACTTCACTTTGAGGCAGTGAATGTGTTGTAGCATATGAAGCAACCAAAGCTCAACTCAGTGATTTAGCTATGGCGTACCCATTTCCATGTACATCATTATTTCCCTCCTTAGAAACATTTAGAAAAGTACATTCAAGCAACAGAACAGCAGTGGAAAAAGTAATTACTTTGACAACTAGATCAGAAGCCAAAACTTCCTTTGTTCCTTGGATCCGTGCGCCAGCCTCTCTGTAATGATCATCAGAGAATTTGGAAGCTTCTCCTGCACTCGATTCCACAACGACATTGAAACCTTGCTTAACCAGTGCTTGAACTCCAGCTGGTGACAAGGCAACCCTTTTCTCATTCTGAAAAATCTCCTTTGGAACACCCACTGTCAATTGTTTGTATGGAATACCTGTAGAACACAGAGAAACAAAGAGCAATTATTCTATCAATTAAAAGCTGAACAAAATAACAGTCTCCTAAGGAAAGTGTTGTTTGAATGTACAATTGAAATTATTTCCATTAAAGTCATCATTTTAACAAGGTGCTAGCAGCTCTTTTTTAACAAGCATTTGGATATCTTCCCATCTCAAGGCAAATTCCAGAGGGAGACAATACATAATCATCTGGTTGAAAATGTTTCACTGATCTCCTACAGCTATCTACGTAGTAGTTTGAGTACAAACGTTTTTACAGTTGTTTCAACTTTGCAACAATCCTTGTAAATAGTTCTATTTTTACTTCAACTAAGAGACCAGCAACTTACCTGAGGCCACTTGGCAAATCCATAGCTGAACTGGACTTAAATCCAGTACTCACAAGATCAGACCTGACAGGCCCCTTCACCATGTATGACTTTAATTGCAGAATAGTTCCTATAAAGATCATGATTGCTCCAAAATATTGTGACAGCCATTTGTGACACCTCACATGCTAACAACTCTGGATCATCATCAAGAAAACAATTCCAGCTTTCCCAATCTGCTGCTCTCCAAAAGCTTTGAACTAAGAATCCAGGTGTTCCTGACCGTTCTCCATGCTGGGCACAATGTTTAGTGAGCTCCATGCTGAGGAATACTGCTATAAAAGTTTTCCCTCCCACATACACTGCTTCCCCCATGAAGAAAGAGGTGTTTTGGAGTAGCACCCCACCTAATCCCCAGGTTATAGAAATAGCTTGTGAACTAAAAGGCACAGGTATGATCCTTGAACACAACAGGTGGCCATGTGGCCAAACCAAACGTCCTTGTGTCCACCATACACTCAGGAAAAAGGGGACAGAATACAGAAATTCACAGTTGTGGAACAAAATCCAGGTGGTGGCATCGCTGACCACTCACCTTTGCTCAACCTTTTCTTGTAAAATGTAGGTACAGAACCTCAGACGTGGGAGCCAAGACTAGCTTCCGGGGGGTCCCAGTCCAGTGTTCCGGGTTTCTCCAAAGAGCCTTCTCTGCTTCCTGTGGCCCTCCCACTTTCCTCCAATCACCAATTGTTTGGTGGTTTTCCAACATACCCTAACCTTTTGGGACAGGTTTGTCCTCCTTTCTGAAAAGTTTAAATGCTTTCTCTAAGGTTTAATTACTAGCAATAAGAGTTTTAAGCTAAAGTATTATGGCATTTCGCCCACACACACCACTGGAATGTTGCCCTTGAAAGCATCTTCCATAAATAATTCAGCCCTTGGGGTGAAAGAGGCTCTGTAGCTCCACTGTAGATGTAGGACCAGACTATGCACTGTGTGTCAAACTAGAACTGAAGACACAGAGTAACCCCCATTGAAAAGGAAAATACATAGTTCCACTAATGCTTTTGTCTATTCTCAAAAACCAAACCCCAGAAAAAATACTGGGTCAGATACGCCAAAGCAGTCATGGACATGCTTCCTATAGTGTATGAACAGATGGGCCCTGCAAGATGAGCACCGTATCAGGGCACCGCCTGTCCACAGTTCCTACCATGCAGTCCTTCTGTTGAACCAAACATCAGTCATCGACTAGAGAAGCCTGGAATTCCACCACCACACAGGACTCTTTATCTATTCACATGCAGAAATACTCCACAGCTAGTTAATAATCCAAGCAATGCACATTTGTCAGGCTTTGAACAAACAGAAAAATATGGCCAGTTGTACAATTTAAAACTGCTCACTTTCTGTCTAATTTTGAAGCCGCAGTCTTATACACACCCACTGAGGAGAGCAAGACTGCATTCTTATATTCACTTGCCTTGGATTCAATTCCACTAAACTCAACTGACTTCTCAGGAAACGTTTAGGATTGCAGTATGCAGATTCAAGGTCAGATAAGGTTCCCCCACTGCCCAGTGGCTTATGCAGCTATCCCTGAAAGCATATTTCTTACAGCTGCTGTAGTATGACAGTGTTCGAGACAGACCAAGCACTTCAAAACATCTATCAAGTGACATTTATTTACAAATGTGCTTAATGAACACTTTATTAACTCATCTTCTACCTGTTATAGTCAATTTCAATTTGTGCATGACATCAGAAATTAAAAGCAGATGCAGTACTGAAGATACAGCAATTAAACCCATTTATTGTTTGAGACTACCTGCTGCAAGAGGCTGCTAAATCACTTTGTTTAAACTTGCATCTTTCTTATCTTTCCTTCTCATGGCGTTGTAAGCCAAGGGACAGGGTGAGCCTATTTCTCAGAAGAACCAGACAGAATCCTGTCCTTCCCACAGCAGAAGCCTGACGAGTAAACATCTTTCCCCACCCCACCTCTCTCTTTCCCTCCGTCTCTCTCTCACACACCCATCCCATTTACCCACAAATAACTCTGCTAAAATAAGAGGCAAATTAAGACATATTGTAATTTCACCAGCCATCTCCTTTAAAACATATTTTGTGAAGCCCGATGTATTAATGGAAAAACCCTGTTCTTGTCTTTACTGTACTTACACAAAAACTGCAGCACTAAAAGAGAAGGTAAACCAGTTTTCTAGGCATGTCAAACAGTCCAAGTTTTTCTTCTTTACATTTTAGATAGCTGGGTAAGCCCACCCATGGGAGCACAAAACAGAACTTAAAACCACAGGGTTGCATCCAGTGCTAATCTACTTAGAGTTGGCCTATTGAGATGAGTAGCACTTAAGTTAGAGTAGCTCAAAAGTAAAATTAAAGCAATGCTAGAACAGGGGTGAAGTTAAAATTAACAATTAAAACCAGGTACTATTATATGCAGAGCTGTACCAATAACTTAGTTACAGGCCAAGCAAACAGCCAGGTCTTCAGGGTGTGCTTGAAAGCACGCAGTGGTGGGGACTGGTGAGACTGAAGTGCAACATGATGCACAAGTAACCAATCCAATTGGTCATCAACAGTGCAATCAAAACATGTTTATTCAGAAGAGAAGAAAATCCTATTGACTTCAATAGATTTATTCTCTAGTAACAAAAAGGGAAAAAACAGCAGTTTCAGAACACAAGAAAATGCAATAGCACCCAACTTTTTTTTAATTTCTCACATTTTGGATATGAGCATTGCAGTTATGAATGAATATTTTCACCTTCTGTGCGATGAATTGTGCTTTTATATTATTAAATGTAACAGCTGTGCGCTGTTGAATTTTTATGGCTGGCTGCCTAGTAACTGTGCTTAGAATTGCAGCTTTAGAAAAGAGGTTTAGAAAAGAGGTTATCACAAAAACTACTTACTCCCTCTAAGAAGGAACAATGGGCAAATGTGCACCTATTTACCACCTTACTATGCCAACAGCTTTAGAAGAAGCTGCTCACCTTTTTTCAGAGTTCTGCAGGAAGTCAAAGAGACAACCTGATGGAATGAGTTGAAATGAAGACAATGAATAGCACAGAGAAAGTAGATCACGGCATTTTTCTTCGCCCTGTGAAACACACAGACAAACCTACTGCACCCACGTGTACAACCAAGTCTACCAGCTAAATCGACAATGGTTGCAAGTTTACGCCAAACAAAGCAACATCTTCACATGGCATATGATAAATCCTGCACTGCCTGACTGGTTGGAGATCTCTTACAGCCTTTACCTCCATCACTGAAGATAAAGAAGTGCCAAGACCAAGAGTAAGCTACCGCTTACTTGGGCTGGCAAAAAGGGCCTGCTGGATTCTTTAAGAATAAAGCATTTATTGCACTTGTATCCCACCCTCGAATAAACGCATAACCGTATGAAAATGGTTAAGTTTTATCCTGTTAAACCAAAAGACCTTAAGACTGGTCCGATGCCTTCCAGGTACCTTCATAATTTCCTTGACTGTCTTTCTGTTCTCTCCTGTTGTATCAGTTTATGATGTATGGGTTTGTTATAATTTGTTAGTTTTGTAACCAACTTTGGGATTGTTTTATGAAGAAACACGAGTAACAAATTGTATAATTAACTAAACAGCTGAACAGGGATACAAACAAGATTCTAAGTCCAACATTGCATCTACCTCATCCCATTAAGCAGCTGTGCTGGCAGGAAAGTAACAGGGCACACCGGAAAATAGGAAAGTATGGTATTATCTGCATATCTTAGTGATGTTCCTTCTACCACTCTTTACCCCTTCCTCTGATTCTAATCCAGCTTTTCTTATGGTATGATCTGCATACAGATTGAACAGATAGGAGATAAAATACATCTTTGTCTGAAGCCTCTGCCAATGGGAAACCATTCAGTTTCTCCGTTTTCTGTCCTAACTGAAGCTTCTTGTCCGTGATATAGCTACGCATCAGGACAATCAAGTGCAGAGCCACACCCATTTCTTTCAGGATCATGCATAGCTTCTCATGATCCATATAGTCCAAGGCTTTGCTGTAGTCTATAAAGCGTACGCTGATCTTTTTCTGAAATACTTTGGTGCGCTGCAAAGTAGTCAATGTGTATTTGCAATATGATCTACAGTGCCTCTTCCTTTTTGCTAGCTTGGACATCTGGCATTTCTCACTCCATATAGGGTAGTATACATTGTTGCGAAACTTTGAGCATTACTTTGCTAGCATGGGAGATTAATGCAACGGGCCTGTGGTTGCTGCATCTTTTGCATCTCCTATCTTCTATTTGCACTGATCATTATAATAGTTCCTTTTGTCTCTATGTGATAGTCACTGAAAAGCTGCAATCGAGATTCTGACCCTATTTCTGTCACCTTTTGCTTCTGCCTCTTGCCTCTCCTTAGCGCTGTGTTTCTTCTGTCATCCATAAATTTTGTGTCTTCCAGTATAACACCATTAGCAATTTATCAGTCAGTATAATGGGTATGATGCAAATACATGTGTTTGTACATTTCAAGGATGCTCAGGGTACAATTCAATATCCTCCCCTCACTTCCACAGAATCTTAGACAGTGTTGTTGTGGAGGGAAATCTTTCCTCTTAAAACTTAATTCTGAATGCCAGTGTTTTATTTTCCCCTGAATGAGTGTATGGCGACAATTCACTTCTATGAAAGAAAGCGATACTTTTACAATCTCTGGTAGAATGGAAGCTAGACCTACTCCCAAGTAACCAAGGCTGCTGAGATACATAGCCCCATCTCCAGATCCTTCTCTCAGCCCCACTAGGGTCATGTTCAGGTAACATAACAAACCAGGGGTGGAATATTGGGGGAGACGGGTTCTCACTGCACCACGGGTTCTTGATGAAGCATTGGCTGAAGGATGAGTGTAGGTTGCTGCTGGAACAGTGGATAGCTGCCTACGCATGGGCTACCGCATGAACGCAGTTGGGTTCATTCATGGGCATGAATGAACCCAACTGCGCAATCAAGCTATGGCTTGTTAATTGCAAAGAACTCATAAAGAGAACCCATGGTTTGTTGCTGGGTTGTGAACTGTGGGCTGCTCACCACAGGTTATTATCTCAGCTGGGTACAGACAACTCAGTCACTCACAGTTCAATGACAACTCATACATCAGCCCTTGAGTGTGGGTTATCATGAGGACTGAGCCCAGCCTAGAAGTGTGACAGAACACTGGGAGAACAGAAAAAAATACTGGGGTGTGGTGTGGTTTGTGCATATACCAATATCAGACCCATTAGTTCGAAATCATAAAATTTTATTAGAGTCACGTACCTGGTTTCACAGGTGCCTGGCACCAGAGCACCTGGTGAGTACGGAATGTCCGTAAGCATGGGGTCTTCACAGTCTTCACTTTGTGACACATCACATTGTTGAAAAGAGGACTGGAACAACTAGTAACAACCGTGCGCAGGAGGCTTGCCATGTTAGCCAAGATCCAGTAAGGAGATCACAGTGTTAGAAAGCTGCACAGCTACCCTGCTGCATAAAAAAAATTGCTCTTTAACAAATAGCGACTCTAAAACTTGTAAAATATAAAAACATCATATTAAAATGAAACCTAAACTAAGGACGCAATGCACAAACAGAATGAAAAATAGGCTGACAAAATCCATGACCTATGAATAAGTGGCATTTAGCAATATTTTCAGAATTTCAGCATCTTGTGAATAAGTGCAAAGCATTTTAACAAAAACACAACACACTGATGCCACATCACAAAAATTTTAATATAATACTTAAAATAGAAAATGTAACTTTTCTAGCCTAGAAACAATTACTTGGAAGTAATTACATCTAAAAGGTCCTTAGCTTGGTGGTAGAATCTCATTTTGTATGCAGAACTTCCCACAATCCCCAGGTAGGGCTAGGAAAAGACCACATCTAAAACCTTGCAGAGCCAAAGAAAATCAGATTAAAGGCAAGACTAAGCTTGAATAGCTAAGGGTCCAATCCAAAATAGGGTTACTTCCAATGTTCCTAAATTAATTCCAAAGCAGGATTGCAGCATTATGTGAAGGTCCTCTTATCCTTCCAAAATTAATTTTTAAACTGCAAAATAGGTTTTCATAACTTAATTTTATATAAATTATGGGTTAACATTGACATGCAGACACTAACCTAAAAATATCCAAGAGTGATACACCTATCATCAACCAGTGCCTTTCCTTTAAAACAGAGTGGATTTGATTTAAATCAAATTGATTTAAAATCACAATCAGTAAGACTAGATTTAAATCATGGGTTTGTATACATGCATGCCTTACCAGTAAGTAGAGGAACTTTATTTAAATATTCCCAAACTGGGTCTCTTTTATGGACTGCTGACATTATAGGTTTTCTCCCCCAAGAAATGAATAATATGCTAAACCTAGGGGTGTACACAAAAAGACCCAAAGACTTGTGGAATATTCTGCTCAAAAAGTTCACTTTCATTTTTACTGTTTGCCCCTCCCTCCTCACACTTAGCTTCTTGTGCAAATCTATTCCAATTCCAACAATCTTCTTCTATTCATTGAATTTTTTGAAACCTAGCATTTAAGAGGTAAGGGATTGATTCTGTGTATATAGAATTGCAAAGGAACAATGGGATTAAGGTCTTTTTTCAACTCAGTATGAAAAAATGTTTCATAACATTTTTGCTCTGAAGAAGAGGCATGTGATCTCTGCAGACACAAATTCAGTTCTGAGAACTATAAAACCAAGCATCTGTGACTGTATCTTCTAGACAGATAAACTGCCCAATAATCTTACAGAAACCTCTGGAAGAGCATGACATTGTGAAAAGATTAATAGAATGAATTTACCAAAACATCTAAGCATTGCAAGAATATAAAGACTTATGCTACATGATTAAAAACTAATCCTTATTTCACGATGAATAACCTTTGGGCTATAATGCATCTTAAATAGAAAGCTACCTTTAGATAGATTTTTTTCTCAAAAAGCATTTTATTATTAAAAATCCAATTTAATTTTTAAAAATCCATTTTTAATTTTTTTAATCATTGATTTTCATCCACCCTGCTTTAAAAAGACTTGCGGTGAATTCTAACAGCACTGAGAATTTTACTAGTGTTTTCATTGGGATTTAGATATCATTATTACAGGCAAGCTTGTAAGTCCAGCAGCCTTCATTTATGATGTTCTTCCCTTGAAAACAAAGATAATAAAAGTCTACTGCATGGATGAAAATGAAGACTAGCAAAAAGAATTTTCAGAAGGCCAAATTGAACGCAGCTGATAACCTATGACACAGATTTGTTAAGTTACACTCCATGCTAAACTAAAGCAACATGCCAGCAATACAGATATTTCATAGTATTAGTACCAGCTAATAACACATGGCTCATAAATTAGTGCCTTTTTCCGATGAAAACTAAACTAGCTTTACTGCACCATGGTAACATTTAAAAGATAAAAATAGAACACACAGAAGGCCTGGATGGTCTCATTCTGACATAAGTTAATCTAATAAAAGATTCACTGTTTGGAGAAGAAATAAAGCAGCAACTAAATTTAGCAGCACATAAACATGCAGAGATACACAGTTAATTTTATGCCCATATATGATTAATAACACCTAATGGGGAAAATTCACTCAGCCAAACACGTGATCATGCTAAATTCACAGCTGAAATAAAGGCAATTTTTCCAATATTTTCTTTTTTTAAAAAGGGGAAAGATTGAAAAATGATCCCAGTTACAAAGCTATGCAATAAACAGAAAGGAGACACAGGAATAAGTTGCTCAAGTCAACTCTTTCTCCAGTTTGATATATAAGTAACAATGTTTCCAGCAAGCATAGTTTCTAAGGAAATTGCCAAAAATAGAAAGCACTGTATGCCACGTACTCAGATATTTAGAATGCTTAAGAAATATGCTTCCTCAGAAAGAAAGAAAATTAGTGTCATTAGTGATCCCCCTTTGCACTCAGAGATGAACAGCTGCCAGATAAAAGTGCCCCTTTAAATGAATAACCCGTATTAGTGCCCCTGACTACCCAAGCATTACCACGTCTGCAAGAAATGCAAGAAGCTGGAATCCCATTCATTAGCTGATTCCAATTGGCTGTCTGCTGAGGGCAGTGCTGTGCATAATTTGCACCAGACACACACGATTGGATACAACTACTTCTCAGTCTCCCACTGGAGTCAAGTTCATTCATTGAGGGAAGGACTTAAGCTGCAGGAGTCAGGAGCACTTAATTTATGTGGCATGCTGTCACTGTCCAATCACCTACCAAGGCACACAGTTTCAAGTAATCCTACTTACTAACCCCTGGAACTTGAACTAGAAATCTGAACTCCAATGCTAGCCATAGATTTGTTCACTATTATTACTTGTTTTTGTCCTTGACTGAGTTGCAGCTTAAGCAAGTTATTTTCCGCTCAGGCAAATTTAAAGTTGATGGAGAGGGGGTTTAATTTATGGAGTCTAATATAGTTATTCAGCATTCAATGTCTGTATTTCAATAGCTAAATCCTTTGAAAAAATGCATAGAATTGCAGTCTAAATCCCATCTTCTAGCATCCATGAACATAGATCACCAACTCAAAAATGCATGTCTCACTATGTAGTCTCCAAAAGAATATTCAGCTGGCTTCTTTTCATGCCCTTGCTGTACAATCCTGGAAGAAATATGCTATCTTCAAAGAAGGCTCCCAGCCAGTTCCAAAGATCAAATTAAGGAAGCAGGCAGAATACCAATTTTCAGGGTTAACAGCTACTGAAGACCAACCTATCCAAACTACTGGGGGCCACATGTCGGGAAACCTTGAGCCGATTCCAGATCTTTGGTGTGAATTCTCAACGGCTCTAAGAGACAAAGCCCCTCATCATGATTTATTGGCATGTAGAGCTGATGGTCCACACCAGGTGAAAACCAGCACCTCAAACTATCTCTAGAGGATCACAGCAAGCTATGCTATAAAAGGGCTGCTGCACTCCTGAACTGCATTGGCTGCAGCTCCAAACACGCTTCCTTGGAGTATTCAGCAAGGCACAAGGCCTCAAAAATTCCTCCCAAGGAGAATTTGGAGGGTTACACCTCAACTAATGTTAAAGGAGTGCTGTCAGACAACATTTTCATTGGGTGATCATCCTATCCTATTCACAGAATTGTATAAAGGCAGCAACATCATCATCTTTGATTCATAACTTCTTAGATTTTCCCACTACTTCTACACTGTTTGCCACAGAGGGAAAAATTGCATAGGTGTACGATGCATTTTAACCGGTAGTGCCAGCTGTCTGTTAGTACTTGTTTTATGTACAAAGGATGGCTTAAATCATCTTTAAAGCAGACTCTAAAAGGCAGCCTTATGTAACAATAATGCTAGTAATTGTATTAATATAAGAGAGTCAGGTAGACTGCCCTTTGGTGCAACTTCCCACAAGCAGATTCAGGGCTTTTGAAGTCATGTGGGAAAAAAGCAACTCTGAATTCTTTAACCACACTTCTCAGGTGAGCTCCCAGGTGCTCACCAGAACCCCACACCTTCCCCAGTCCTTCGCCACTAAAAGGGGATGCTGCAAGGCTCAGCCAAGGTCATTTCCTCCATTCCCACTGCACATTTGACCTCCACGTAGGAAGGTGGCAGGCAGCAATGTTGACTTTACCAACTATTGACAAAAAGCTGGTTCTCACCAGCACACAACTTTTTCCCCACACGATATTAAAGCATAATTGCTTCAGCCGCCAGATGCCATAAAATGCATTCCTTCTCCTTAGAAGATATACTGGGTCTATGTATATTGCCTAGCAGTGCCAGCTTCTACTTGTTCTCAGTTTTCAGCCGGTTTCAAGGCGCGCAGGCAAAAGAGGCCGGACTCCCACAATGTCACAGACCCTCAGTAAGTTTCGGCAGCCTTCCCCAACCGGGTGCCCTCCAGATGTGCTGGACTGTGGCCCGGCTGGAGGGCTTTTCGCCTTAAAGGCACTGAGGGAAAGGAGCTTCCTCGCAAGTAACCCGAACACCGCCTTGCTCAGCCGAATCTGCCGAGGGTGAACAATGGGAAGCAGCGGCGTCCCTTCCCACTTCCTCGTCCCCGTTAACTTCGGCGGGCCTATTCAGAAAGAGTTCTGCGACGCCCCCCCGCCCCGCTGCCAAAAGTATTCATCGGCTTGGGAGGGGAGGAAAATTGGAAGAAGGGTGGAACTCGGTCCCCGTCAGGAGGAAGGCGCAAAGCAATGAAGATCCCTTTCTCGAGCGCCCGCCTGCCTGCCTGCCTGCCGACCTACCTACCCATCCACCCCCGCTTTAGGCGCCACTGAAGGATGCCAAGATAAATGGGAACGGTTCTAACCCTTCCCCGCACAGTTGCATCCATTCGCGTCGGAAATGTAAAGGTAAAAAGGGCAACTGCTGAATCTTGAGCCCCTGCTCCAGGGCAACCACGACCGGCAGACAGGCATGCAAGCAAGCAAGCAAGCAAGGGCCGGTCTTTTTCGCCACTTCCCGAGTCCCATGGCGAAAGGGAGTGAGCAGGGGGAAGCGACAGCTGCAGCCACCTACCGCCCTTTGTGCCCTGCCGGCTGGTCTCGCGTGCAAGCCGCCGCCGCGCTGACCTTCCCAACTCGCCGGGGCCGGCGCGGGACGGGAAGCAGGGTGCACAAGCCAGCGCGAGGCCCCAGCCAAATGGGCGGGGCGCGAGCCCTCCGGCAACCCAGAACTGGAGGGAGAGCAGACGAGCTTGCAAAATACACAGCCGCAGCAAGCCTGCCTAGGTAGGACGGGGGAGGGCACGTGACCAGGGGCCGCTGCTCGCTTCTCTCGACACAAGGGGGCGGCAGAGGGTCTCGGCGGCGTGACGGCCCTTGCGCGATCGCGCATGGGCGGGCTCGGCGCTTTTGGAGAGCGGCGCGGGGAAACGTGTGAATGCCTTGCCGTCCTTTCCCTGCGAGGCCAGAGCGGGAAAGCGGCTGTGAGGAATGCTTAGGGAGGAAGGCGGTTAGTTGCGAAGGCCGTGCGCTGCTCTTTATTTGCGGTGCCCTCCCTCTCCTTTTGTTCCCGTCCGAGCGTGTTACGGCTTGTCCAACGTCCTGCAAGTTTGCAAAGTCGCTGCGATAAAGGCTCTGCTGACCGAGGATCATGGAAATTGCAGTTAGCACATCTGGAGGTTACCAGCTTTGGAAACGCTGGCACAGAAGCAAGTTAAGTAGGATACAATTAAAAATCTTGTATGTGTCATAGAAATTATTCACCATTAATTTCAACTGGCAGTTAAGGGAGTCTTTCCTGTCTATTCAAGTTGAAAGGCAAGTAAGCTGTATGACAGGGATGGGGGGCGTGTGTCCTCGATGTTTACCACATTTTCCTGTTGGTTATCCTGGCCCACGGTGGGCTGCTGAGCACTACCGATCTATCCGTTTTATGATGTGCATGGCCTAAGGTTGTCTAAGTTCCAAAAATAAGCATGACTCAAAATATAGCTTTAAGTATGAAACTGTCAAGCTGCCATTTTTGTCAGATGTTTTAAGAACATTCAAACATTTCTTAACTACTTTTTATTCTCCCCAAGTAGGGTACATGTAATAAAATGCAGTAACATTTCTTTCAGTTTCGTATGTAAATATTGCCAATAATAGTTGTTCCAGATTCTGATCATGACTCACCTTGGAAGGGTGAGAGAAAGGTAGAGGAGAAAACAGTGCTGCCTTGCCACTAGAAGGGCTGCAATACAAAGTACTCTTTTGCAAAGGAGGCTTGTTAACATCAGTGGAGTGTTATTCCACATAAGCATACATTGGAATGAAAAGTCCTCACCCTGGAGGGTGTTCATTCTGACTATACTTTACAAGTGCAATGCATGTTTAGGAAGAGGTGTTTTCCTTTGTTTTCCTCCTCCCTTTGCATCCCCTCTTTTTCCTTCCACGTCTTGTCTTGTAAATAGCAAGCAATGCTTGCATTGTTTGTGACTGAGCTCATGTAATCTGCTATGAGAGACTTCTCAGCTGAAAAGGATGATGCGCATGTTTAAAATAAATGTTAAGCTCAATGCCAGAAGGTTACCAGTAGCTAGAGCCATAACTGGTGGCACAGGAATTGCACCAACTAGCATTCCTATCTCCACACTACAGAGTAATATATACTGGTGCTGGTAGCAGTTGCCTTTCCACTCAACAGGGTGAGTTTTGCAAGCTGCTTTGAGTACTTCCTTGGAATTAAAGGTGGGATATAAATTTTCGAATACATCCCTCTTTGAAAATATTGCCAGCAATGGTTAGTCTGTTAACTTCTTTTGGTGAAAAGTGATTCCAAATCAATATTTAATAAGTTTTCTTGCACACTGACCAGTTTGCAGCTCTTTGACCTTCCATTAGTATCCCTAACAAATAGTAACATAATGCAGTCAGGAAACAGATGACACAAGTTTGCTGGGAGTGTACAATCAAAAGAATATTTGCAATTTATTCAGATAGATGGAAAATACATGCAGCATGTAGGTAGCCCACCCCCTCCTCAGCAACTACAAAAATGGGTAGTTAATCATTAAGTACACAGTTTGGCAGAAGGTGTGGGATCATAGGCAGTTTGCTAGAGGTACATGAGAGTAAAACAAAAGGGTTGAATAGACTAAGACTAAAACAACCCAAAAGAAAGAACTTTCAGGAAAGGCAAGTATAAGGAGTACAAGACCTTCAACATGGTTTTTTGACCGTATCAGCATCCTTCCTTAAGTCTCAAGCTGTTCTACAGTGTCAGGCTTTCAGCCCCCATTTTATGACAAGTTTTGCTTATTTTGGACCGATAGTAGTTTGTGGTGTGTGTGCACATGTTGTCAAGGGAGTGAACACAGGCACGCTGGGAGTGTAAAGTCAAAAGAGCAATACAGTTTATTCAGACATAGAGGAAAGGTATGAAGTGGGTAAGCAGCCCTGAAAGGTGTTAAAAGGGTCTTCAAAGATTGGATCTGTACGGGATGCTGTTATAGCCTAACAATTATGTACACCGTTTGTAGGAGGAATGGGGCTGGGAAGTCAATGTGCAAGTGTCACATGAAAGTGGATACAAAAGGGTTGCATGGATCAACACATGGGGCCAAAAAAGAAGACGTTTCAGAACAGGCAAATATTAGCATATGTATACAGGAAAAAGGAACAACATGGTTTCCTGTTTAGATCAGGATTCCCTCTTAACAGTCAAATCGTTCTCCTCCCTTTCAGCCTTTATGTGGCGATCTCGTGGTGAGAACTTTGGCTCCTTTAGTCCCGACAGAATCCTTGAAGTCCCTTCCCACTCTGTCATTCTACGAATATTGTTGTAGAGAATCAGCTGCCTGAAGCGCCAGTGGATGCACAGAGCCTGTTTGCTACGCGCTTCCAAACGTTCAAGGTCCAAATATTCAAGGACGGGCGGGGGGGGCTCCTTTCCCTCAGCCCCCCGCAAGTGTGTTGCCTTGAGTTGCCTCGGCGGCACGGGCCAAGCACGGAGAGGCCTCCGGGCCGCTTGAGGCGCTGTGAGGCAGATTGGAGACCGCCAAGGGAGGTAGGAGGAGGAACTCCTCGCTCATTTTGTGCATGTGACGAGCCAAAGAGAGCGGGAGGGGGCTGAAAGTACGGCGGGGCTCGGTTGCGGCGGGAGGGTGTCGCCGGCGCCTGGCGGGCCGGAACCCGCTGCCCTCGGCCCAGGACGACTCCCGTCCCTTCATGAGGAAGGGGAGGGCCTGAGGCCGACATGTCTGACAACGGCTTTGACCGGGCGCCCGGTGCGGGTCGAGGCCGAGGGGGAGGCGCCCCTCTGCCTCCCGAGAGTGGGGCCCGCCTGGGGATGAGCGGCAGCTTCGGGGCGTCCGAGCAGCTCCTCAAGCAGGGCTCGGCGCACCACCAGGAGCCGCTCCGGCCGCCCAAGACGGCGCCGCCGGGAACAAACGTCGCCTCAGGTAAAGCGCGGCGCCGCTGCCCGGCCCGCTTTCGCCCCGCAAGTTTTTTCCCTCCTCGCGTTGCTACTTGGCAGAGGAACCGGGGAGGGCGAGCGCGGCGCCTGCCCACAAATCGCCGAGCCGCGACTCCGAGGCCGGCCCGTCGGGAACCTTCTTTTCCGTTTGCGTAGTTACCCGGGGATCAGACCCTGTAAGAAAAAGGGCTCTCCCCGCCATCCCTCCCTCTCCCCCCCGCCACGACGAATTTGGGGTCACGCAGGAGTGCCATTGGGAGAGGCTTGGGGGAAGGGAGCCGTTGCCCTCTGTTTTATACCGATTTGGGGTCTAACACCATTCACCCCTATCAAACGCACCTTTATTTCTGGCCAACTGCACGGACTGAACAGAGGGTGACAATTATTTAGACCAGTTTTAGAAAAAAGATGGATCATAAAGGTTTGTCTCTGGACTGTGCGATTTGCAGTGATAACTTTTCTGCTCTAACTCCATTAAATAGTGTTAACATATGATGGGGATTTAAGTGGGAAAGATGTGGTGGCCATCTCATTTGTATAGGTCCAAGAATAGGCCTTTAACTTCATTCAGAATATCCCATGGCTAGCCTCCTCACAGTTTTCTGGGACTTGGAAATGAGCTGTTGTACCCCTGCCTTGTAATCCCTTTGCTTGCTGAAATGGCTGCACTGAGCTACCTTAAATTCTCTAGGCGCACGATTGAGAAATAGAACTAGGATTTTCCCATTTTTCTTTATATTATGTGTCATCTCTTTGTACACTCTACCTCCATTTAGACTGCCCTTTAAAATCTTTGGAATAGATATGCATGTATTATCTCTATTTGTGTAGCATTTGCTGCTGCACAGTAAAGTATTCAGTTTAATTTTTTCAGTGCTTATTTATATACTTGTTTCTTATTGGAATATGAAGAAGATGCAGTATTTTGTGAGAAATGGGGCAGGATACTTTTTTCTAAGGCATGTTCATACCTTAATGCTGGAATCCCATGCTGACTTACTTAGGGGCAAGCTCTTCTAAGTTAGTGGGAGTTATTTCCAAGTAGGTACGTTTAGAAGTGGGGGAAAGGGTGGAATTGCAAGTAGGCAGGTAAGGACATAACAGTGCTGTGCAGATATTTCATTGAATTCAGTGGTGCTTGCATGCAATTCAACATGTTTAGGATGCAAAAATCCTCATAAGACTGTTTCTACATATATGGAAGACAGCTGTCTTTAAATAAAGTCTACATTTAGCTAGTGTTGATTTGAACTACAGAGTCATGCAGTGTAAAAAGCAGTGAGTCACTTCAGAATAGCGTGGAAGGCTGACACCTTAAACATTTTGATTTGGAAGTAAATGACACTGAAATCAGCAGGTTCAGTCTATTCATTTGAAACATTTCTGTGCTACTTTTATGTTTTGCAGTAGTTCAGGCTTGAGATTTAAACTAAAAGAAGATTATAGGTTTCTGTATATTTTATACTACAGTTTTAAAATTGTCCATTGCAAAAATAGTCAAACTATAAATAAGGAAAAAGTTACCTATTGTAAATGAATGTCTAGTCTGCCTTACCCCTAAAACTAAATAATACATTTGTGTGCTTAGTCAGGAAAGTAAGACCTACACTTCCCAGCATTCCCTTGTCTTGCTTTAAAAATTAGATTGTAATCAGCCTGGGACAGGGTTAGTTATTCAGTTCTCTGAAATGTTAAATGCATTTATATACACACACACGCACGCACGCACATATATATATTAAAATACAGTGTCTTATTAAATGCTGCTAAAACACATTGGCTGTGCCAAAAGACTAACTCCTAGAAAATGAATCTAAGATCCATACTTTTTTACTGCAGATTTACCGTATTTTAATGCATTTATCTGAGTAATTAATATTCTCCTTGGTATAAGAGACTGAACATTTGGCTTTCACTGCTGTTCTAACTATGAAGAAGAAAAAGCTAGGAATTAAGAATTAGGCTGTGTGAAAATAATAAAATAAAAATGTTCCTGTCAGTCCTAAATTGCAAGTGGGTTTATTCAGTTGTAGTATTGATGCACTTTGAGTTTCAGTCAATAAAAAGACTGTCTGCTCTTTTGTCTACAATATGGCAAAATGGCTTGCTACAGTTATAAGTCAGACATTTGTACAGCAGTCTTATAGATGGCCAGGAAAATGTGTTTTGTTGTGGTGATGTGACTTGGCTTACTTTTGTTGAATCTTTGTCTCACACATCACAACTCTGTTCCAACTCTAGGTTTCCTCCCCAAGCAACACAGGGTTTTCAGTTTGCACATAATACTGAACAACCCAGGAAGGAAGTTTTTCTGGGTGGTTTAGAATCTAGATCTTCCCACTTGCAATGAGAAAGATCAGGCAGGGCAACCAGCATGCTTGCTTGTTCACAATAATCTGGGGGTTTTAAAATGTGTTCATGTAGCATAGAGGTGCCATATTTTGCATTTTTCTCACTCTTTTCTGTTAGAAATATTGCAACTTTGTTGATAAGCAGCTAAACTATGTATACTTTTGAGTGCTAGTTTTAACCTTTAAAGACTTAAATGGCTCTGAAACCAAATAATTGAAGGACTTTTTTTCTCCATATGAACCTGCCTGGTCCCTGAGTTGATCCTCAGGGCCCATCTCTGTGTTTCCCCTCCAAGAAAAGTGTGGGGTGTGTCAACATGGGAATGGCCCTTTCTGTGACAGCCATATGTTTAGGGACTAAAGATCCTAAATATACTGTCATCTTTTCAATGCCAGTCAAAGATGAACTTAATTTCCCAGGCATTTGGACATTAGTTATGGCCTAATTGTTCTGGATTGTTTCTGTGATGTTCATTCTTAGGGTGTGAGCTGGGGGAGATTATGTATTTGTGGATGAATACTTTTCACAGTTTTTATTCTGTTTCATGGTATTTATTTTTATTTGTATTGTTTTGCTAGTTATGGTATATATTGGTTTTTTAAATCTCTTCCCATTATATTAATCATGGATTTTTGTAATGTATGTGTAAACCATTTTGAAACTGCTTTGTGTAGTAGGAAGTGACATAGATTTAATATTAAGAAAAACAAACTTGACAGTAGGATCTCTGAAGCAGGTCACAATTAAACTCAGGACCCCCCCCCCCAATACCTTTGTTCCAGGTGTCAATTTTTTATTGTATCATTTGCCAAACACTTCCCAAATCATCCTAACAAGCCGGGATTTGCTTGTGAAATGTTTTAGGGGTTCTCCAGGCTTTCCAGTCAAAACCAGAAACAAATTGGCAACTGGTACAGGTGAGTCAGGACTAGGCTTGTATGTTCACATTGCCTAAAACCAGTCAACAACCTGGTCACTGAATTCTGAACTAGCTTCTGTTTGCAAAACATGTTTAAAGACAGCCCAATGGACAGTACTTTGCAGTAAACTAATTTAAAGGTCACCAGAGTATAGTTGTTAAGCTATCCCCATCCAGATATGGCCAAACCAGGCTACTAGCTGAAGCTGGTGAAAGATACTCAGTGACATAGTTGCCACCCAAGCCTCCAGTGACAAGGATGGATTTAGGAATTATCCACAAGCTGCATACCTGCTTATATAGGCATGGTGTGATCTTCCACAGAACTGGTTGTACTTTTTCCATTTAAACAGAGGAATTGCCCACCAGTAGAGTCTTAGGCATGTCTGAATTGCGACTTAATGTATTGGCCATCATCCAGTCCATTACCAAGACTGGTCACCAGTTCAACTTATCCATTGTTACGACTGCCTGAGATGAAAAGGAGAAACAGAATTGTATGTCATCAACTTACTGATGGCAATGCAACCCAAAAGTTCAGATGACCCCACACAGAGGTTTGTTATTAGCTAAGATCAGTTTAATAAGAATCAGAAACAACCCCTTTTCAGGGGTGGCTCCACAGCTAGGAATTTCTTCCCTGGGGAAATATGGCCATCTCTCCTGCCAAATTTACATGTGATGTGAACTACTTTGTTCTGCAAGTCTTGCCATGGATTAAACTTAATGTCTCTCAGGTAACTCCTACATCCTGATTTAAAATGTTTTTGCAGATGTATTTCTTGATAAATTTTTAATCTTAATTTTTATATTTATTCATTGCAAGATGCTTTTCACTTGAAAGACAAGGTGTACAATAATGAAATTAGATAAACTAAAACTAATTGCTGGTATAGCTTTTTTAGTTATTAATTATCTGAGTTATACTTACACTTCCAACTAACTGGAAAATACTAGAATAAATTCCCTGGACTAAGTGTTGCTTCATCAAGATGTGTTCCTTACATAAGAGACCATCAAAATGGCTTTGAATTGTCATCTGATTGAGTATGCTATAGTAAAATATTCCACTTGTAACATTCATGCATCCATTCATTCATTTTCAGAGCAGGCAAGAGCAACATCTCTACCAGAAAAAAATTGTTCCAGCTCAGCAATGGCTAAACCTCAAGTGGTTGCAGCTCCAGTGGCTCCAGCAATGTCAAAGCTTTCAGTGACTGCTCCTGAATTTTACCCATCAGGTTATACTCCTAATCTTACTGTAAGTATTTAACTTTTTCTCTTCCTTTTCTGAACAAGTGAAATAACCATGTATATTTTAGGAGATTTAATAAACTTGTTTGGAAGAAATGCCTTTGATCCTCAAGTCCAAGCATTCTAGTTCAGATTTTCCTTTGAATTTGTAAATAGTCCTTAAATAGCTAAACAAACCTCCTTTCCTTGGATGTTTTAGCGTTGCCATGTTCGTGAAATGTACGCACCTTAAATTAGTCTGGCTTGGAAGCAGAATCTTTAACCTGCTGAGATATTGGGTTAAAAAATTTATTTGAGGGACAACTCAGTTGTTTAAAAAACACTATTAGAACTGAGTTACATAGGGTTTTGTGGAAGAAAAACATTATTTCTCATGACAAAAACTAGCCTTGCTCTTATCCAGGATAGTGTGGCACAGAGCCATCAATTTAATTTTACCTACTTATCTCTCCTTGATTGCATGCTAGTGAACAGGAATCTGTTCATGCATCATCTTACCTGTTCTGGAGTACAATATAATAAATAATAATATTAGACTCCATTGTTGGATCTTTGATTTCAAAAATCCTCCTATCAAGTTACATCTTTTGCTATTCCATATTTACTGGTTGTGGTAAAGGTTTAATGTTCTATTAGGTGCCATATGCATAATTTCCTTGGCTTGGATTCATCATTTTTTTTCTACCAGTACAGGGCTCCTTCCTATTTCCTTTCCCCAGCAGATGGGGAAGGAAGTAGTTCACACAGGAAGTAGTTCACACAGCCTGTTGTTAAACTGTGGGACTTGCTACTACAAGATCTACTGCTGACCCCCTATTTGGACAGCTTTAATTGTGGATTAGTCAAATTCATGGACAATAAAACTATCAACTGCTACCAGTCAGTGATGGCTGTATATTAACACAAGCTTTAGAAGCAGTGTGATACTGTGTGGCAACTATTGGAGCATAAGTGGGAGAATGCTGTTCTGCCCATGTCCTACTTGTCGGCTTCCCATGAGAAGCTGGTTGGCCACTGTGTGAACAGAATGGAATGTGGGGCTACTTTGGTCTGACAAGGCAATAGGTGTTCTCCTGTAAAGGATTCTAGAGCCTTAAATCTAGGATATTATTACAGGCCGCTAAAGAGTCACTTGCCTGCCTGTTTTTGGGAAGAAGAATTACTTGCAAGCATCCAGACAGATAATCGTTTTTAAACTTGGTTCTCAAGGCCACAAGTAACTAATACCTATGTGTAGACAGATAAGCTAATACAATTTTTGTTAGATAGCTTTGTAGACATAACAAGAGAAAATACTATATCATCACTTTAGGCAATCTATAAGAGTTCTACATTCTGTTTGGTGTAACTCTTTTCCCTGCTCACAGAAATAGCTTATTATATCCATGCTTGGTGTAGGAAGACTACATGTTTAACAGCAACTGTATATTCCATTTTTCAGGCTGTGTGGACATGACAGCCCAATCCAATAGAAATAACAGGGTGTCTGTAGAGCCTTATTACCTATTTATGAATATTCCTGTATCCAGTTGTGAAAGTTGAGTTATGGTTTTTACATTTCAATATTACATTCAGGAACTAAAATATACATAGTTGAACCATTTTAATGAGAAATTATAACAAGTTTAATTCCCAAAATGCCTTTAATCATTTTTAGGAATCATCTTTGGAAGATGGTTGTGATGGATACCCAAGTTTAACTGAATATGTTCAGGACTTTCTAAACCACCTTGCAGGACAGCCAGCTTGTTTTGAAACTGAAATAGCACATTTTTCAGAAATTCTAAATGGATGTGTTACTACAGATGAAGCATTACAAGAACTTGTTGAACTCATTTACCAACAGGTATTGTGTCTGCGTGTGTGATTGATAGGTTGCCCATTCTATCTACAGCTATATTTCCATGGTCTAATGCCACAGTAAAAATGCATTTATTAAAGCATTTCTGTAAAGTGCATGAAGTTTTCTGGCAGTAAGAGCTTTTGAGGATCTGGATATTAATTATATAAAATTGGGATTGGAGTTCCATCATGCATGTTTAAAATTATAATGCTCTCATCATCTGCTTTAAAGCCCAGAGTGAAATAAACCTATGGGCGGTATGCAGTGTTAGTCCATTGAAATGAATTGGACTTACATTAACCATTACTAATTCAATTTGGATTCATTTCAGTGGCTCTACTTTACAATGGAACATAAGAAGCTGCCTTGTGGACCACTGGTCCATCTAGCCCTGTGTTTTCAGCAGTGTGTGGGAGCTTCATGCTGGATTCCTACTGAATTTCCAGGGCTTCATGCTGGATTTCTTTCCCAGAAAGTGCCAGGGACTTTCTGTGTTCCAGGCATGTGCTCTATACTCTGAGCTATGGCCCCACCCCTTTAAGAAAGACTAGCATTACATACAATTCATAGAATTGCAGTATGGTTTAGAAAGATTTGTGAAATCTTTGCTAAACCTTTTTTGGGTCACAGAAAGCAAATAAGAGAGAGGATACAGTATCATTTTAATTTCTTCGAACGCTTTATTTTCTCTCTAAAAGTTGACTGCTCAGTATTTGAAACAATAGGAAAGGTCTTTAAAATACTCTCTCTTGCTACAGAAAGAACTGAGATAGCTCTTAGTATTATATTTTAATAAATAATCAGCTAATTTCATTTAATGAATAATCAGTTAATTTCCTAGAAGCAGTAGGAGCTATCCTTAAGACACTGCCCTGCTATGTATAGAGAAGTTGACTTGAAAACAAGTTTTACCAAACTTAAATATGTGCAGAACAAGGATACAAGATAATCTATAGAATTAGTAATTCATTCTTCATTATTGAAAAGGCTTATGGCTCTTTTGCAAACTCTCAGTTCTTAAAAATGAATTCCTGAATTTTTCCTAAAATTAATGTTGATAATTGCACAAGACCAGGCAGGTTTGGGCAAGGCATTGATAAATATCAGTTAAACATGAACTTTAAATAAGACTTCTTAGATATGAAAGGAAAAATACTAATTCAATTCCTTATTTTCACTTCATCTCTTAATAGGGTACATGTCTCATGTTGAAGCAAATTCCCACATGATTTATATGGCAAGTAGTGACTAAGACTAGTGCTATGACTGCCATCCATTACATAATTTTTGTGATGAAAAAGTAAATGCTAGTAACAGTCATTCTTTGTGTTACAGAGGCTTTTAATATGGGAAACCAATTCAAGCCACTACTCCCTTGTGTTTTGTTATCCACATTATTTAACTAGAAGATTATTGTTTTTAAGATAAATCTTAAGCATATCTAAATTTTAAGAGCTCTCTTTTCCCCTTTGCTTACATTACACGGCATTCTGTACTTTTTACTACTTAATTGACTTGCAGATGTGCTGATAATATTCAAAGTCTAAAATGTCTTGGGACTAGAATACCTAAAAGATCTTGATCCACCTTCCTGAACTCTAAGATCTTCAGTGGTTCTTCTCCAGGAACCCCCACCAAAACAAGTGATGTGGATAACTACTGAAAAGGGCCTTTCCTTTGTGGTACCATGGATGTAGAATAAGCTCTCCAGAAATATTTCCTTGGCACCTGTGTTTTGGTATTTTCAGTATCAAGTGAAGATGCTTTTAACTTGCCCAAGCAGTTTAATCTTTCAGTTTCTATTGTTTTAAAAGATGTCTCTAAATCTTTGCACTGCTGCTAGGCTTTGTGCTGTGTTTTTTTTATTTTGGTTTTATACTGTGGTTTTAAACTTTCAACCTTTATGTTACATTTTGTTGAACAGCCCAAAGAACTTTGAATATTGGCCAGTATAGAAATATAATGAACAAATTAAATTAATAAGCTGAGGAAAGAGAGTTGCCTGCTACTTCAAAAATGTAGCTTGATAGTATTTTCAGTGGAGTAATATACTCATAAAAAAGAATGTTTTCTGTCAGATAACAAGGTTGAGACCTCTTGGAAATATGAAAATGAGGACCGAGAGCTTAAGTTGAACTTTTATCCACTAGGAAGCTTAGTAGAGAGAGCACAGCAGTGCATGTTTCTAATAGTGCATTGCAGGCTGTGTTCATTACATTTAGTTTCGGTTTCCTTTCTTGGGCTTTCACTTCTCAAATTCTTTCTTAAAGTTTACAGTAGAATATCTACATTGGAAAAATGGTATTATTTATTCATTTCTTTGTAAAAGACCAAGATATATAGAACTGGATGAACTTTGTACGTAAGCCTCTTCATTATAATCTTGAAAATTACAAATAGCACTTGGGCCAATGGCCTTAGTGGCCCCTTCCAGCTCCACCATTCCATTATTCAATGTATATATTCCACAGAAATCTTTCAGACTGCTTTGTCCACAATTTACATTATTATATCTTAATGGATACATGGAGATCATGGATATGTTGCAAATTCTGTAGCATCATGATGCTATATAGTTTTAACTGTCATATGATTTATGTGCTCTTTATAGAGAACTAGGACAAAATCCACCCACATGTTTGATTTAACAGTATGCAAAAATGAATCATGTGTTCTCCTGATCCCTTTTCCCCCTTCATGTACTGATTCTGTCTTGTTTTCACAAACCAATTGAACTGTGGATTGGAGATTAATTATGGCCATAGTTGTCATTATGTTTTAAAAAAACATGAAAATGGAAGGTGGAATCTCTGCAAGCAGGAAGTGGCATGCACGAACTCAAGTTTTGCCCCAGTCCTCCAAACCATGGTCATCTGTATTGAGCCACAGTTATTCACACCTAAATCCTTTTGAAATCAGTGTCTCTGTTATACTCAAATGCCTCTTCTTAGTTAGTGGCTGTAAGAGCTTTAAGCTGAATGACAGTCAGTGTGCTGTAGTGATTACAATGTTGAACTGAGACATGGGAGATCCAAATTTTAGACCCCACTCAACCATGAATCACACTGGGTGACTTTGGGCTAGTCATGGACTCTCAGTCTAAGCTACCTCACAGGATTGTTGTGAGGATAAAATGGAAAGGAGGAGAATTAGCTAAGTTGTCCTAGGTTCCTTGGAGGAAAAAATACAGGATATAAATATGCTGTTATGTTGGTCTCACCCCTTTTGCCTTTGGACCTACTTGTCACTGGAATGTAACTACTGAGAGTTTCTCTGAAATGGAATTTGACCCATTGACTGAAAGAGGCACCCCCCCCCCAGCCAGCTTTAGCAGATATCTAACAAGTAGGCTGTTACAGGGCCCTTGAAAACCAACTAGTGAGCTCAGTTGAACTGAAGATTATTCTGTTGAAATGCTTTTTTAGACTCTAGGAAAATGTATAGGTAAGTATAGAAAAAAATCCACAAAATTCCACAATGCTTGGCATTGCATTTGCTAATTCCAACTTTCTTTTGTTTTGGAAGGCTACATCTGTCCCAAATTTTTCCTATATGGGTGCAAGGTTGTGCAATTACCTTACTCATCATCTCACCATAAATCCACAGAGCGGCACTTTCAGACAATTACTGCTGCACAGGTTAGTGTGTGTGTGCGCGTGCACGCGTGAGAGAAAGACAAATTCAAATTGACTTGCATTTCTTCCATGCTGGCTGAAGCTGATGGGAGCTAGAATCCAGCAAAAAATAAATAGATAAATCAATCTAGAGAGACATGAGTTGGCCACCCGTGTATTAGAATGGGACACAACCTAGGGACTGGCAAAGTACAGGAAATTTACAGTGATCTATTTGAATTATGAACAGACTTGTTTGTAATAGCTGCAATCAGTAAACCTTGCAAGTAGTACTGAAAAATAAATTTTTGATCCAAAGCTGTCTCTTTTAGGTGTCGGAAAGAGTTTGAAAATAGAGATGAAGCTGCCAAGGGAGATGAAGCTACAAGGAAAAGATTTCATGCATTTGTGCTATTTTTAGCTGAACTTTATTTAAATCTAGAGGTAAAGGGATTTTCTGTTTTGGTTAACACTAAACTCACATAGTGGTAGTGCCAGAAAATTGATGAGCAAAGGGGCCCAAGTACATTTGTCGGACACATGAAAAATAACAAAACTCCAAATACAAGTAGCATATCTTTAGAGTCCTCTTATGTATTGTATTGTATAATTGTAAAAAAATAAGCAACTGCCAGATTTCTGAATCTTTGGCAAAACATCCAAGTGTCTTTGCACTCACTTGTCAAAACTGTTCACTGGTGAGAACTGGTTCATTTCTTTGTGAGTATTTGAGTAGAATACTTCCAGCAACTTTTTCATTATACTTTCATAAGTGAAAATGCTAATACCTTTGAAACCAAAGAACAAAGTTCTGGTAAAACACCTGGAAAGTCTAGGTGAAGCATCTAAGGATTACTCAGACAACAATATTAATACAGAATTGTGTAGTAACTAGGAGTCATCTATGACAAATAGCATGTATGCATCTAATTATTTGAATACCCTATTTGACACTCTCTGATTTGGGCCTCTAGAATCCAAACAATTTAGTACATATGGGGAAAAATCAAGCTGTTAAACTTCAGTAGTGTTTATTCCAACACTTATTAAAATATAGTTTTAAATTTCCTGTTGGTGTTCAAGTTTTTTGATCAAGTAAATGTACCAAATACAGTGGTACCTCGGCTCATGAACGCCTCAGTTCACGACCAAATTGGGTCACGAACAAAAATTTCATAAAAATTTTGAATCAGGTTGCAAACTCCGCATTGGGTGGAGACCGCGATCATGGCCATTTCCTCACCCCACCCCGAGTAGGGAGATGGCCATGATTGTGCTGGAGGCAGGGGGGAGATGGCCGAGATTGCACCCATCTTTCCTGCATGAGCACAACCGCGATCTCAGCCATCTCTTCCCCCTCCCCCCACATGCCCGCGTTCACACCCGCCCCCGCAAGCACTGGGATGGGCTCGTCCTTGGGGTGGGGGGGAGATGGCTGCGATCTTTGTTGTTCTTTGTCACTTTGGTTCGTCACATTTTTCTGATTAATCTGTTCTGTAACCATTTTTTTTTAATCTCATTTACATTGAACCTTATGGGGAAATTTAACTTTGCTCACAACCAATTTGGGTAACGACCAGAGTCCTGGAACGGATTAAGTTTGTGAGCCAAGGTACCACTGTAGTTATGACTGCCATGTTGGCATTTTAATCAAAGGGGTAGAATACTTGCTGACTTGCTGATGGCAGGCAAAAAGTTTTCCATGTGATAGAAACAGAATGATAGGCCCCTGAAGTGATTCCAGAAAAGAAGGGGGTTGAATCTAAATGTTAATTTTTCTTGCCCCTATTTTGAATTGTCTTGACCCATTACTCCTGTGTAACAGAGTAGTTTCAGAGTCTGTTTTTAATATAGTGTAAATGTTTAGATATATTTTTTTTATATTTATAGATTAAAGGAACAAAAGGTCAACTAACCCGAGCAGAAATTCTTCAGACTGGACTTCATGAATTATTAAACACCCTTTTTTCTAATCCTGTGGACAGCAATTTAATCTGTGCAGTAAAGCTACTGAAAGTATGACATTTTCATTACTGAACATTTATTTTACAATCTGTTTTGGAAAATGTTTACATCAAAATGGCACCAGTCCATAATTGGATGTTAATCACTTAAATCCTCAATTTCTGCATTGGGTCAGACTAGAGAAAGTGGTTCATTTGGACCAGGTAGCTGTTTTAGAGCTTCAGTGATCTATGAGGTTCACTGGATCCACATGTTACAGCGTATTAGTAATGTGAGAAGAAATGGGTTGATGTCCCATGTGCCATCCTCAGCTTCTTTGAGGAGAAAGATGACTTAAATTAGAAAAATCTATGCTTTACATTCGTTTGGCTCATTCTGTTCTCCCACTGCAGCCTCCTATACTACATCCTGTGGTATTCCAATGTGCAGTATCAGATCAGTTGAAAGGAAGGGGCAAGAAAACACATTGTACAAGAACACACTTATGGAGCCCTGGATCTATCTGGATTGACTTTAGCAGTTTAGTTCAATGAACAGTATCAGTCAAGTTCTTTGAAAATATCATAGTGTGTGGCTGTTGGGTAATTGTGTGATTTCTATTCCTTTTTTGGAAAAAAATGTGTGGCAGTGTTTGCATGCCGTATCTGGTTTGAATGTATGAAAAGAAGTGGTCAACTATATAAAAGCAATGATGTATTCAAGAAAGAGTGTAAGAGCAGTTATTTGCATGTTTACTTAGGAATAAGTTCCAGTGATAAAATGGGTTTTAAGCCCTTCTATGTCTAGGCCTTGCACCTTATCTTCAATAAAGTACACATTGAGTTGTTCAAGCAAGGGAAAAAATACTAAGCTTGCTAGAATCTATTCCCATGTACTTTTAAGCTCAATTTAATGTTCAAGCTGACTCGTTGTTAGAGATGTGTCTGAATTAAACCAAGAACTCTAAAGTTTAAGGCACTAAAGAACCCTGCATCACTGACTTCTTTAGAGAGAATCTGCAAATGCTTCATTACACAACCAAAAATATTACAGAATATTCATTTACTTTAAAGTCACTTTCCAAAATGTCCTGGCTAATAGCATGCATTCCCCAGTTGACAGGGTCAGTATTAGAAGATGCCTGGAAAGAAAAAGGAAAGACTTATATGGATGACATAATACAGAAAATAGAAAACGTTGTCTTGGATGCAAATTGCAGCAGGTAGTAAAAAAAATTTGGTGTTTCTCGATTTTCCTTTATGACTGCTAATTGTTCCTTGATATTTTTAAGCTTATCTGGTAAAATACAGCAATTACTTATAGATTTCTGTTTATTCCTTTCAGCAAGGATATCACCGTGTTATCTGTAATATAGCTTGTGCTAATACATCTGTTATATTTCAGTAATAGAACTCCCAATCAGTTTAGTCCAGTAATCATTATTTCTGGTTTGTAATTGTTTAACAATTATTTTAATATATTTACTGCAGACCTACAGGGGTATTTTAAACTAGGGGTTATGAACCTATGTGCTGCAGGTCAGTTTGGCCATCTGACCCATAGAGGAAGCCCCGCCCCCTCAGAAGGTACAGGGGTGGGATAGTCACTGAGACAGCTCAGTGCTGCCCTCACCAGTGTTGCCGAGGCAGTGAACGTAGGGAGGAGCACAGCAAGCTCCTGCAGCAACAGGTAGCAGCAGTCCCCTCTTTCTTTATGCATGGAGTGTCAAGTTCTCCATACAGAAGCAGGAAGGAAGGTAGCTGCTGCCTCTCAAGTGAAACTCAGGAAGAGGCAACAGGGATGATCTGCCCCTGTATTTTATTTTATCTGTGTCAACAGGGTCAGGAATTATTGTTCCTGTCAGTCTTGGCACAGGGAGAAGGAGTTTCTTTGTGCAGAAAGAGGCATGTGCCTGCCTCTGTAGAACGAAATAAAGAAACAACCCTATGAGGAGGGGGGGTGGGGGGGGCGTTCAGGGAAATGCCATGTCTTCTGGAGGGAAGAGTCCACTCCATGGTTTCATCTCAGCCTTTGAGGATAAACAGCACAGGAATCTGGCCTCCATGGGCTAAAAATGTTGTCCATTTCTGTTGCAAAAATTAGCTTTCTTTTGCCTAATCTGGAGTTTTCTTACAGTATCTGGGAAATTCAGCATGATTTGATAGCTTATCACTTACTATGGATAAATGGCTCAGACACACTATTTAATTAAGTCTCTTATTAATTAGTCCCAGATATGGCTTAGATGAGAAGTAAGATGGCTTGAAGAGTGTGTTGGGTGGAGCAATTTAAACTTTTATGCTTGGGGAGAGGAACAATATCTATCTGATATTTTCAAAATGTATATCCTACCTTTCTACCAACCAGCACATTGAAGGTAGCTTACAGAAATCAGTAATAGAACAAAAACTGTTTTAAAAGCAAGTATGAAAATGCAATCAGTGTTTTAAAAAACCTAGAAGTTATCTAATGCAAGCATGTACCTGCAGAGAAACCAAGCAGTAAAAGCAATAATAGCACAACACACAAGTATTAAATTGAACATCACAAATTTGGGTGAACAGGAGCAATTCTGCTTGGTGCATGAAATATAAGAGAGCACCAAGCAAAATAAGAGTAAGTTCCATAACTCAAGAGAACTTCTTAAAAGGCCCTATCGTTTGAAACCCGGGCACATCTGAACACTGAGCTCTAATGATTAACAAAGCTGCTGGCCAGAATCATAGGGACGAAAGCGGTCTTCAAGGTCCCCTGACAACTGCAGACAAATTTCAAAGGATAATAGATTGCAGCAAGCTAGCCAGATATAGTTATCTCTGCATCTTCAGAAAAGAACAGGAGACATATCTAAATAGCTTGACCAATCCAAACACTGGATTAGTCACATTAAATATGCAGCTATATTGCTGATGACTAATGGCAGATTTGTTTCAATTGCATGAATGTTGACTTCAAATTTGTGCATTAAATACGAATGCTTAGGGTTTTCAAATTTAATTGCCTTTGGCAATGAATTAACATTTGAATTCATGAGCAATTGTGAATGAATTGCCAAAGAATATCAGTAGTTTCGTTGCAGTTTTTCCGTGTGATTTTCTTGCAAGCAGTGGGGGGGGGGGGGCTTCCCACTGGTGTTGGGAATACAGTGGTTTTTATGTTGTACTTTTGTCTTTTTCAGAGATGTAAAGCATATGCTTCTGAAACTAGTGGAACTGCGGTCAAGTAACTGGGGAAGAGTACATATAACCTCAACATACAGGGAAGCAACTCCAGAAAATGACCCTAACTATTTCATGGTAATGAATACTTGCATTTCTCTTGTTTCAGGCAGACTTATCTGAATGTATGTATAAATGCTGAACACAATAGTAGAGTATATAGAATCATATAAATACAATACCTTTTTCCTATTTTAGAATGAACCAACGTTTTACACATCTGATGGCGTGCCTTTCACAGCAGCTGATCCAGGTATGTCAGCAATTTGGTTGTGTTATTTTAAGGCTCAAAATAGCTATAATTTAGAAAGCTAATGAAGTCAAATGCTAACTTTTAAAATGCAGTGATTTAGTTGGGAAGCTTAGACTAGCCTTTTCCAACCCAGTGAGCTTCATGGCTGAGTGAGGACCAGAACTAAGATCTCCCAGGTTCCCAGTCCAGTACTCTAAACACTACATTGGCTTTCTGTCATTGTTCCATGTCTGTTCTCCATAATCCATCCTTATTCCATCATGGTTGGAATCATAGTCTCTATCTCACTTCCTTCTTTTGTTGTTGAGCCCTTTTTGATTTTGTGAAAATTTATGCCATTGCAATCATTTGCTTGGGCATAACTCAGTCAGGATGCCTGTAACCTTACCTGGTGAGGTAACTTGGTGTATTACAGCCCTCCTGTGTAGGGTGGGAGAAGCACAGAGGCAAAGGTTGCCTTAACACTCATCCTACCCTGTGGTACTTTAAAAGTAAAAGGGAAGGAAATTTCAGGATACTGTGTATCTTGGCAGTACTTTTTCCCCTCCCTCCCCAAAATTCCTCCAAGATCATTCTTGCAAGCAGCTGGAGAAGCAATTGGTGTAGTTCTTTCTTTGCTGGCTGCAGCATGAGTGGGGAGATCTAAGTGAGGATCACAAGCTATGAGGTGGAGCAATAGCTGGGAATTCAAAAAGTCCTCTGACCATCTAGATATTGTCTAGTAGCCATAGGATTTCACTGCTAGGCACCCTGTTAATTTCTTGCAGTCTTCTAAAGCACAAGCTAGATGTTTCCTCTTTAACCTGAGGTTACAGCCCATTACGTTTTTAGCAGGGAGAATGTACCATCTCCTTTAATGGAGTAGTGAAAGATTGCATGAATGCAATTGGGCAAATTCAGAATAATTATACATAAAGATTTAAGAGAATAAAGTCTGACTGGGAAATTCAGAGTTCAGGATGAGGAAAGGAGATGAAATGATATGCAACAAAATGATGTTCCTATACAAATGCCACGTTGTCCAGACAGTGGCAGACACGATGTGTTTATACACTGATCTGCTATTTCTTTGCATGCAAATTTGGGTTTTTATATTGCTATTTTCATTACAGACATAATTTTAAAAATAAACATTAATGTGCAAGTATATTTTTAAAAATTACACTATTGTAGATTATCAAGAGAAGTATCAAGAGCTCCTTGAAAGACAAGATTTGTTTCATGAGTATGAGGAAAATGGAACAGACCTATCAGGAGCCGGAGACCCGTAAGTACTTATTTCAGTCAGATATTTTAATATAGATACATCATAATTCCAGTTTAATAAATTGAATTCCTGAATTAAAGTACCATTTCTCAAAAGCACTCTTGTCAATATTCTTAAACTATTTTGATAATATTAAAATTATTAAAATCATTCTTAAAATATTCTTAAACTACTTTATGTGCACCATCATCTGCTACTACTTGCAAAAGCAGAACAGTCTGTGTGGAAAGCACTTCTTTTGATTAAACCCTGTGAATATTTTTTTCTGAAGTAATTGTGCAATCTGGTTCTAAGAACTTATGTTTGATATTTGGAGTACCTTTTTAACTAAAATGCATCTGGATTGATGAACTTGAGTTGCGCATAATTCTGTTATATCAAATCAGCAAAACCTGATCTGTTCATTGTCAAGGCTATAGATATCTCTAGGACTATGACATGACTCCTCAAGTTTGTCTTCTTATGTCTGGGGAAATAGACATTTCTAACAGTTAATTTTGTTTTAGGTATTTTGATGATGATGAAGATGAGATGGACCCAGAGATTGAAGAAGCATATGAAAAATTTTGCTTAGAATCAGAACGCAAGAGGAAACAGTGAAATGATAAATGGGAATATTAGAGGTTTTCTTTTTTAAAAAACCAGCATAGGTATAAATAGCAGGTAGAAGAGATAGGAAATCCTTGTAATGTCCATACCAAACAAATGAAATTAAGTTTCTCCAAGTACTCAAGTTATGCAATTTCCATTTTGTTAAACAGAATCTGCCAAAAAATGTAAACTTAAATTCTGTAACTTAAACAATGTGTATATATCATAGTTTATTTTATGTACAGTTAAATAAACAATGTTTTGGCTGGAATAAATTTTATTTGAAACATGTCAAGTTAACATATGAATTTGAGGATTGTTATATTAAAGTTAAACTTTTCCTGAAAGTTAAATCCACTGAAACATTAATTACATGTTGACTTGCTTTTGGAATGGTTTTGTATTGCCTTTCCTTTGTGAAGGAAATAGGTATATTATCCCATAGTTTTATGCTCATGGAACTGCAAAATAACCTTTTTAAATGTTTTACAATCATGAAAATGGTAAGCACCCAAGGAAAATGCAAAAACTTGAAAATAAGTTTTGTTTTCAGACAGTTAGCTATTTGATAGGCATTTTAGTTCATGGAACTTGTTTTCAACTAAGTGACTCAATTCAGATGTCATGTTAGAAGTCTTCCCAGCCTTGTGTTTGAAGGCTCAGTAATGGAACATGCTTATATGGTCTTTTTCCTAGTCACACATTCTGCCTTAGCCATAAATTTGCCATAATGCATGAAGCAGCCAAAGTATGATTAATGCTAATCAGGATTGCTTCCAAGCCATGGATAGCAACCTACTTCAGAAAAGAACGTGAAGGAATCCATAGTAACACAGCATGTTTTTGAGCAGCCTTTCCAAACATTAAGTCCTCAGATGTTGTTGGCTTACAAATCCTATAGCTGTTGCCCATTCGACATTCTGGCTGTGGATGTTGGGAGTTGAAGTCCAAGTTCATCTGTGGACTGAAGGTTGGGAAATGTTGTATTAAAAGATTCTAAGCAAGATGTCTGAATTGAGCAGTTATGTTAATTTTTCCATATTTCTGAAAAATACATGAAATTCCTTTTAGTTCAAAGTTGCACAATAATGTGTGTAGCTTTGAAATGCTGTACGAGGAACTCAGCATTTCTGCCACTTTTCAGTTTGATAATTTAGGTACAATACAATATACAATCACTTGTATAGAGTAAAATAATTTTTCTTGAGAAAATAACAAATTCTAAATACTTCTGCTGGTTAATGTATCCTCCCTTTTAATCATTCATTTTTGTCTCTATAAAATTTTGCCCAGGACACTTCCAAATCTTTTTGTTCCTTATTTTATATTGAATAGATTAAGTTGAGTCTATTTCCTAACACAAAATGTGTGTTTTGAATATTCCAAGAAGTAGATACAATAACTTATATAAAGACAGAGGTTGTAAATATGCATGTAAATAGAGCTGTTTAATATTGCACTGTTATAACTTGGTCTAAGTTGTGTCTGTTAATGTAGTTAGCATCAACTACATCTTCTGGTTGTTCATTTGTTTAGCTTATTAGTTAACACCCTATTTTGGAAAATAAAATGCTTTGTTTTGTTGGGTAAATTTTTGTCTACTTCTTGTGTGCCTTTATTTACATTACATGGGACTGTACACAATCTTCCACGCTTTTCTTCTGCTCTGAACAATAGCATTTTTAAACTGCTGGCTAGGGCATATTAGCATCACATTTATCATTCTTCTTGAAGCTGATATAATCATATTACAGAAATAATATTGCAGTTAATATGCAGCAACATAATGTTCAGTAAACAAATCAAAATTTTAAACATCTATACTCAGATAACATTTTTATATTTGGAAATATCTATCTGGTGGTCTATGACTATCACTCCCATTTCTATGTATAATTACTCATGTTTTTTCCAAATTCACTTGGACCATTTTGTAAACATATTAATACCTAAGAAGAGCCATGCTGGATCAAATCAAAGGCCTTTCTATTTTAGCAATTTGTGCCTCCAATGGTCCACTGGGTCGCACATCACTAGAGGCCACTGATGACCTCTTCTATGAATCAGTCCAATCCCCTTTTAAAGCCATCCAAATAGGTGGCCATCACCACTTTCTGTGGCAGCAAATTCCATAGTTCAACTATAGTTAGTTGTGTGATAAAGTACTTCCTTTTGGCTGTTCTACACCTTCCACCAATCAGATTCATTCATTCATTCATTTATAAAACCCCAGCCATTGCTTCCAAAGGAGACTGTAGGTGGTGTGCATCCAACAACAGCAGCAAATAAAATCATACAATAAATAGTTTAAAACATTGTTAACTATTAAAAATGTAATAATATAATTATTAATAAGACGGCCACAAAACATTTTATCAATTTTTTTCTTCCAGTTAGGATAGTAGAGCATCAAAATGATTGATTTAATCAACTAAAATTTCAAATTAATTTAAAACTAGTTAGTTATTAAAATATTTAGAAAATAAAGCTGATTTTACATGGACCCAGAATGAATGTAAAGAAGGTGTCAGGTAAACTTCTCTGGGCAGTCAGTTCCAAAGGTATTGGAAATGCCAGGAAAGCCCCTCTTCTATTTGCCATCCTCTTCACCTCCCCTGGGGATGGCACTTCAAGAAGGGCCTCTGAACTAGAGCTGAATAGGCAGGTTCATGTCTATTAAGGGATGATCCTGGGTTCAAGTGTTACGGAGACGGAGAAAAATGTCTTGCTCTCTATTTTCTCTACACTGTGCATTATTTTAAACATGTCTCCCTTTACTCACCATTTTTGTAAGCTAAACAGCCCTCATGGGAAAACTGCTCTGGCCCCCCGATTATTTGCATTTTCCTCCTCTACTTTTTCCAACTCCATAATGTCCTTTCTCAGGTGAGGCGATAAGGGGAGTAACGTCTTGGAAGTTCTAATTTCTATTCCATTCCTAATTATGTATAGCATGGAGTTGGTTTTTTTCACAGCAGCTACACGCTGAGGCCTACTTTTTAACAGAGCTGCCCACTACTAACCCAAGATCCCTTTCCTGCTCCATCATTGCCTGTTCAGATCCCATCAGTGTGTACTTGGATTTTTTGCCCCAACGTGCATTACTTAACACTTACTAACGTTGAACTGCATCTGGCATTTTGATACCCATTCTCCCAGCCAGGAGTGATCTCTTTGGAGGTCCTCACAATCACTTGCTGCTTTAACCATCCTAAATAGTTAGGTGTCATCAGCAAACTTGGCCACTTCGCTACTTACTGCTAAATCCAATGATAATGGTTGTGTTCTTTATGTTACTTTTTGTAGTGATCCCTACAGTGAAAATGGCATTTTTCACAAATGTTGCACACTGGGTTAATGTTCTCATCAAGCTGTACTCCACAGTCCTAAGGCCCCACTATTGGACATTCACCACCCACTTGAATCCCATCAGCATATATGTGAAATTGGAAGTTTTGCCCTAGTGGTGCATGACTTTGTACTTGATTACTTTGCCAGCTTTTAATGCCATTTCCCCAGTTTGGAGAGATCCTATGGAGTTCTTGGCTATCCCTATTAACCAATTTCTTAGCAAACTTGGAACACCTCACTGATCCCTCCTTAAACCAGATTATTTATGCCAGAGGTTTTCAACCTTTCCACAGCTGGGGACTGGTGAAAACAGGAAAACCGCTCAGGCAGAAACAAAAAACATCATGCACACAATACAATATTCTGTGTATTAGTTTCTAAACTCAATACCAAAAAATGAAAATTCTCCAAAACAACCAGAAACCAAGCAACAAAAAAATGCCAACAAAAGAACAAAATATCAAAATCAGAGCAGTGTGGCTCCCAGCCAGCTCCCACCAAGCCTTCTCTGGCCCCCCTGGCAGCACCGGCACACCCCCCACGAATGCAGTGCCAACCCAGGTAGAGGTGCTGGAGCACAGCCACCCCTGCATCAGTCCACGGAGAGCGGAATGCAGCCCCCCATGGACCGGCAGGAAATCTCTGGTCTACAGATCGGTGGTTGAAAACCACTGATTTTATACACAGGTTAAAAGGCCCCAGTTCCCAGTGCGGATGCTTGCAGGACCCAACTGTTTCTCTCTCTCCATTCTAATAATTGACCATTCCTACTCTCCACTTTCTCTAGCTTCTTATCTGCCAGAGGACTATCTAGTGCATCATTCTGTTCACATAGGAAACCCACCAGCTGGACATGAATGTGACAGCAGCCTCCCACCTGTGATTCCCAGGGCACAGTGTTTTTGACGATGGAGACAGCATGCGGCCATCAGGACTAGCAGCCATGGATAGCTTTTTCCTTCAGGAATTTGTCCAGTCCAACCAGATTGGCGACTAGCCTATGTGTTGCATGAAGGACTTCTTATCTGCCCTGCACTTCTACCAGTCAGTCTCGTAGGATGATCCTGAGGGCTCAGCATTATTGGAGGAAGAAAAATGTCTCCCCTTCCACTTTCTCTACACTACAGTTTTGCAGACCTCTATCATGTCTCCCTTTACTCCTGTTTTTAATAAACTAGATGATTACAAGGGTGGACGATTAGTGGCTTACAACTTCCATCAGCACTAGCCAGCAAAGCCAGTGGTGGGAGCTGGGTATGTGATGGGCCAAAGCGTCCACTCCTGTGCTGGAGTGACTGGCGCTGTGCCCAGAGCGATGGGTCCCGCTTGGAAGTGAAATGATGGTCCTCTGCAGTTCCTGCCATCCCTGCAGCCTCTCCGCATCGCTCTCCGCCTTTTCTCCTTGTCATTGTGGTCAATGTGCTTTCTCTAGCAGAGTTCTAAGCTACCTTTCAAGCTATATTTTCCCAGTGCAGCATAGAGGATACAATAAATGCATATTAAAGCAAAAAGATTGTTTTCATTCTTATTGAAAAGACTCAAAAGGAAAGTGCAACATAAACAGTCTCGTTTCAGTAGCACCCCGAGATCCTTCCATGTCCTTTCAGCAGCTCTCGCTTATTTCGCGGCAGGCCTCGCAATCAGTCGGTCACATCAATTGCCGTTATTTCCTATGGACCTTTCTCTTCCAGTCGATATTCCTGCCGTTCGTTAAGATGCCATTCGAATTACAGGAGAGCTAGCAAAGTCTTCGGAGGAAAGGCTGCGGAAACGGGGGCGGCGGCTCCGAGCGCACCGCAGTCGCGCGAGGAAGCCCTCATCGCACAGTTGAGATCGCGGGCAGAGGCGAGCGGGCTGGCGAGAAGGGGGCTTGGCTTGCGTGTGAGCAGTGGTCAACGGGCTTGCAGGATTTCCAGGTCAGCAGCCAGGTGGATGTGGAGGGACGAGTTTGCACAAAGTGGATTTGGGTGGGGGGGGTTGGGGGGGGTCCCTTTTTACCGAAGGGAGCGCTTTGACAGAGAGTGTTCTGAGTGTAAAACTATACAAAAGCGGAAAGATCACTAAAGACACACTCAATTGCAAGTCACTTACTTGTGAGTCCGCCAGGGACTGGAGACTGCAAAAAGTCTTTCAGGCAAACGAAAGAACAAACCTTCGCTCTAAACCATCAGCCATCAAGACCGCTCGCCTCCCAGCCACCTGGGAACCTTCAGAACGCCGCCCATTCGCGCAGCCGCCAGTCCCCGCGAATCCACGCCCCCTCTTTCGCCTTAGCCCCGCCCCTGGCATTTCCTCCCGCGCGGCTTGGGTGGGTTCCCCGCGTTTCCCTGCGCGGGACAGAAGCAACTTACGAGAGACTCTACCATAGTTTGGGTAAGCTGGGCGTAAACTATATACCCCTCTCCTCGTGTACTCTTCTTTCTGCTTTGGGGGAGAGCTTGTTTGGGGCGTAGTGCTTCGGTTGCTCTTCGATTAGGTAGAGGCCACTCTGTGAAAAGGTCAAGGAGGGAAGAAATCATGTGTGAAAGCTGGACCTGCAACAAAATGCTGCAGCATTCTCACCAAGGAGGAATGCTTCTGATCGGAAATCCTGCGAGTCAGCCATGTCCCCCACCGAGAGGGCTACAGGGACCTCAGGCAGGGCATCCAGTTCCCCTGTCCTCCCACTGCAACCCGCTCCTGCTTTCTTTCCTTCCCGCCTTCCTCGTGCTCAATAGATGAGGTAAAGTTCTGGCCAGCTGGTTGTATCATCAATAAAAGGTCGCTTTGTTTGGGGGCAGAGCTAATAAAGCCCTTGAACAGGTCAGAACTTCCTCTGCCCTTTTAATAACACACATTTAACAATTTATCATTCTGCAGATACTACATAGGTTCAGTCCTTGTTGGGCTTTTTTGTGTTGATTGTACCTCCTTGGTTTGTTTAAGTTTTATGTCCTATGCAAACTTCGCAGGTTCCTAGTCCTGTGGATACATCGCTCCATGGTCCTGCTTTGGCTCAAATCCTGGCACTCACTGGTAGGCATCTTACATAGCTCCATTTTAGTTTATCCTCAACAACAACCCTGTGAGGTTGGTCAAGTTACAAACAGGTGAGTTGCCCACAGTCACCCAGTGAGCTTCATGACCAGGTGAGGACTGGAACCCTGATGTCCCACTCTGACCGCTACACAGGCACTGATGTACTGGTAGTGTGTTGGACTGAACTGGGACTGGGGAGCCTGTGTTCAAGTCCCTCCTTAGCCTCCCCTAAATTTGACTGAGTGACTTTGAGCCAGTTACTTTCCATCGAGGGAGATAAAATGAAGGAGAATCACATACACTGCTTTGCCTCTTCAGCGGGAAGGGAAGGTGTAAGTGCAGTCTCTACTTAAAAGAGGACGTGTGTCTGTCAGTGCCGTAGCCAAGGCCATGACATCTAGGTAGGGGACTTTTGGCCTGCAGACCCTTGAGCAGTGCACCTGCGGGTCACTTCGTTTTTGCACTACAGCAGTTCATTTCCAAGATACCTGTGAGTTTGGGGCCTGCCATATAGTGCTCGCTGCTTAATCAGCTTAAAGTTTTGCAGTCAATACAGGCCGAAACCAACGGATTTTATCTAACGGACTGCTACAGGGCTGTGGGCAGACCTTTCCCTCAAGAAACTCCAGGGCGCATAAGGCAGGGACTGTTGTCTTGGTGGCAGCAGGTGACGTAACTTTGCTCCAATCCTTTGCTAGATCCAGTTAAGGGCTGCCCCGACCCATGTGAAGCTGCATGCATTGGCTGGCAAGGAAATCCAACACCACAGTTCATATTTCTTGAAAGATGTGGCTGGGTAAAACTTTTTGCATCCTGTTTGCAAATCAAAAGGGACATTTTAACATTTAGGTTAAAAGATTGGTTGGATAAGATGGATAATAAGGAAAGGATAAAGGTGGTACTAAGAAATGAAAAAGGAACTTGGTTTAATGTTATGCAAATAGAACAATGGACTAAAGAATGGTTGAAAAAATGGTATATAGAGGGATCTTACCAAATTTGAAACTATTGTTCTATATAGGGAAAAACAAGACATTCTGCAAACAAGAGGGATAATAATTTTGTTAGATATGGAGGACCAATATGATAATCTCAAGGTTTCATGGGAAATGGCTTTAAGGAGGGATATAGGTAAGGAAGAATGGGAAAAATATGGAATAAGAGAATATTAAAAAGCATGTCAATTAGCATTAAGAAAAAACTTATAAATATGGAAATGGAACCTGATACCAGTAAAATTATACTGTATGGATAATATACACTCCAATTTATGTTGGAGATGTACTCAGATATTGGGTACCTATTTCCATATGTGGTGGGAATGTGAAAATATTAGGACATTTTAGATAATGATTTTTAAGGAAATCAGTAAGACATTGAATTCAAACGTTGAAGCAGAACCTGAAATTCCATTATTGTCAATATTTTATTAAAAGAAATGGAATATCAAAGAATAACAAATTTGGTAACTCCAACAAGATTAATAATAGCAAAGAATTGGAAGGAGAAATGGGATTTCCAAATAAGCAAATGGTACATAGAAATCTAAGGATGTGGTGGCGCAGTGGGTTAAACCTCGGCTAGGAAACAGAGATGAGCAGCGCCCCCTAGAGTCAGACACAACTGGACTTTAATGTCATGGGGAAACCTTTACCTTTTCATACAGAAATCTGGAATATAATATAACTGTTATAAGTGTTAATGATAAATTAGCATGTGGAATTAAGATGAAAAGGGTTGACACATAAGAATTAATTTAATGATTTTTGGGGTTGTATGAATAAAAAGGAAAGATATCAAACCTTTGGGTGCCTTAATGCAATTTTGGATGGAAGGGGATAGTCCTGAGAAAGGGAAGCATAGAAGAGGAAGTTAAGAAAAAGGAGGAAAGGAATAATTAATTATTATGTAGCCAAGGTCCTAGTTCAGGGGTGTACCAGTTGTGTTTGTAGGGTTTGGTTGGTTGGTTGGTTTGTTGTGTTTGCTGCTGCTGTTCTTGATATGCTTGTATATTTGAACATGCCAAAGCGCCACTGTGGCTTTGGTCTTGGATCATGATCCTCTTTACAGGTAGGAGCATCTGTGGAAGGCCAGATGAACCTCAGTTGTACAGTCAACAGTCTTCAACACTGCAGGTCTGTCTGGTCTTGCCCCACTTATACTCTGATCCAGCATGGCTCTTCCAATGGCGCTAGTGTATGTTAACATGTTTTAGTCGAGCGGTCCGAGGCTGCCGGGGAAAGAGAAATGGTGGCAATTATGAGTTGTATTGGGAGGTCCTGTCACTGACCTGCAGTTGTGTGTTTCAAGCAAACTGTCCATGTGTGTAGTGTCTACTAGTCTTCTAAATTCCACCCTGCTTTTCAATGTCCAACTTTTGCAAGACCGCAGCCCATTCTTCATCAAGCCTCATGGATAAAAGAAGAGCCGCAATAGAAGCACCCCCAGCTCCGTTGAGGTATGACAGAATGCAAATGGCAGCAGTTTTTTCCCCCCAGAAAGCTGGTTTATTGCTTACTAGAGGAGGCTGGTTTTGCATGACTTGGAATAACCCCTAATTTGAAACAGCAAAGCCTTCCATTGAATCGCAGCGGCTGACTGAGTTCAGCACATTGCCCTGCTCTGTGTGAGTGCCAGCTTGCCCAGTGTCACCCTCAGGCACAGCCCCTGCCATGGTGTACACCTGTAGCCTTTTGAAGGTGGGGATTGCCCCCTCCATTCCCCTGAAAGGGGCCTGCCCCATATTGGTGCAGAAGGAACAGGCCTCCTACACGGCCCTTCAGCCAGCTAATATCTCCTAATTTCCAACTGTATGGGCTGCCAGCCGTTTGCTGCTCAAAGATATCTGCCCCTAGAGGCTGAAGTTAACTGCAGGCTTCAACCACATGGATGTATTTAAATTAATTAAAATTCATGCATTTTAAAAACAAAATAACCCTCAGGTACATCCCCCCAGGGTCCTGTTCATATGCATGCCAAATGTGGTCTTGGCACAATGACAGACAGACAAACACATGATTGTATGTATGTATTATATTTATATCCTGCCTTTTTCCTTTTAAGGAACTCAAAGCGGCTTAAATAATGATCTCCTTCCTCTCAATCTTATTCGCAGCAACAATAACAAGCCTGTGAGGTGGGTTGGGCTGAGAGTCTTACTGGCCCGAAGTCACCCAGTGGGCTCCATGGCTGAGTGGGGACTCGAACCCAGATCTCCTGAGTCCCAGCCTTGTGTTCCTAACCACTACACCACGCCGGTATTATGCTAGATCATGCAGGGTGTCTTGTGTAGTAGGCAGTTTGGTATTAATGTGTAGTTCTACTAAGAGCACCTATGCTATGCTACTTCTGCACACCCCATTAAACTGTGATTTTCCATCCGTTACAGGTTCTCTTTGAATTAACAGCCATCCCTCTATCATAATGGAATCAGAGAACTTCATGGTCCTTTATGAAGATAACTCTGTAGAAGTCTACTATCTGGATGGATCCAGGTTGCTCCTTTCTCCTTGTGGGTCTGAGTTTCTGTTTGAGCATGCTGTTCCTGCCTCTGCCCATCCACTCCAGCCACCAGAGAGGGTTCGCCAAAGGACACAGTTTGCTATTAGCATCTATCGGGTAAACAAGAACATTCATTTTCCCAGCGAAGTGCCAGGAGAGAAGAGGGGACATTGTGAGATAAAGGTGGCATGACAGCAAGCTGCCACCAACATTGAGACCTACTCCAAAAAACCGTTGTCCCATGATGGGTCACCCAAAGTTCGGAACAGAATAGCCAAGAATGTGTATCAATATATCAGGCAGAATATTCACCCTTTTGGCCCAGCTGCTTCCTTTAGTTTTGCCATTCTGTCTATTTCTGTTGTTCATGCTGTGGGTGGCTCTCTGTATGTTGCCAATAATCTGAGTTCCAATCATTTTCAAATGTGTGTTCTGTGGAATCTTTGAATTCCCTGAAATGCATCAGGGTACCTTAGTAAGAAAACCCATAATGGCAGGCGGAGTTAACTAGAAGTCTGCCTGCTCCCAAGCTTTCTTTGTAGGAGAGGTGTGTTGGGTGTTAGCTCATGGGGGGCAGTAACAAAGCCTAATGAGTGCATACTCTGGACCACTTCCCAGCAACCTCTGAGCATGCAGGTGTTTTGTGACAGGTGTGCAGAGGTCCTTCAACAGGTGTGACATGGAAAAGACCCCTGAAAATAGAAGTTTGAGAACTACTTTTCCACTCTGAGAAGCACATTTCCAACATCACAGGCAGAAGGCTCCCTTTGCGAGTCCTTTACCCTGTGACCTCCTGCCAGAAAATATCTGGGACCAAGCCTGGGCCAAGAACCTTATATGTGCAAAGCACACGTTCTGCTTTCTTGAAATGCCTAAGGGATATTACCTTGTCCTATCCATTACAGCAGGGGTGGGAAACCTGGGGTATGAGCTCCCCAGAAAGCCAGTCCCCCTTTCCCTGTCCCTGCACTGTCTTTTGGCCACATACTATCTTGATATTCCATTTCCTCCCCTTTTCTGGTATGCAGTATTGAGTAATGCTGATTTGAATGTCACTAAAAACGTCCTTGGAGAGACTTGCTGGGTGGATTTTGCTCACTGTGATTTGCCCAAAGAAGGAATTTCTTCCTAGCTAAAACTGGGGAGAGGCATTTGGGCATTGAACAAACACCCTACTATTGATTTTTGCTTTCCTGTCTAGCCATGAACCCCCTTTTTCCTGCAATATAACCTAATTGTTGCTGTGCAATGAAACCCTTAATCCTCTGGCAGCTCTCCCACATCCTGGGGCGATGGTGTCTCTTGCTTGAGCTCTTTGGAGCAATTGCTAGGCACCTGCTCTGTGGCTGCAGCCTGAATTGTATGACAGAATGAGAGGTATTTAGCATATCAATGCTAAATCCCTGTCTCATGATAGGAACTGAGTTTGCCACTCTTCAGCTTTTCTTCATTTTCTCCCTCATCGCTGCCTCGGGCATGTGCATGCGGGCAGTCAGAGAATCACATGCTCTTTTCCCTTGTCACTAACCGTTCAGTGGATTCCTAGCATTTTTGCAGTTCTCCCAGCCATTCTGTAAAGGCAAAATGCCTCTTTTAAGGCTTAGTTACTGGCAGCAAGAGCTGTAAGTTAAAATACAATGGTACCTTGGTTCTTCCCCTTTGACACTGCCCACAGCTAGAAAGCTGCCTCTGAGAGTCTCCAAAATAAAATTCAGTCCTTGGCCTGAAAGAGATTCAATACTCCTGTAGTAAAAGATGGATTTTTACCCCTTCGTGTAAAGTTGAGGGGGGGAAAGAATTAATTAGATGCTTTTGCAAATCCATTATATATTTGACTGCTATTTTTACCTTTAGGAGCAACTTTTGCAGGCAATAGATTTCCGGAATCAATATTCTGAACATCCCTATTTGCCTTCAGGTATTATACCTCCTAAAAGGAAATCTGTAAGTTTCTTTATGTGTGAATGTTGAGTTTTTGTTTTGTTTTAATTGGCTAGAAGGATTAACTAGAATACTTCTCTTGAATTATCAGACAACTATATAATAATTCAAATCACATGGATTAAAATTTGACTTAAAGAAATACATTCAAAGTGTGCACATGTATCACTAATGCTGGTATCTAAATTGATCGACAAGTCCATATGTGCCCTCCCACTCCTTGAGATCAGCAGGAGAGGCCCTTCTCCGGGAACCCTCCGTGAAGGATATTAGGAGGGTAAGTACCTGGAGGAGGGCTTTCTCTGCGGTGGCGCCCAATCTATGGAATGCGCTCCCCAGAGAGGTCCGCCTGGCGCCATCATTATTTGTTTTTCGGCGCCAGGCCAAGACCTTTTTATTTAAATAATCATTTTAATTGTTAGCTTTATTTATTGATTTTATATCTTCTTCCAGGATGTCTCCAATTATATTGTTTTTATATGTTTAATATGTATTTATTGTTGTGAGCCGCCCCGAGGCTTCGGCGAATGGGGCGACATAGAAGCTTACTAAATAAATAAATAAAAATCTTACAATAAGCAGCAGAATTAGGTACAAAAAGCAGTTCTTAAAATACTTGGGAGAATAAAAAAGTCTTTACCTTTTGCTGAAAAAAACTTAGTATAGCTGCTAAGTTACCCTGCCCGGTGAGAGCATTCCACTAATGGGGTGTCACCCACCTTGATTTGTGTGGCAGAAGCACTAGCAGATGATCTCATGGCAAGAATATATTGGAAGAAAAATTACTTCAGGTGAGCTGACCCACGCCATTTAGGGCTCTAAAGGTTAAGCCAGCTCTCAATTAATTCCTTTCAATGAGGATTGGGAAAATAAAGAACACTTGGGCTGGGTAGAAAGCAAATCATCATCTCCTAATTGTCTAACAGTGGCAACAACAACTAAAGTGACTCTTTCCACCAAGATTAGGCGGCTGAAATGAACAAAGCTTACAGGGAAGCTAGAAGAGAAGTTTTGGGTAGAAGCCGTGGGAGCTCGGTTTAGTTCTCAAATCAGAAACAAATTGCTAGGTTCAGAACAAGCTCCCTGTTCTTTAATTCTAGGTATGCCTTTGGCACCCAGCTGTGCTTGGTGGATCTCACAGTTTTAGACAGACAGACCCAACAAGCCTGAAGTCTGCCAGCCCATGAAGGATCTGCTGATAATGAACATGTGTGTTCAGACAGAAAAAAGCACTGCAACTCCTAGCATTCCCCAGCCAGTAGTTAAGGGTTTGTTTGTTTTTCTTCCTGCCTAAAGATGCATTGGATTGTTCCCTAAATAAAAACTGAAGAAATTTGGTGAAGAAATTCAGAAGAAACAAATATAATCCAACATACTTTTATATAGGAAACACATAACCCTTTAAACTCAAGAGGTAAATATGCTTTGCATCAGCAGTCATACAAGGTACTTCTAAAGCAGACACAGTTTTGGAATAGAACTTTAGGTTGTGGGAGTTTTACTCCAGGCTCAGACAGAGGGAGGAAGGAGCATATTTATGCATGCAAAACAGAAGCTGTGTTTGTTAGTAATTATGTGTCAAAGGACTGAAATAGCACAGCGCTGTAATGAAAAAGATCTCACGCTTCAGACTGAAAATTGTGCTTTTCCTTTTACAGGTTTTTTTCACAGATATCTACGAAGCCAGCTGGCCCAGTCCTGATACTGCTCATGAGACAATATGTATGCATAATGGCATTGTGAAGGTGTCGTCTTTAGATGGTCACACTTGCCTCTTCTTGCCAGAGCTTCAGCAAGACTTTACAGTGGAGTTTTTCTGCAAAGTCAGCCAAAAATTATCAATGCCGTTACCTTTTTTAGAGAGAGGCTGCAACGAATCCACCCAGGATCAGTGTGGAACATCCAGCCAACATTCTGTCTTAAAGTTGCCCTCTAAGCAGCTGAAAACAGAAGAAAAGGATAGTCTCTCCTTCAAGGCTACCAAAAATCATGCACAGGATAGCATTTCAAGCCCTGCACAAACAGATCATGAGAATTGTTCCTCTGAATATTCTAAGGTTATTCAGCATATGTCTGTATCCTCCTGCCCTGAAGAATGGAAGTACCCTTTGTCATTGGCATTTATGTTTTATCAGCTACATGCTTGTAACAGAGCTGAAGCTGATGAAGGAAACCAAAAGAGTGAAGACATGCAACTTGATGCTTCTCAGTGTGAAATGTCTAAAGCAATTACATGTTTGCCTTCAGCTCTACCACTCAGCTGCCATGCTCCATATCTGCACAGGTTAATTCCATTTTATTCATGTAATACTGAAATATAACTAACTTATCTTTTCATCTTTTAAAACAGTCCTTTCACTCGAGGCAGCCAAGGTTCAGTATACAGTCGACAATGATCCTTCAAACTCCCTTGGACTTTTCAGTGGGTTTCGCAGCATGTCCAGAGCAAGACTGGGGAACCTCATTCAGCCAAGGAGTCCAAGTCACTCTTGGGGCTGGTTGGGGAACATGGTACAGGGATGATAATAATGAGCTTAAGGCCAAATGGTCTGTGACCAAAAATACCAAACTAGTAGTATATTTTAGCTTAAAGCTCTTAGTGGTAGTAATAAACCTAAGGAGAAACATTTCAACTTTACAAAATGGGAGAAAGCACCAGGAGACCAAAACTAATTGGTCTTTGGGGAAAAGAGCATGGTCACTGGGGAGGCTCCTAGCATAGTTCCCCCAGTCCCTGGAAATGGGGTCTTGGCTTAGTTCCCCTCTCCAGGAGTGGAGTGAGGTCCTGGCTTAGTGTTCCCTCTGCCCCCAGTACAGTACCTGTTGTGGAAAACAGGACTTAGTGCTGGGTTTTGAGAACAGATCTGCTAGAAGCACCTTATTACCTGTAAAGCTCAGACAACTGCTTGGGGAGGAACCAACCAGCATACCAGGCATCGGGAAAACTCTGCCTTGGTAAAGGAATCACATAGTAATAATAGCTTATCAGGTTACCCAAAACAATTCCTGACTAGTCGGTCACCCGAAATATTGCAGTAGTTACAGAAGAAAGCTGTTCAGCATCCCTGTGCTTTTGGCAGCTATAATTATCCGACTGGATAAGAGTGTTCCCAAGGAATGCTCAGGGAGTATTGTGACCCAAGGAGCCGAGTGAGAAGATTCTCACTTTTCTTCTTCACATCCTTTTTTTACAAAACCGTTCCAAGTCACATTTGATACCTACTTGTTTTAGTTCAATGCTGTTCAATAATCACACTATAATAAAAAGTAACTTAATAGTTAGCATAGAAATCTTGTGTAGACTAAGAGAGCTTGCCAGTTTCTGCCCAGAAACTAATCAGTAGATTGGCACTTGATTTTCCCCCGCTTGGGATGCAAACCTATATATCATGCAGTTGAGCAGCTGTGGCCCTCCAGATGTTGTTTGACTCTAGTTTCCATTAGCCCCAGCTAGCATGGCCAATGGTCAGGGTTGATGTGAATTGTTGTGAAGTGCCTTAGGTTCCCCACCTCACCTGTGCATAATTCCTCCAATAGCTTCTGCTGCCCACAGTTCAGGACTTCCTGCTGGGGAAACAGACATACAAGCATGTAGGCTTTAAGAACTGTAGCTGAGTTTTGCTTAGTAAATGGTCCATTAATTTGATCCACAGGTGGACTTTCATGGATTTCATCCAGCTGAGAAAGGAGGACTGTCTGTATTCTTCACATTCGCAAGCAATCAAAGTCCTGTGGAACAAGGGTGTCATTTACAGGTTAGAGAAAATCACTGTGTGTGTGTTGGCAATTGTAAGGCTTACAAATTAATTTATTTAAGAAACCCTTGTGGGGTAGTGACAATTGGAAAATAATGCTTTTATGTTGGTATGGATCCAGTACTCCTGGGAGCAGAACTCTGTTCCTATGATGTATCTTCTGGTGGAAGGAAGAGAGATGATGTTTGCCACTTTCTTCTTCCCATGCACTTATTTATTATTTATTTATTAAAACATTTTTATGCCGCCCCATTCGCCGAAGCCTCAGAGCGGCTTACAACAATAAATAAAACCACATAAATTAAAATATACATATTAGAATACTAATAATAATTTAAAATACAGTATACACACAATATAAAATAAGCCACCCTGGCCAGATAAAATTCAGTAGTATTAACATTTAAAATGTTGCTTAAATAAAAAGGCCTTGGCCTGGCGCCGAAAAACAAATAACGACGGCGCCAGGCGGACCTCTCTGGGGAGCGCATTCCATAACTTAGGCGCCACCGCTGAGAAAGCCCTCCTCCGAGTAGCCACCCTCTTAATTTCTCTCACGGAGGGCTCCCAGAGAAGGGCCTCTCCCGCCGATCTCAGGGGGCAACTGGGCATATATGGATGGGCACTTCCTGGTGGTCTCTGAAAATTTGCTCCACAATATACAGTAGGCTGTTGGGAAAAGGGAGAATTGGTAAGGATTATGTCCCCTCCCCTTCACTCCTACTATCTGGAGTCTCTGCGGGATTGCAGCTCCTTCCTTTAAAACAGCAAACTGTGGACTCAAGCTTATCATCATTATTTGGAATTTGTAGGTGGTTTCTTTCTGTGCAATAGCAGACTTTTTGCCTACAGCTGTTGCAAGAGTTTCTAAACAACTAAAGATTTGAAGGGAGTATTGTTGGTAACCCTGCCTAGCTCCTCTGTCTGATAAGTCTGACTCTTGAAAGTTCCCTATTTATTAGTATTTTTGAAGAAGGTAAGTTTTACATAGATTGTGAGCATTTAATTGCTTGGTTGACTTGATTGAAAGGTGTAGAATGGGCATAAATTTACACAGGAGAAAATTCAATAGTTACCAAGCAAAAAGCTGACTTTATTTTAAATTATAGATGAGCTACTTAGGATGCAATCCCATGCATGTTTTAAAAAAGCTGGGCATGCTGGGTATTGGTGGACTTCTTCCTGTCCAGTCAGGCATATCCTTAAACAAGCAAAAACCAATAAAACCTTAATAGATTGTACCAGATTAACAGATGAATAGAAAATCTAACAGATTTGTAGAAAAACAGCTAATGTGATAACAGTTGAAATAACAAAGCTTATATCTTGAAATATTTTAAATATGAATTTGAATTATTCTAATTCAGTCTTTGCTGCACAGTGATAATCTATCTTTTTATATTAGAAAACTTTCATTTCGTTTATCACATTTGTATACCATCCAGTAGCCAAAGCTCTCTGCGCTGTTTACTAAGATTGAAACTCTTTAAAAATGCCATATTATATATAGTATAAAGACATTCACATGCAAACATATAAACAGACAAAATACCTACACACACATCAAAGCAAACCAACAACAGCAACAAAGCACCTAATTCAAACTTCATGCTGCCAAATTCCTGAGAATAGAGAGGGAGGTCTTAATCTGGTGCTGAAAAGATAACAGTGTTGGTGGCTGGCAGTCCTTGCTGGGGAGTTAATCGTACAATGTGGGGGGGGCACTGAGAAAGTCCATCCCCAGGGACAAGTTTCTTAAATGATGTGTGTACTACATTAGAAAGATCATGCAGGAAAAAGTGCTTTATCATATATATTATGAATATTAATAAAATATACCTTTTTCAAATTGGAAGTAATGCCAATGTCTGGGATTGTTTCATGTTCCAAGTCCAGCTGAACCTAATGAAGCTGAAGCACAGAAAATTGTACTGAATTGTTGCTATTATAAGTTCAGTACAACTGGTTGATCCAGAGTATTATAAGTATGAGTAAGTCTCTGGATCCAACCAAATAACCATAAAATACATAGTGGGACTAATGAATAATATTTCTCCTCAGGTTTCTTCTTAGAAGGAAAAGTATGGAAATTTACCCTGGTGATGGATCAGTTTTCAAATCAGAGGGTTCCTTTTTGGGAAAATATTTCACTCGTTATTTCATTCAAGAAAAAACAAAACAGGTAAATGGTCCCAGTTTATCTTTTCACCTCATTCTTGTGTATTTTTCAAGAATAATAATATATTATTATTAACATGGTAGATATTGCTGTAGTTCAACAACCATTCAGTGCCTGGTATAAGCAGATGTGCTATAGATAAAATCCTAGCAAGAAAAAACATAATCAGAACTCTAGTGTGTATGATATAAACTAGGATTTCCATTCTGTTTTCCTTGATACTTGAGAAGTGACAGGAAAACAGAAAACAGAAGAATCTGGCTTTTCAGAACTGGTGAGATGTCCATCATAGTTTGAAGACTATATGGGTGTTTTTGAGCTCCCCCTTCTAAAACATGGAGATAGGAGATACGGTGAAGGGCAAGGACTGGTTTCCTGGCTGCTCGCCCCATCATGACCCTTTGGCTTGAGGGAGCATTTCTTTACTAATGTCCCATTTTAAAAGCTCTCTTCCATGTGAAAAGTTGCACAATTCACAAACTTGACCTAATACCTTTGTCTCTCCACATCTCTGTTGGTACATCTCCCTCTCATAAGTACACTGTAAGTAGCTGCTATTATAGCATTGCATGTATATCCAGTCTTTTTTCCTCTTGTGAAGAACCAAAGGCAACTTAGTTCCATTTTATCCTCACAACAACCCTGTGAGGTAGGTTAGCCTGAGGGTGAATGACTGGCCCAAAGTCACCCAGTGAGCTTCATGGCCAAGTAGGGTATAGAATGTTGAATTCTCAGTCTGACACTTGGACCTCTCAAAATGGTCAAAAACTTGCTTTGGGTTGAGTGAGACTATTTAGCCCAGTCCTGGCTGTTTCACAAGTGTCAAATGTCTTCTAGCTTGACAGCTTAATTCAATTTTGGAGCTGCTTTCATGGACTGGGTTGGGAATGAAGGCAAAACAGGAAGCCTGAAGCTTTAAAGGCTCACATATTTTAGCTTAAAATCAAAGCAGCTTGGAGCAATCTAAAGTTTTCAGGGTTGTACTAGTTCCCTTTTGGTTTAGCAGAGATTTCTGCCAACTCAGAATATGCATTGGAAGGCTGCCATCATTCAATTCCACCCCAGGCATTGCAGGCAGCTTATGCCAACTGAATTATTTGGTGAACTAAGTTCCTATAGGCTATTTTAATAGATAGCTGCACATGGTAGGGGCTGTGGGGGTTGGAGTCAGGAAGAACAGTGATAGCCAGCACTGAGGATTCGCAATACAGTAGATCCGTGATATCTTTCTATATGGCACTTTAGAAAACATCCTACTTTCTTTTATCTTCAAGAGAGAAGAAACAATGTATTCTGTAAGTAGCCTTCCACCTGATATACCCGGAAGCCCATACTCTGTGGGGGAAGTTATTACACAAGCAGTAAGGTAAAATATTTTGACTGTATAATGCATATTTATATTAGCTGTTTGTTTACTGACTAATTTTTATGTGCCCCTACAGTGGAGTCAAGGTTTTTTTGGCATTCCAAGGAAAGCCATATTCCAGAGCTGAGATTTGCTTACAAAGAGATTTATTGATAAATTAAGTAACTTACAATGCAATAATATACTCAATCCAACATCAGGGAGGCTCCTGTCAGCTGGAATGGATTCACAATGAAGTTTGCCAATCAGCAAGAAATCCAAACAGGAACTGGGCCAACTGCTCAGTTTATATGCCTTTCTGTTGTCTACAGCCAAGGCATGCATTGTTACAGTTGTAGGAACTTTAAAGCCACATGGAATTTAATACTACTAATTGGTACGGTATCTCTTCACAGTGTTTGCATCATAAGATAGTTCAATATGGCTGATTAAGCACCTGTGCAAAATAACTTGACATATGCCTAGAAGGCAAGCTTGTTGGCGAACTTTCCTGATAAGCAAGCACCTGCTCATTATTTTTGCAATGCCCCATGTCTGTTCTTTGTCCATCTTCCCTGCCAGCAGGCCTGAAACCAAGCCAGGCAAGGCAGAAGACACTGGCAGCCCAAACAATTATTTATATGCTCCCCTGAAGCTCCCCTGAGTTCACTGATTAGCTTACAAGCAAAATTAAGTATGTTACCATAACAATCCAAAGCAGTGATGAGTAAAGAGTATAACAAAATCAAAACAGTTCAGAGCAAACAAGTAAAACCACGGAGCCGTATCAGTTTTAAAGGGACAGCAGAGGCATAACAATCCAGAGCTGAACAAAATTAAATCAGCAACATTTAAAGGGCCTGGGAACTAGAAAGCTATTTGGTGTCAAAAGATGTTGGGCAAGGTGCCAGACAGGCCTCTCTGGGGCAGGAGAATTGCTTGTCTGGTGAGGGGGGGCTGTACCAAAAAAAGGCTTTCACTAGGAAATGGAGACTGGGAGAGAGGTCTCGGCTGATGGCCTGTGTTTTGTTTGAACTAGGCCTAGGAACAGACTACAGGCAATAAATATGATGAAGTCAGTGGCATGATATAGTCGTAGTGCCCAATCCCAGGCCTGTTTTTACGTGGGGCAGGGAGACATTTACTACTAGTTGTTTGAAGAGAAACTCAAGCTCCACTAATCAGAGCTGAAAATGGCAGCTTAGAGAGCCAATTACCACTTGTACTCTGTCACCCATGGGTGCAACCTGCATATTAGTAAAGAAGCCTATTATGGGAAAGCCTTTTCTGTTGTTATTAAACCACTGGGACTTAGAAACCCTTGCCAATTTGCTGCAAGTCATCCAGCAATTTACCAGTAGTTGCCAGTTTACCACGTGCCAACCACAGGGGAATGGCACTTTCAACAAATATCCAACTGAACATAAACTGTCAATTTTAAAAGTCCTTGGGGGTTTTTCCTTTCCTTTTCCTACCTAGAATTCTTCAACATGATCTTGAGAACATACTTTCATTAGCACATAATTACAGTGTCTGCTGCTGGAAAGTGGTGAGTGTGGAAAAGCTGCCATTTTGTAAAGTTTTGCCAGACATAGTGCTTGTGAGACCCCTTCCTCATTTTCCAGGAGATATGTTTGTGATGTGGGTGTGTCAGTGAGGCAGAGAGATTTGTATCCTGACTCAGCACATAGACTCAGTATTAATAAAGTATATTTTAATGTATTTGTATACTTTTAAAAGACCACTCAAAAAAGAAATAAGACCTAACACTAAGTACCTCCAGGATCAGAAGCAACAAGCTTCTGGGGGGCTGTTGTGGAACTGTGCCAGTAACCTCTCAAAACATTCCTTGCAGCCGGGCCCCCAAGAAGAGTCCAAAATTGCAGGCGGTTCTGCCAGTTCACATCTACAAAGGCAATTCTGGGGATTTTCCTCTACTGGAAACAGACCTTTTGTAAAACTAATGGGTCTCAATTACCCATCCATAGCCACCAAAATATGTTGCATTACAATAAGGAATAGTACATTGTTGCTGGAAAATTTTATTTACACCTAGCTACTGTGTAAGTAAACACATCAGATGCTTAGGAGGAAGGGGAGATACGGTAGCTTTTTTTTAAGGGATGTGTGTGGAGTGAGCAGATTAGCATCCCTGCTAGTCCAGAAGGCCAGTACTGCACTTCTGTGAGCCTTGGCTCCACAAAACCTCTGCTGGGGACCAACAACACGAGGGGGAGGTTGCCCCCATGCCTGTCTTGTGGCAGCTGGTGGTCACTGTGGGCAGCAGTGCTGGACCAGATGGGCCTCTGCTCTGATCCAGTAGGGCCATTCTTGTGTTCGTGACTCCTTAAAGCTCCTGCGCATAGCTTCATTCACCTGCAGTACTCTGTCTCAGAGGACACAAAAGGTAGACTGTGAGCCACTGGTCAATTGATGCCAAATCTCGTAGCACAAGCAGTCTGCTGGAATTTTGTGATGTTTTATTGGGTGGATCTTGTTTTGATCTCACGAGCTGCTACTTCTGTGATACCAGAGCAGCTGCCCGTATTTTGACACCCTTTAAATTGCTAATAGAGTCCATGTTTGAACATTATCCCATTTTTGTGGTGGGTTTGTGGCCATTCTCTGCAGATGATATAATGCCAGTTAATGAGTTGTATGATTTCGAGTGGCAGTTTTTAACAAACGATTGTGAAATTGATACTGGGAACATGAGCTCTAAATCAAACAAAGGTTGTACATGTTGTAGGAGAGCCCTTTCTGTCCTTGATTTTCTGCAACATTTTCTGCTGCTGAAGTAACAGACCACCTTTGAAGGAAACAGTCTGCCTCTTCAGCAGCAGAAACTAACATGACTCTTTTTCAAACCCCAGGCAAGGTCCAGACACTGGCTCTTAACAAAACATATGAGATGCTTGTGCTAAACCCTAAGTGGCTAGATTTTGTGTTTAGGGCCTCCATTCTGTGATCTGTAGCATATTTAGAACCCTGCATGTTTCCAGAACTCCTGGTATTTAATGAGCCAAAGGGAAGCCTATTGAGGAAGGAAGTTACTTAATTTGTTAAATGTATTTATATGCCAACTTTCTTCTTTCCTGGAACTCAAGAACTGTTTACAGAAGGTTCTCAGTCTTTCATGCAGGCTGGAACCAAATCTGTTTAGCTTTGGCAAGATGGCTATATTAGGCCATGTCGCTGGAGTCTAAAATGGCTAATGGATGGCCAAATGCCAGTGTAAAGACAACATTTTCTCCTATGCGGTTTATTTTGTAATAGTCTCCTGAGATGCACAGAAGAGAAATGTTACCTGTCCCTTTGGCTGAAAATGTTATTCCTAATGTTGGAAGATTCTTTGCATATCCAGATAATAAAATACATGCTGTCTTTCATGATGGAATGATCCTGAACATGGTGTGGGATTTTGGTTCTCCATATGGAAAGTCACAGGTGAGCATTAAAAGGAGTTGGTGTTTCTTATTCCATATTTGAACTAAATATGTCTCATTCCCCAGTTTCTTTTTGTGTGCTTGTTTTCCTTTGTTCAGTTTCACAGTGTGGATGATCCTCTACAAAACCATTTTACTACATGAAAATTAAAGGAAGAAAAAAATCACTTTCTGATGGTTTTCAGGTTGTGAAAACTGATTGCAACTTATGATTAGAGATCTGTGATGCACTGTCAGGTGTAGAAAATAGATATTTATTTAAAATATTGATATACTGCCCTTCAAGGTGAAAGTCCTCCCAAGGTAGCTGATACCATTACAATTCTTATAATAAAAATACAATATTATGGCAGCAAATGTTCATAAAAGGACAGCAATAAAACGTTACCAAAAATGTACTGTGCAGTTGCAGCTACAGAATAGAAAATCCAATAGAGCATGGTCAAGGGAAGGCCAGAGTAAAATAAGTCTTCAGGGCCTACTGAAAGCCTGTAGTGAAACTCCCTTTCAAGGGCAGCTGGATTAGCACCTCTCCACTGTCGTTCCATAAGCATGCAAAAAAAATTTATTCAAGCAGGTCTTTGGCATATCAGTCTGTTGCTTAAGTGTTTTTAGGTCAGAAATGTTTATCTCTTGTTTAGTGAATTTGTTATGTTTTAATTAAGGTTTCATGTTTAATCTAGATTTTAGTGTTAGCTTTGAGCATCATTTTTGGGAGAAATGTGGGATATACAATTAAAAAACTGAAATGCATAAATAATATAAATAACTTTTGAGACTCCAGTGTGTTTTGAGTGCCTCCACCCCAACTCCAGAAAGAAGATGTGACCCTTCCAATAATCTTTCCAAAAAGCCTCACCAAAAAAATAAAGAAATTGGACCATTTAAGAACATTTAATTTACTGGACAGTCTGTTCTCATCTACAATATAAAAGTGGTGATTTTTAGTAAAGGATTGTAAAGTCATCCTGGAGAACATGAGCATTTTCTGCTGCTGAAGAAAGGTCACCTTTATCTTTTTAACATGGGAAATTGATATGAATGTTCGACAAACCCCAGACAAACACGCTGTCTCTGTAGTAATGCTACTCATAGATGATTATCTCACTGGGTAAAGAAGTGCTCCGGGGATAATTTTCCTAAAAACAAAACAAAAAGCAGTGACCTGTGCAAGCACTTGCATCCGAAAGGAAAATGGCAAGAAACAGAAGAGCCTTTCTGCAAGCCAGAACACCAGAGACAGCCAGTGAAAGGAGAGCAATGCTCTGCAAGAAAATGCATATTTATCCCCCTTTCCCAAGGGATCAAAAATAACTCAGTTTTTTCTTTTGGGGGCCTAGCTTCAGTTGCAACTTAGCAACACAGTATCTGTTCCCTATAATACACAGGGAGAGGGAAGCCACAGAGAAGAGCTTTTTAAAGGGAGAAAGCACTTTAAAAGTTTTTAATGTTAACTTTAGCTGATACAAGGTTATAAATTATTTTATTATTTTTTCCTAATTGAACTCAGGATGCTAGCACAGGTTGGTGTAAACTGACTTCCCCAGAAGGATCACAGCAGCTTCTCCACATAGATCATCCTGGGGTCCACGAAAGGTATTATTGGATATTGTTGATATGTTCAAGGATGTCTGTATGATTTTATCTGCCTTTCAGGAATTATTTAACCCATCTAAGGCAAACATAAGGAACATTACATTAATGACACAAGTTTTTTCGAATGTTAAAGATTTCAGCAAGGTTACCTATTATCTTTTTGCCCTTAGTGGTATCTGTGCTAACAATAATTCTACAATTAACTTAATATTAGGCAAGTCTCAGAGATAGACTAATTCATTGTCTTGTTTCACTGATGGAACAATAGATAGGACCAAAAGCTCATCCCATCTGACCCCTCTGTTTTTCAATATTATATGGTGATATTTGCTGGCTTAGTTGACTTCCTTTTTTTAGAAATAAGGAAGAAGCTTTTTAAGATCAGAATAGAAGTAAAGGTGGAAGGGGCCTGTAAGTCCATTGGATCCAGCTCCCTGCTCTGCTTCCAAAGTGGCACCCATCCAGCTGCAGGCCTGTGCCTTTCTTGCTTAGCAAAGATGACTCGACATACTAGCTCAATGTATAGCTATGCAGGTAGGTGATTTAAATAGAATTTGCAGTGCTTCAGAAGATGGTGGTGTTTCAGGAGCTGCATCCGGTACTTCTCACAACTGTAGCTGTCATTTGTACAAATTATGCCTGCAGAGATGCTTGGCTTCCTTTGAAGTGCAGCAAAACCAAGCCAGGAAGCATTAGGTTGGCCTTTAAAGCCATGGAAACTATTATTTATCCATGTACCAGTTTCACTTGTGAGTACAGGTCAGTGAGCACATCTGCAAGAATGTCATGATCACTCTCATAAAATAAGTTATAGTATTTTTATCATGGCCTTTAGCCAGAAAGATTGCTATAGTATCTTACAAAGTTATTTCTTAAGATAGTCCTTGCCTGCAGGCTTACAATCTGTTTAAAAAAGTACACAAAAAGAAAGGATTGGGAAGGAGGAATAACAAAAATTCAGGCACTAGACCAAATTTAATTGGTCATAGATTCAGTGGATGGTTTACTGCTTCCTCTCCTCAGAAGTAACCGTGGGTAGCAGGAGGAACGGGGCTTCCAGCTGCAACTGGAGTGGCTTGACTTCCTCTTCCTCTGGCTGCCATGTGACAGGGAAGAGGGAGACTTGTCCATTCATTAAATGACTGCAATGGCTTGAGCCAAATCACACATTTCTCTGGAAGCACACTCGTGAGACTTAAAGAAAAGTAACTCGCCCGAGAACCTCAACCTGAAGCAGTGGCAGAATTTCAGCTCAGACACAACACACTTTTGAAGCCAAATAAATATGGAGCTGAAGGGCAGTGCTTCAGCATGCAGCCTGCAGGATCAAGAATACTGTAAAAAGTCTTAAGAATTACAATAAAATGATAAACTAAATTCTTTTAAAGAGAAAATATGATACAGTATTACAATATTGAAGATGATACAATGTTACAAAAGAAATATTTCAATATTACAAAAAGAAAAGATACAATATTACAAAATGAGCTGGAAGATGTTTGGAGAGAGTTAAAAGGTAATGAAAAGAGGCTTACTTTTTACTCCTCTGTTCACAAAACTTTTTCTAGAATAGATTATATATTTGTGTCTAAGGATTTGTTCGATAAAATGTATAAATTGGGTATTGGCACGATAAAAGTGATAGACCATGCTTTAGTAAATATGGATTTTAAAATGAAATGTGATTATAAAGAAGTCAAAAGATGGAGGATGGATACCAACATTTTGCAGTATAGGTATGTAGTAGATAAAATGGAGAAAGCATTGAAAGAAATTTGCAAAATTAATGCTAGAGATGGTAATGATAAAGGTTTAGTTTGGGATACAGTGAAGGCAGTTGTGAGAGGAATAAGGGTTTCTGTGCCCCATACAGAGGAAAGAAAGTTTCTTCTCACATGCCCAGATTATGGAGGGAAGGACAGACCAAAGGGTAAATCCCTCGGCCAGCAGGCCACTCGCCTGCACATAATTCCTGGTTACCTGAAGTGATCTGGCATGTGGTTCTCCCCCCACCCCCCCCACCCTGATAATATCTTGGGGTATAAAGCCACCCAGTGTATAAGACACTGTAATTCTTTTGGCAGTGATTGAGCACTTTGGGGCCAATGTTGGCTGATGAGCGGGGGTGGGAATGTAACGAGTTATTCAGTGCAACCAGAGATGTTGACGGGCACGCGGACTCGGTGCTTCTGAGCCTTTCAGCCTAGACTCGCTGGGCTTTTGCCTGCCCGTATGCCTGAGAGGAGCTGACAGCGTATGTCAGGGGAGCCTGAGAAGAGCAGCTCTGGACTAGAGGATGCGAGGAGCCTGCCTTGCACTGCGTCAGACGCTTGCTCCAGCTAGCCCAGCTGTATTGACCTGGACGGGCAGTGGCTCCCCAGGGTTCCAGGCAGGCATTTTTCTAGCCCTAGCTAGAGATGCTGGCCACTGGACCAGGAGCCTTCTGCAGGCGAAGCAGGTGCTCTGCCACGGAGCTGCAGCCCGCACTGCCCAAGCACAGCTCCTTGACTGTGTGCTGTGCAACCCAGTTCTTGTTTAGATGCGACGTAAGCGTCAGGCACAAGGGTTTGCTTCTGCACGAGAGTCACTGCCAAGACTGGGGACAGGGCAGGGGTTGCCCACCCATAGTGGATATCGCAGAACCTCTTTCTCTCTAATGCAGATACATCACCCCGGTGGTGCAATGGTGTAGTAGCTTGAACAAGGACCGAGGGAGATGCACAGTTTCACCTGTACATGAAGAAACATGGTATTCTTAAATGATTTCCATAAGCCTTTGTTATTGTTATGTAGATCCTGCTTTTTCTCCCAAGAACCCAAAGTGGTGTACATAATTCTCATCCTCTCCATTTTATCCTCACAGCAGGCTGGAGAGAGTGAGTTACTGGCCCTAAGTCACTCAGAGAGCTTCAGGGCCAAGCAAACACTGACCCAAGTTCTCTATAGTTCCAGTCCTGGCTTTCATCAAATATATATTTCAGAGTTTTGTACAATAAAGCAATCGCATCAATATTACAATAAAAGGCATCATGTTTCATTGAAAGGCACTTGGCACAAGACCTTGGCAAGAAATGTTTCTATCGACCTTAGTAAGGAGTCAAATCAATTCAGCTTAGACTTTAAAAATAATGATTTGGGTTATAGTCTGGTTCAGGGTAAATAAAGAATTAATTCTGTAGAACCATACTTAAGTTGTGTTGGTGCCAAGGTTTTTCAGCCTGCTCTCCTAGAAAAACTGTTACCTAGTGAGCCAGAAACTTTATTCTTACACCAGAGTATATGCATGTAGGTAGGCTGCAAGAGACTACAAAATGGCACTGTTTGTAAGTGCCATTACTATACTACCAAGTTTTACCATAGCGTTTTAGTCATATATGTGAGAATGTCTGCTTCTTTGTGGACAGATAGACAGTAACATAGTAAGGTACAGTTTAAGACTACACTGGTCAAAACTAGTGTTGCTGTAAATATTATTTAAGGGATTAGCACATTCTTTCCTAGTGATATCTAGTTGTCCCATTCTGATGGTTTCTAATTTCTCTATACAAATAACTCTGCTTATGTTTTCTTTTGGTGTACCCGAACAGCTGAAAAACCAATAAAATGTCTACTTCTCCACTTGCTCCCCAAATGAAGATGGTTTAGACTGGTACTTTCTGAGCTGTTCAAAGTTTTTGCTTTGATAGCTGATGGCAGTTTCAATGTTTTCTGAAATTGGTCGTCTTAAAGCATCAAAATCTGTCAGAGTTTTGATTATGATGTACAAAGATTTATAAAGTTTGTAGAGTATCATTCTCTTTTCATTCAATCAATCAGGAAATTTCTTAGTATTGCTGTGAAACAAAATGCTTGTTACAAAATAGAGGAATATATTGAACTGTAATGTTCAAATATTATCCCCCCCCCCCCGCCACAAAAAAAGGATGTAGTGGGTGAAGGGTGATTGTTCTCCTATACCTTTTCAGTCTCATATGCCTATAAAGTGGTGGTAAATGAAGTAGCATTTTGAGAAATAAGTTCTCGGTTTTTTTCTTTTCTTTTCATAGGTCAGTTGCTGCTGAACTTGAAAAAATAAAAAGATTCAACTGTATCCTTTTATATTCCATTTTGAATTTGTAGAACACTTATGGAACTATTAGTTCATATTTTCCTTAAAATACCCTTTAACTTTTTCTATGCTTTGCTTTGGTCTGTTAATCAATGTACAGTGAATTACACGTACATAGTATTAAAATGATGATAACTCATTCATATGAGTCAATAGTGTGATGTGGCTGCAAAAAGCACAAATGTTATTTTAGACTACATCTATAGAGGTATCACTTCCAAATCACATAAAGTACTAGGGTCCCCCGCCTCCCACCCTGCACTGGTTAGACCTCATTTGGAGTACTATGTCCAGTTCTGGGCACCACAATTTAAGAAAGATGCAGATAGGCTGGAAAGGATTCAGAGGAGGGCAACAAGGATGATTCAGGGACTGGAAACAAAGCCCTATGATGATCGAATGAAAGAACTGGGCATGTTTAACTTCGAGAAGAGGAGACTGAGGGGAGACATGATAGCACTCTTCAAGTACAGAATAACAGGCTCAAGTTACAGTATACCAGGTTCTAGGTGAACATCAGGAAGAACTTCCTGACTGTTAACACAGTACAACAACGGAACCAATTACCTAGGGAGGTTGTGGGTTCTCCCTTGCCAGAGGCATTCAGGATGCAACTGCACAGCCATCGGAGGGGGATGGTTTAACCTGGAGTCATGCAGTGAATGAGCAATGGTCCCCCTTCAGCTCTTCTATGATTCTTTGATTCACGTGCCTATATCTGTTATGCAGTGGTTAGATGTCGCTTACTAATGCTAGAGAATTTCATTCCTTGTTAAACCACTTGGTCTGATTCTGCTAAATATGTACGTATTTGATATCCTGAAATATCCTGTAGATTTTTTAAAACCTTGCAGTGCAATCCTATACTTATCCATTCAGAAGTAAGTACCTTTCAGTTCCATGGTACTTATGCTTCTGTTGGTGCATGAAGAGTATGAAGGACTGTTTTTCAGATCTTTGTTAAACATTTCCTTAACAATACAAATATAGTTTTAGTGGAGAACAGCAATATTCCAAGCATGGTTTCAGGTGCAAAAAAATACATATCCTCCAATATAGATAGGCCGGAAGAAAACTTTTTAACTGAGGATATTAGTAAAAAGAACATAGCTGAGACGCTGGAAAAAACGTCAAAGTTTATCAGTGATATTGACTCTCTTTTAGCTTCTTCTGGAAAGCAAAACATGATCAAAGGTATTTCAGAGGATGCTGTTTTTCATTAACCTGCTTGAAGACAGAAGGAAATAAAACTAGAAGTTCATGTGATAGAGTTAATAATTCGTCCTGAGTCACAGACTCCATGAGATGACCAGTCCATGGTTTATATGAGGGGCAAAAGATGGGAAGATTTCTGTTAAGATTACAGATATACCTCCATTAAATGAATGTCACTGTATTTAATTAAAATTTGAATTAATTCTGATTTTTCACTTGGGTGAAAAAAGTGCTGCACTGTTTCAGCTCTGCTTTTGATCCTGTATCAAAACCATAATAACATATTTGAGATTTTGATAGAGAGTGGAGATGTATCAAACTACTCCAGTTTATAGATGTTTGAATAAAACAATTCAGCGTTCAAACTATTTCATTAAAGTTTCCATTCTATTGTCACTTTTAAACTGTTCTTCTTTTGTAAGGAAATTTTCATTGCAGTTCGTGTGCATTAATAGTATCAGAATAATCATTATTGATAAATTGAGATCTGTCTTTATTTACCTGTTAGATCCTCATCAGCTGTTGCAACTGTAAATGTTTGTCCAAAAAGGATATTTATGGACAATAAAACCTCACAAAACCAAATTACTTAATAACTCCTATAGTTGCATGGATTTATTCCGAATAACATTAAAGGATGAACACTAAATGACTATTATTGGTACTACTATTCATTAAATTATTTGGTATAACAATAAATGGTGTATTGTAACAGTAAATGGTGGTGGTGGTGATGCTGATGATGATAATTTATTGCACTGCATTTATAATCCACCGTTCTCCCTTTTGGAAGGTACCCAAGAAGAGTTACTAGGTGCTTTCTTCTTTTTATTCCCACAAAAACATCCATGTTACATAGGTGGGCAATGATCGGCCCAAAATCACACAATGAGTTCCATTGCTGAGCAGGAACTAGAACCCAGATCTCCTTAGTCCCAGTCTAGCACCCTTAAGCACTACGCTACACTGACTTACAACTGTTTGGTGTTTTGTAATAGTTTGCCACACAAGCAAAATTATCAAGGGATTGCAACACACACCCCTGCCCCATTTTGTTTTGTTCTTAAGGAAAAATTACATCTAAGCCTCTTAGTTTAAAAAAGGCAAGGAAGGGAAACATGATAGAGATTCAGTACATTTTGCATGTGTGGAGGAATTGGATCAGCCAAACGCTTTTCTCCCTCATTATACTAGAAGCCAGAAGTTACAGAATTCATTTCCTGAATTCAGTTGTATAAGGGATCAGGCCCGAATAGACCATTAGCAGAGTTAGAAAGCTACTGCATAAAAAAGGATAAGAAAAAGCAAAAGGATTAATTTCATCTATGTATAAAAGCATCATTGATAAAGAATATGGTAGTAATATGGGGATTAAGACAGTTTGGGAGACTAATTTAAACATTATCAGAAAATAATGTTAAAAATAGTATATCAGAAAATATCAGAAAAAAAATGGACTAGTCAACCATACAAATTGGTATCATCCAAATCTAAGGAACTGGTATTAAAAGTTGTACTGAGATGGCATTGTGCCTTGTGAAATTGGATAGAATTAATAGAGTGATACCAGAAATGTGCTGGAGTAATTGTGGGTATAGAGGATCATTAGAGCATTTGTAGATAACTTGTCCAAAGGTAGAAGCATTCTAGCATGAAGTAAGTAATTGGTTAGAAAATATAATAAAAGAAAAAAATAATTTTAAATGAAGCTCTATTACTTTTATTATTGATGGGTGGAAATGAAAATTTAATGAAAAGTTTGTGGCAATACTTAGAGGAGCAGCCCGGAATGAAATTGCCCAAAGCTGGAAATATGCTCAAGACTTCTCCTTGCAAAGGTTTCTGAACAGTATATGGATGGTCACATTGATGGAGAAATTGACTCATCGGGTTAGACTATATAGAGGAGAAATAAAACAAGATAATTTTATGAAAATATGGCATCCACTATTTGTCTGTGACAGGGACTCAGACAGTACAAAAGACAAAGTGGGAATGCTGGTCAGCTTATGCTTTGGAAGCTATTGTGTGTATATAAGATGATATTGTGTGTAATAAGATGAATATTGGATTGTATTATAATGTAAACAGTTTAACTTTGTGATTTTTTAGGATTGTCAGTAAAAGAAGGAAAAAATAAAGATGTACTGATGGCCACCAGTTTGATGACTTTAAAAGGGGAGTGGAGAAATTCTTGGAGAATTATTGGCTAATGATAGCTATTAGTCCTCATGGTTATTTGCTACCTCCAGTATCAGGAGCAGGATGCCAACGTACGCTGGTTACTGGGAAACATGGGAGGGTGCTCTTGCGCTTGTATCCTACTTATGAGTCTCCCACAGACTGTTGGCTGCCCATTATGTGAACAGAATTGATCTAGCATGGTGCTTTTAGAGTAGCAGCTCTGTAAAGGCTGTTGAAACACATACAGTATGCCCCTGTGAAGTCACGGTTCAGCGTTAGTGGCCTCAGTCTTTCACGGAATTTTCCTTGGAACCAAACTAATGTTTGTGGAAACCCCACAATTTTGTGGAAACCGCTGATTGGCTGCTGCCCTGTGACACATCTCCAGTGTTCGCTGAATATTCTCCGTTTTGTTCTTCTTGAAACCCGCAGATGCCACCCAAATGCCCTGCACCTTCTAAGGCTTTTGGCAATGAACCTAAGTGCCAGAAGAAGTTTAAAACACTCCAGGAGAAAGTTGAACTACTGGATTTGCTCTGGGAACTAAAAAGTTATGCCGCAGTAGCACGCCATTATGGCGTCAATGAAAGCACCCATACATTTTACTATATTTTTATTAAATTACATTATTACTGTATTTACCCTACTTATACCAAAGAAAATGACAGCAAAAGACATATTTAGGATTTAAACTATAAAAATAGGCATTTTTTATGACATTCAAAATTCACGGTTTTTCACAATCCACGGTGCTTTAGGAACGCAACCCCCGCAAATTTCGGGGGAGTACTGTATAGCAGTCTTGTGGCCTGTTAGAGGCTAGCAAAATTACCAGTCATGCAATATTTTATGTGCTAGAGCCAACTTACCAGATATAATATTGCCATTATGCTTCAGAGCAGGGGCGGCCAAACACACTCACAAACCACATGCACCTCTTTGATTTCATTTGCAACTCGCAAAGGGCCCAGAACCCCCTGTCCCTCCCCCGTCCAGAGCCCAGTGATGGCATGGGCATGATTGTGGTGAGCTCTCGCAAGGCCACCAATCTGACTTTAAAAAGCCAACTCTTGAAAGAGTTGTCTTGACCCCCTTCCAGAATGTGGAAATAATGGGAACCAGTTGCAGCTCCAAAGAGAACTTTTGTAGTTTATGTGACAGTCCTTGAAGATGGCTCTCCAGTTGCTGCTTGTCTCTTCTGCAGCTCCTTCAAAGACATGGCCTTCACAAAGAATTTTCAGCACTTCTCACTACACTGTAAATGCCAGAATTCTATCTGTGGCAAGTTTTTTTTTAAAGTGCTATTTTTGATTAATATGATATTTGCTTTGAGTAGTTCTTGTTTCTAAGGTCCATTTCGCTGGGAAGGGCATCCAGGTGTTCCAGGTGTCTATGTGTCTTATCATGCTCATTCAAATATCTTACACGGATGAGTAAGAACACACTTTCATAAACTCAAAATAATAATATTAAATCTTTGCTCATGTAGAAACTGGACAGCCATCTGAGTGGGATGGTGTGAGTAGGTGTTCTGCAACAGCAGGGGGTTGGCCCCAATGGCCTTAACGGCTCCTTCCAACTACTATGATTCTGTCTGAAACATCTGACATTTACCATATGTGGTTCTTCTGTTGAACAAGTCTGGCCCCCCCAGCTTTAGCGTGTCAGAAGACTCTAGTCCCTCTCCTCCCATTGTTAACCAAATGGGCCATGTCCTGGTGTGTGTATGCCCAAAAAGTACAACAGGGGAAGGCTTTCTTTTTTAGTTTTATTGTCAAGAAAGCACAGCTGCCAACAAATCATTCCGGTATGGCAAATGCCGAACATTTCTCAGGATACCTTTTTATACATTAGTCCATTAAAGGGTTACCTGTTAACACAATTAATGATTTCTAATAGGTTACAAAGGTAAAAGTTACAATGGCATGATCTGCATACCAAAACTGAAAGATATTCTCAAGGAGGGGAGGTGGTGCCTCTGAAGGAAAGGAAGATGGGGTGTCATTCTGGAGACGAGAGCAGAGCAATGTGTGAATTGCTCTTTGTGTTGGTGTTCTCTATCCAGTGTCAACTGGCCCTCTTTAGAATGGTGCCCACTTAGTTTCAGCTACATTTCAAGGAGAGACACATGCAGTTTAAGAAAAAGCAGAGCTTTCTTTCGCCTTTTGAAAGTGATTGCATGATCTTTAAACTTCTTGATTTGCCCATCACCTTCACATCAATGCTTTTATTTGTTTTAGTGCATTTTGTCTAGCTTGTCCTGTATAAAATATCCAAGAAAGGATCTTTCAAATTATCTTTACTAGCAATAAAAAGAACTTTTCAATAGGTTACAGAAGCAAACATTTACAATGGTGTGATCTTCCCCACTTGCATACCAAAGAAGATGCTGGGGGGGGGGGTGCTGCTATTACATAGGAGGAGAATGGGGTGGGCTCGTGTGAATTGCCCTTTGTTGGAGCCGCTGTTAGCTGTCAAGTGCCAACTAGCTTTCTCTGGACTGGTGCCTGGTTAGTGTCAGTTACATTTCAAGGATGCACATGCTGTTTTCTAGAACAGAGGGTTTTTCTCTGTCCCAGTTATGTGCCAATGATTGCCTGATTTCATAACTGTGTAAGTTATACCTTTTAATTTGTGCACCAAAGCTGAGATTAACAGATAACAGCCCGAACAAAGGGTAATCCACAACATGCCACTCGCTCCTCTTCCTTAGAATAACACCTGTCAGAATCCCAGAATCTCGATTTGAGAAGAGGAAATAAAACTTGGGTTCATGGGAAAGATCAAGTGTCCAGACCATCTGAGGCTTTATTGTACTACCCAGGTTCCCCGCAGGTCCATACTCACGGTAATGGATTACCCGGCAGGCAGAAGTGAACTGCTGCTGCAAAGCTTAAATACCATTACAGGGCATTTATACCCTCCCAGGTACAGGGCAATTGATGACAGAATGCAGACTTTACAATAAGGTTCTGAGGTCATCACATACAGAACAGATAAAGGAATGTCAGTCAATCATACAGAGACAATGAGATTACAATATTTCTAATTGCAGTGTATTGACACTTTAGTTGAGTAACTTGAACCCATCTCCAGGTCTGCTTAGACATGTAAATTCAAGCTACTGAGAAACTATGAACTCAGACCCTTATCCAGACTCCAGACATTCTGAATGACCAGGGCACATGAAGCCCTCTGGGCTAGGAAGATACTTCCTTGTAAACTGTGAATTCCAACAATGATTATTTAACAATTGGGAAGGTATATAATGCATATTTGGACTGAGTGGCCTGTCTACTGTAGCTTACCGCTAAGGTGAGAAAAAGGAGCAGGAGAGGAATGCCATTTTAAACAGGATTTGATCCCCCAATGCAAAAACACACAGAAGTAATGCTTTTCTGACAGAATTTATCCAAATTTTCCCAACACACCCCATCCTCCTCCCCTCCTTGGAAGTATCTTATTTCTCTTCAGAATGCAGGCCAGGAAGATCATGTAACTTTTTACTTCTATAACCTACTGAAACATGTTAACCGTGTTACCTGTAACCCTGATCAATATATAAAAGGACCAACTGAGGGCTGCTCAGGTGCACCATCTGGAATGATTCTTTGGTAGCCGGTTATTCTCTAGAATAACTCTTTTAAAAGAAAACCTTCCCCTGTTGTATATTTTGGGCATACGCACACCAGGACAGGGACCTTTTGATCAACGCACATGCCGATTTCTAGAAAAGTGGGTTTTTCTCTGGGCTAGTTATGCGTCGATAATTGCATGATTATACCTGTGTAGGTTATACCTATTGATCGGTACATCATAGAAATCAAAATTAAAAGTCCCCTTGCTGGTCTTGTATTCATAAAAAGCCATTCTTATTAATCCACCTCTTTGGCATATACAATATACTCCAGCCGTTGCCCAGGGCCACGTCAAAGTAACGTCTGTTGAGGGGATTTGAATGCAGTGGGGGGGAGGGGCAAGCCGTTGCCAAGGAGTTGCTGAGCAACCCCTGGGGGCGGGGAGAGGGCGGCGCTCCCGCGGCGTTGTAACCGCCCCGGAATGCTGCGCGCGCTGCCGACGGGCGGGGCTCGCGCATGAGCCTTCCCGTATTTCTCTTGCGGCGGTCGGGAGGTAAGCGGCGGTCTTAGAGGGGTGCTTTGGGTGGGGATGGGGGAGCGATTAAGATTAAGGGAGCCGCCCGTTGCAAAGGAGGTGCGGTGGGGGTGGGGAGAGGGGAAGGAGATGATTTTGGAGGAAGGTTATTTTGGGGCTAGTGAGGGGGAAAGGAGAGAAAGGAAAGGGGCAGAAGCTGCTTTAAGGGCGCTGTAAATGCGGGAGAGAAAATAGCCGGCAGCGGGAGTCGCGGAGCGATGGACCGCCTTGCAGGCGAGAGGCAGCAACGAGCTTAGTCATCAGAGTAGTGGACTAACCAGTTTGGTGGTGTCAGTGCCGTGCAAGGTGTTGATAGGTGTTTTCCCTTGGCAGAGCTGCCGGGATGCTCGAACTGCGACCTTATGGGCAGAAGTTGAACAGGGCAAGATTTAGCCATCCTTGGCAGTGCATAGCAACGGTGGGAGAGGAGATGTGCTGTGTGAAACACTTGCTCGACTGGCAGACGTTTAACGGCTCCTCTCCTTTGTACCCTGCCTCCCCCATCCCATCACTGTATTGCTCTGCTGGGTAAAACTTCATCTGTTGAGTTTCTGCCTGTCATGTTGGCTGCTTAAAGGTGCAGAAGCTCAAACAGGAAAACATTTAGCTGCCCTTAGCAAGACATACAGGGCAGTGGAGGTGAGGAGATGTGCTGTATGAAACAGCTGCACAACTAATAGACTTTCAAAAGCTTTTTATCCCATCTATACCTCCACTGTGTTTCTGTACTGGGGTAGAGCTTCACCTGTTGAGTCTTGCCCTAGCATATTGTTTGTTAAGGGTGTGGGAAGTGCAAGCCCCTCAGAGTCAAGACCAGTCTCTTGACTGTACAGCACAAGTAGGCAGAAGTTGACAACTAGACATTTGGGATGTCAACTCCCAGTATTCCTGAATATTAGTCATGCTGACAGGAAGCTTCTGGGAATTGAAATTTAGCTTCTGCCCCTGTTCTAAAGCACTGTGATTGTGGTGTATAAATATGTTTGGGTTGAAATAATTATAAGGACCTAGAAAGTGGAAAAAAAAAACCTGGCATGGGCAAAAACAGAGCTTGAAATCTTGCTGGGGAGAAGAGAATAAGCAGGGAATTATTTTTAAATAAAAGCAGGGATTAGGTTTCAAATTTAAACTTTCATGGTGAAAGGTACTAGGGTAGACTTTGTTTAGGAAGATCAGTGCTGCTATGAGCTGACCTGAAAGCTAAAAATGGAAGTTTCAGGGGAGTCCTGGAATGATTTGTTGAAGCAGCAAAAGGAACAGGGTTGGGCTTTCATGTATAGCGGTAATGTAGGCCTGAACTAACAGTTGTAATACCTGTAATCAGATACCTTAAGATGAGAGATAGGATTGTGGAGTCCACAGAGTTACTGATTGCATCTGATTGCAGATATCTGTGTTAGTCATTAGTGGCCTAAAAGAAAACAAAGAACTACCTTTTGTAATATTTCCATATCTAGATGCTTGATTATTTTCTATACTTTGGGTGGGTGAATATTTACAAGGGGAATCCTGGATTGGGTCAGTGCTCACTGCTAAGCCTTTCTTCTGTCAAAGAAGGTAAGGCAGCCTACATAATCCTCTTCTCCATTTTATCTTCACTAAGAGTCAATGGCCCAAAGTTATCCAGTGAGCTTCACAGCCAAATGGGAACTAGAACCCCGATTACCTGAGTTCCAGTTTCACACTGTAAACAACATGCCACACTAGCCCAGGAGCAGGTTCTTAGAGTTTCAATGTGGGGTAGAGCTGAAATGAGCCCTAGGGTTCAGATCCAGATGAGCCATCTGGCACATATTCCTGAAAATATTGGTGTGATTATGGACAACATGGAAAAGCTGGGAAAATGTGCAGTTTACAATATTACATTTATACTATTTTAATTTTGTGTATGTGTGACCACCACTTCATTACTAAAGGGTCATTTAGTAATTATGACCCTTTAGTAATGGGCTAAGAGTCATTTTTTTAGATACGTTATATAAACTGAAAACAACAAATTTAATTGGAAAGGTTTTTTGCAGTACTCTTGTCAGTAAGGTGCAGTTGGCTTCTCTACCCCACCTCTGGTTAAGTGTGCACATTATAGTGAGGCTGGGTTTCTTGCCATGTAATGTGTGCAATGATCCTTAGTTGATCAGTTCAGTTACTGATGCTTACTCTGCATGCTACTCATTGAATGATTTAGGAGGTGGTAGAATATGCATGCAGGTTGTCTTCATAGTCCCATTATTCTTCTAGTTGCTGCTGTCAGCATAGTCTAAAAGATGCTTTATCTCTCTCCACTCTCCAACAGTGCTTAGCCTCCCAGTGCGGATGAAACTTAATTATATGTACTTAGACCTTTTTCATTATTTCCCTTTTCTCTGGTTCTGGTTTCATATTTGCTTCCATCTGGCATTGCAATATATGGACTGGCAGAATATTAGTTCCTCAGTTATTTCTCTTGGTGCCACCATATTCTTCTGCTTTAGCTTTTTCTAACTATTGACACCTGTACCTCCCCATGGGGACTCAGAGGGAGTGTACCTTGTAGATCCCTTGAGCTATTTTCCATCATAGGTCTGTAATTGCAGGCGTTACCCATATCCCTAACTAGTGTTCAAGTTATTCTCGGAAACATTCTGCACCAAATACAGCTCTGGATGTAACATTCAAAATGCTTCCCACCTGCTTGTTTCAAAAGCTGGGTAACATTAATTTTGGCAGAAAAGATGGAATCAATTAGATTTCACTTGCTAGTTAAAAGACATATTAAACATAATTTGCATTCATTATTTTAGTGAATTATTTCCTTTATTATTGGTATAGCGAAATTAGCCTGTTCAACTGTGTATGCTTATTCTATCTTCCTTAGAACACAAGGAGTTGCAAAGTAATAGTTGTCTTGGTAAAAAATATATTTATGAAATGCAAAAAAGAGCGTATAAACCATAGATTGACTGTTTCTACTTGAACAGAGGCAGTGGCAGGCAAGGAATAAGAAAGCTTCTGTAAAAGCAATCATGGCACACCAGAGATGGAATAATAGCTAGAGGAGGCATTAGCTGTGAGCTTTTGGAAATATAAGTAAAGCAGAAGGAGGAAAATACTGCAATGTCAAAATGGTAAAAATGTTGGGTGGAGGACAGGGTATATCTAAGATTCAGTTTGACATAACATGTACAGGTTTTGCTTTTTAAAGTGAGCTGGAAAAACAGTTTATAAGTATTCTTTATACACTTGTCAGATTTTTGTGCTGTTCTGTAATCTCTGCTCATTTCAGGATACAAATTTTCAGTGTTGATAAGCTCTCATTAAGCTTTCTCTGTGATAATTACAGAATGACTGAAGATTGAACAGACAATGGGCCATATGTACCCTGATCACATTTTGTGCATGGAGAGATGTTTCTTGCTATGGCATCTGAGACTGAAAAGGCCCATGCTCTTCTCCATTCGTTCAGCTCAGCTTCTGTTATTTCAAGCCTAGGATTGGGGATTTTCTGCTTTGTAGCAGATAGACTTCTACAGTTTTCTATCATTCAGCAAAATGACTGGCTGCGGGCACTCTCTGATAACACTGTGCATGGTGTTGTGGGATTGTGGTCTTGGGCAATAGTGATTGGTCTCAAGAAGAAAAGTGACTTTACTGAAGTCATTTTAGCAGGTTTCCTCTCATCTGTGATTGACGTGGATCACTTTGTTCTAGCTGGCTCTCTGTCATTAAAGGTAAGCATAACCTCAGTTTAATAACCTCTTGAATATTTATGTATTTTCAGTTTGAAACTATTACAGATACCAAAAGCAAATGTTTGCAATGACTTTGTAGTTGAAATATGGACAAATTAATTTTATATTAAATTATGGTTTCAAATTTATCTATTTTATTCTGTAGATTTATAAGCTAACCTTATTTGTTATTAAAACTAGCTCTTAAATTAATTGGTGGAGTTAAGATTTAAAGTGTAGACCATCCTAATGTGCCACCCCAGCCATGCCTATCTGGGCTAGAATTGATAAAAAGAACACACAAACCACAATTGGTGACCAAAAATAGAAAACATTTCACATTTAATGTTAAGGTGAAAAGTATTACAACTTTACTAATACAAATAAGAACAGGCAACTTATTCTGTCAGTGCTCAGTCGAAAATCAAGTAGTAAGCCCTTTATATCAGGATCTTGATGTCATTTCCACTTTGGGAGTTGCAGCAAATACGGCATCTGTGCTAAATTTGAAAGGAAGTAACTTGTACCTGTCCAGTGCCAGAGGTAAAGCTACATAATTTCGGTATTACTACAGTTGAGACTTCTTTGCTATACAAGTGTTAAAGAGGAAGGTAAAGGGAAAGATTCACAATTGGGTGGGAGTGGATTTGGCCTCAGAGGATATTTATTGCCCAGTGCCTATCCTGGCATCACCATTGCGTTTTTAAAGGGGTATTCGCAGTTGCAGGTTAAAACTATGAGGGGAATTGGGCACAAAGAATCATTTAAACTGTGAGTAGGTTTTCTTCCTGAAAGCATGAAAAAACCTCAGTAGAGGATCGAGCCTGATAAGATGTATGTTCTCAGACACCAGTCTCTCCATCCTCTATAGTATAGTATACTCAAAGCTGAAGAGAAGGTCCCTTCAGACAAGCTGTAAGTTCCAGCCAGATCAGACCTTACATTTTCATGCTGCTCTTTGCTAACATAATTGAGCAGATTTTTGTGTCTTATTTGGGTTATCAGAATAGTGAGAATTCCTGCTTCAACTTGAAATAATGGTATCAACCATTATGGTATGGGTTAAGAATCATTGCATAAAACTCCACTTCTTACCTGTCCTAAAGAATTTGGGATGTGACTATTTTTTGAACTTCATAATCAATATTAAGAGTTTATGTGTGCTGCAGTGTTGATTTACAATATGGGTAGGCAATCTGGTGTCCTTCTCTGATGTCCTTCCTCCGTAATCCCTGAACATTGAGCATGCTGGATGGAGTTGTTGAGGCCAAAATATTTGGGGCATCCCAGATTGCCTATTCATAATTGACAGGTTCTTCAAAGGATCTTGAAGCCACATGCACATTCATGTTTGAATTATGATCCTCTCTTTACACATCTCAGACAGGCAGTTGCTGCAGAACAGTTATAGCTCAGTGAGTGCTAGAGCCGATTAGGCATTACACCTAGAGCACAAAATTTCTTATCTCTGCAGTAAAGTTGATAACTGTTTTGTCCATTCAAAGTGCGTGATGCCACCACATGGCTGATCTTATGGATCAGTTTCAGTTGCTGTGGACAAGGTGCTTGCAGCTGTGTGGCTAACCACATTGGCTCTCAGTCCTTGCCCTTCCTAGCTAATGAAAACTAGTCCAGAGAATGCAAAATGAAGAGATGGTTCCTGCTGTCCTTAAGGTGGCAGTAGGTGATCATACCTGAAGAAAGCACATCTGGATCCAATGGTACTTGACAACTTTCACCCAGTTGTGAATTCCCCTTTTTTAAGGAAGGTACTTGAGAGCATATGGACATAGCAACTGCAAGTTCTCTTGAAAGATACTGATTATTTATACCCACTCCTTTCTGGATTTTGACCTGGTTAAGAGTCTGATTCAGCCTTGAGCACTATGACCTTTATTGAGAAAGAGGCGAGGGGAGTGTGACCCTTCTCAGTCTTTCATCAGGTTTTGTTACTCTCTGCTGTAGTATCCTGGATTGATTCCATTGCTTGGGCATTGGAGGCACTGTGTTACACTAGTTCTGGTCTTACCTGTTGGGTTGATTTGAGGGAGTAACATTTGGAGACTATTCCTTGGCCCCAGTGTTCAGCATCTATATGAAGCCGCTGGTCATTCAGGGACTTGGAGCCAAATGTCATCAGTATGCTGGTGATAAAAAGCTTGCGCGCGCGCGCGCGCGCGCTCTCTCTCTCTCTCTCTCTCTCTCTCTCTCTCTCTCTCTCTCTCTCTCACTCACACACACACACACACACACACACACACACACAGAGAGAGAGAGAGAGAGAGAGAGAGAGAGAGAGAGAGAGAGAGATCTGAATGAGACTGTTTAGATCAGTGGATATGTCTAGATCAATGATGGGCTGGATGAGTACTGATAACTGAATCTGAATCTAGGCAAGACCCTGTGAGTGAGTGGCTGCTGAGTCTAGAAGATAGATATTTTGCCTGTGCTGGGGTTGAAAGATCAGTTTCTCAGCTTGGAGTTAGTTCTACACCAGCACTGTCACTGGAAGCCCAAATAGCCATGGATGTTAGATTGCCTTTTACCAGTTACAACTGGTACTCAGCTACAGCCTTTCCTGGACAAAGATAGCTTGGACACAGTGGTACATGTATTACGAGAGAGCCTCAAGACTATAGATTACTGCCATGAGCTGTATATGGAGCTTGTTCTTAATGTAGTTCTGGAAGCTGCAACTGGTACAGAATGCAGCAGCTTAACTGTTGCCAGCAGCTGCCCCTTTTCAGCATATATTCCTTTGCTGAGTGAATCGCATTGTCTATTTGCTTTTGCAGCAAGTTTACAGGGGTTTTTTAGTAATATATGAAAGCCTAAAGAACCTGGGACTAGGATACTTAAGAGAGCATCATCTTGCATACCAACCTGTTTGTTCACTGACATCAGAGGTGCTCCAGACTGAGGTCATCAGACAAGCTGCACCCCAAATCCACATGCAGTGGGATCTTCAGTGTAGTTAGTGGCTCCCTCCCTCTGGAAGTCCCTGCCACTGAACATCAGGCAGGACCAACATTGTTTTGTTTCTGGCACATCTTTACTGAGAACTGGCTTGAGAGCTTCAGATATGGGGCAGTAAAGAAGTGAAATAAATAATAATTTATTTCAAAAAACCAATTAACCAGCCACAGTTCTTACCAAATATTCTATTTTTAAAATAACGATTAATATTGCATTTTGTTCTAGTTTTTAATCATCTACTGCTCTAGAATCTTTTTTCATGTCAAGAGGTACATAATTGTTGTAAATAAATAAAGTGTAGGACCCATGTGTTTTGTGCAGAAGTAGTTTGATGAATTCTTCACACAGCGCATACTGGAATTACTTCCACAGAATATAGCAATGGTCACCAACTTGGATAGCTTTAAAGATTAGGCAAGGCTGTTGGTTAGGACTGACGTATGCTGCCTCCACGATCTGAGGCAGTATGCCTCCAAATGCTAGTTAATAGGGAACAGGAAGGTAATATTACATTCAAATCCTACATATGGACTTCAGATAATAACAGAATGCTGAGCTAGATGAGCTTTTGGTCTGATCCAGCAAGGGTCTTCATGAGTTAGGCAAAGTTCCTAAAAGTTTTAAAAAGAAGATCATGTAGCAGGGCTGAGATCCTTGGAGAGTTGCTGCTGCCAGTTGGAGGAGATGGCAGTACCTAATCAACAAATGTATACTCTGCCACATCCAGACACGTTTCTTGGTACTTCCTTCCTCACCTTTCCTTAGAGGTGGTATTCTACAAAGCAAAATGCTGCCTTCTGCTACCATTTTTATCTGGGTTCAAAGTAGTGGATTTGTGTTTTGAAACTCAAACTGCCCCTCTGACTTGTACTCACATTTTGGGCAAATTATTTTAGTCTCACTGGTTTGCCTTCCAGGAAAATGGGTGTCAGTCTATGCCCGCTGGAGCAGCTATTTTTTTTGACCGGAGAAGTATTCCTGCCACCCACCCACAGCAGCCATTTTATCAATCCCTTGCTCATTATGCTTTTCCTAGTATTCTTCAGTGTGCAGTTTTGCTGATCCAGATTTCCTCCCACTGAACACTTGTGTCATGGGCTCACTATGCGAGTGTAACTTTGTGTTCCATCAACATGAGGAGCTTTACTTGCAGTTTTGTTCTTGTTCAGTCAGTGCTGCAGGGACAGAGACCACGTGAACTGGGACAACACTTTTATCCCCTGTGCCCAACACGTGATCAGGCACAGCAAAGATTGCATGCCTCCTCTCCCGGCCCTGCGTTCTGCAGCATTCCAGGGACAGCGCAGGAACACTGAGGTGTCCCTTTAGCCATTGGCTGCAGCTTGACTTTTTAAATAAGATTGCAAAAACCACAATTTAAGGCAACTTTCCCAATCCTATTTGGAGGCATCTGGGAGGTGTTTCCCAAGGATGCCCAGGGATAGGTTGGTGGGGATGCCTGTGATGGTTCAGTGGGCATTTAAATTATTCCCTCCCCCACCCTCCACTTTGCACAGAGCCAGCCTATCAAAGTAGGAAGTCCTGGGAGACCACACACATTGCTGAAAGGGGTTATTGCAGTTAATCCCTGAGTTTCTGTGGGGGAGATATCCTGCCCCAGTCGTCCCCCAAGTGTTGGAAGTGCCTCTCTGCTGCTAGCCTCAAGGCTTGGAAAAAAACCCATGCTTGAATCACAAGCCCTGCTGCCCCTCCCAGGAATGGAGTTTCAACAGGTTTTGCCCATTCCCACTATGTTACCTGCTTGGGGTAAGTGGAAAAATTGAGAGGGCATTTGTGGTTTCCTAAAGTCCCCTTCAACCCTTGGACTGAATTGAGGGGCTCCCCCAAAGCACCCCTATTTTAAAGGTTCTTGACTTTTTTTGCAGGGGGTCTTAGGCCACAGTGGGAAAGGATGAGCAGGCCACAGCTACATGAGCTACCCCAAATTCCTCTCCCCCCATTCTGTTGCAAAGGGTACTTTCCATGCTCCCAAATACACTTTAAAGTTGTCCATTAAAAATAATTTGTTCTAGAACAAATAACAGTGGGTCACAAAATTGCAATATGGCATGGACATAAAGTATTGTCTGAACCTATCACCTTCATAAGTAATTTGGGACACAATCCTGTGCAGGTTCAGATGGGAAAAAATTCCTACAGCCTCTAGCATTCCTTAGCGAGCTGCACTGGAAGTTGTTGCATTTTTTTTTACTTGTTGAAACATGCATAGGATAACATCTTAAAATATGTAAAAACAAAAGTCATAAATTCTTCATTCGTTCTTAGTTTTTTTAACTATAGAACTGCAATTCTGTGTGTGTTTTTTAAAAAGATAATAAAATCAGTGTAGCTTACTCATTGAATTTCATAGCATTTTTGGAAACTGGTTTAGTATTAGCTGGTTTGTGTTGCCTGTTTTTGTGTGTGTTCAAATTAAGAGGAAATAATGCTTATGAAAGGAAAATATCTTAAAATAGCATAGTGACCTAGCTCTAAGAGCATAAGAAAAGCGATGCTGGATCAGAGTGATGGTTCATTTAGTCTAGCATTCTGTTCATCCACAGGCAAACCATCTGCCCATAGTATTCCACACACAGGATATCAGCACAAGTTCACTTCTGCTTAGGTTCCCCACAACTGATGCATGTAGGCACACTCCTGATATACTGGAGGTAGGATACAGCCATCACAGCTAGTAGCTACTGATAGCTTTGTTTTCCACAAATTTGCCCAGTCTGTGTTTTAAAGCTGCCCAAATTGGTGATAATTATTACATTTTGTGGAAGTGGCTTCAATAGTTTAACTATGTCCTGTGCGAAGAAGTACTTATCTGTTCTGAATCTCCCACCACAATCAGCATCTCCTATCACTCAGCTTCTTGGGATGACCCTGGATTCTAGTATCATGAGGAAGGGAGAAAAAGTTCTCACTTTCCAGTTTCTCCACTCCCTGCAAAATTCTGTACACCTCTATCAAAGGGAACACTGTAGACATAATCTACCTAGACATTAGCAGAGCTTTTGACACAGTGCCGCTTGACATTCTGATAAGCAAATTAGCAAAAATTGGACTAGATGGAAAAACTATTAGGTGGATCCAAAATCTGCTGCTAAATCGGACACATCAATGACACCTTCTCAAATTGGATGGCGGTAACTAGTGGGGTGCCACAGGGATCAGTCCTGGGCTCCCAGTGCTCCTCAACATCTTTATTAATGGTTTAGATGAGGAAATCAAAGAAAGATAATCAGATTTGCAGATGATACAAAACTAGGCAGAATAGCAAACACCCTAGAAGACAGAATGAAGATCCAAGGTGGTCCTGATAAACTTGAATACTGGGCTGAAAGCAACAGAATGAGATTCAGTAAGGACAAGTGCCAAATCCTCCACCTAGGAAAAAGAAACCAAATGCATCAATTCAAGAGGGGGAATACATGGCTCAACAGAAATTGTGGATAATAGGTTAAATATGACAATGTGATGCAGCCACCAAAAGGGCATATGCTATTTTGGGATGCATTAACAGAAGTATTCTAAATCATGAGAAGTAGTAGTTCCTCTACTGCTCGCTAGTCAGACCTCATCTGGAATACTGTGTCCAGTTCTAGGAACCAGGATTTAAGAAGGATGCAGGTAAGTTAGATCAAGAGGTCAAGATCTCTTCTTGCTGATGCCAGAGTGTAGGACATGGAATAATCAGTTCAGGTTGCCACAACCCAGATTCAGGCTAGACATCAAGCTTTCTCGCGGTCAGAGCAATACAATAGTGGAACCAGCTGCTTAGAGAGGTGGTGGGCTCTCCCACTCTGGAGACATTAAGAAAGAAGCTGGACAGCCATCTGAGTGGGATGGTGTGAGTTGGTGTCCTGCAACAGCAGCGGGTTGGACCTGATGGCCTTCATGACCCCTTCCAACTCTACTATTTTCTGATTCCATGATCATATCTTCCCCTTCTTGCCTCTTTTCTAAGTTAACAATCTCAGTAATTGTAAACTTTCCTCATAGGGGAATTGCTCCTGTGTCCTTTTCTGCACTTTTTCTAACTCTACAATATCCTTTTTTTAGATAGAGTGACATGAGCTGTACGCAGTATTAAAACTGTGGTAACACTGTATATTTTGATAAGGGTAGTATGATATTGGTAGTTTTACTTTCAGTTTCTTTCCTAATTATATCTAGCATGGAGTTCGCTTTTTTCACAACAGCCTTATAATGGGTTGACATTTTCTTTGGACCACAATCCCAAATTCTCTTTCTTGGTCAGTTATGGCTAGCTAAAATCCCATTGGCTCATACTTGATAGTACGAGGTTTTGCCCCCGTGTGCATCACTGTGTATTTGCATCTGTCATTTCTTCCTATTCTTTCCATTTGAGGAGATCCCCTGTGAGCTCATTACGATCTCTTTCGGTTTTAACCTTCCTGTATAGTTAGGTGCTGTCAGCAAATATAAGACATTTCACTGCTTGCTCCTACACCCAGAGCATTGATGGAATGACTCACAATCAAATTCTGATATTAAAATTGAAGATTCATCATGTTTTGTATAGCACTGAAGAGATTTCTTCTCACCTTTTTCCAATAGGTGGCATGCTTTACTAGGAATATAACTACTTTTACATCTAGGGTTCTTACTTTTTAGATGTTTATTTCTCTCTAAACATGCATCTGGAATAATGTGCTAGAATTAGTGTTTGGTTTGTTGTTTGTGTTTTTAGTGCTTCTTCTGGGTTGTCTGTAATTATTCTTTGAGCGCATATTCATTTTCATACAATCAAAGTGGTAGTTTGATCAAACAGCTGCAAAACTCTGACTAAGGTTGTATCTCAAGGTTTTGTTGAGTGAGGATAGATGGAATTATTACAAAGTTTTTCATAATTCGAGCATTCTAAAGTAGCTTACAAGTGCAATTAAAAACAACCTGACAGTAATTTAAAAACTTAATAAGCATAATAGAAATATTGCTGTCAACCTTGTCTTGCTGTACAGAGGCTGATGTGACCTAGAACCTGAGCTTCAGAAGTAACCAGTCCCATGTAGTGTCCATAGACATAGCATATTGATAATAGCCTTGCTGTCTCTGGCATTTAGTAATGAGTATCAAGTGAAATCCTTGCTCTAATCAGAGATATGGGGATATCTCAGTAGGAATCTAAACCAGTTCTACCTTTGACCTGCAATACTAATAGTGGACTGTGGTGCAGGGCTTTCTAGTCTGCTTGGCCATGAAGCCCACCTAGTGACTTTGGGTCAGTCACTGATGCTCAGCCTTACCTACCTCACAGCATTCATATTAGAGTAAAATAGATAAAAAGACCATGTTGACTGCCTTGGGTTTCTTGCAAGAAAAAAATAGTGGGATATTAATGTAATAATAAACCTATACTAAATTGTAACAGTGAACTGTACTGTTAGTTTGTTATATAGCATGGGAATAAAAGTCACGATAATGTTACTATGTTGTTGTGAACCAGGGTCCCCAACCTTTTTGGGCCCATGGGGACATTTGAGAATTTGAGAAACTACTGTGAGCACATACGGTGGATATACCTATTGTTTAGAATGTGATGTAGTTGTGTCTATTGGACTTTGCAATGCATCCTTAATAAGGGATCATCTAAATCAGCTAGTTTTGGTGGTGCAATACAGCTAATGCTTCTTTAAACATGTTTTGACAACATCAAGTAGTTGCTTCTTTTTGGGAGGAGGTTATTACACAAAAAAGTACTTGAACAGTCTTTAATATTCACTGATTGTGCACTTTTAAAAATCCCTAATCTGCCTTATGAAAATCTACAAGTATAAGAACTTAAAAAAGCCATGCTGGATCAGACCAAAGGTCCTTCTAGTCCAACAAGCTACACACAGTGGCAAACCAGCTGTCCACAGGATCCCTCAAGCAGGATAAATCATAGAATAGTAGGGCCCATGAAGGCCATCAGGTCCAACCCCCTGCTGTTGCAGGACACCAAGTTGCACCATCCCACTCTGGGACAGCTGGATGGCTGTCCAATTTCTTTTTGAATGTCCCTAGTGTGCAAGAGCCCACCACCCGTCTAGGAAGCTGGTTCCCCTGTCGTATTGCTCTGATAGTGAAAAAGTTTTTCCTGATGCCCAGGCTGAATCTGGGTTGTTGCAACATGAATTGATTATTCCACGTCCTACACTTTGGTATCATGAAGAGGGATGTGTGCAAGACTTCCTCCTGCCCAAGCTCCTCAGCAGTTGGTGTATGCAGGCATGCCACCTCTGGTAAAGGAGGTAGTTCGTAACCAGTAAGGCTAGTAGCCACTGACTGATGGAAGGAGAGAGAGACTCTTTGTACCCTTTTGTCTGCCAAAGTAATGCAAGACCTAGAAGTTCAGTGGAACATACCAGATATATTGAAATCTGGTCATGGATAAGTTGGTGCTTATCAACTTGAGTGCTTTTTATGCTAATTGATGATTAAAGGGAATAGATTCTGCTGCCAGATACATGTTTTTACTTGCAATGCAGGTTTACATTGTTTTTTTATTTTACCCAGGCTGCTCTGACTCTTCCACGAAGACCTTTCCTTCACTGTTCTACTGTGATTCCTGTTGTGTGTCTGATGTTGAAATTTATTATGCACCTTTTCAAGCTGAAGGATTCCTGGTGTTTTCTTCCCTGGATGTTGTTTATTTCCTGGACTTCACATCATATTCGAGATGGAATTCGTCATGGCCTGTGGATCTGCCCATTTGGAAAAACTGTTCCCCTGCCTTACTGGCTTTATGTGGCAATCACTGCATCATTACCTCATCTCTGTTCGTTTATTATGTATTTAACAGGAACAAGAGAACTGATGTTGATAAAACATGGGATTCGTATTGATGTCTAAAGATATTATAGTGGGTTGTGTTTGCATCACAGAAATCATTCTCTCATGATTTCTAAGTTAGGCTTAAGGAGATGCCACAGCGCTTTATAGCTTCAGTGGTGAGTCTCTAAAGCCACTGCTGCACAAGGAAAGTGACTTGGTAATGTCTAAGCAATGTCTTTATTAGCATCTCCTTCAGTCCATGCTTTGCTTTGGTTTATTCCACAAATCATAAAGTACGTTTTGAAAAATCAGTAGCTGCTATCTCATCTATCCCTCTCTTTTTGCCAGTCCATGAATCATTCCCCACTTCATAAATTCACGTTTCAGGAAGGAGCTAAAATGTTCCCCTGTTCTCAGCTTCTTGTATATTCTTGGAGCTCAGAAGAGGCTCATAGAACTGAGAACAGAGGCCAGTGTGAGGTGTGGAATGATACTTCCAAGGCATCTGGTGGAAGTGGTATGGATACATATATAATTTATTATGTATTAAAAATATGCCTTAGCTGCTGTTCATGACCGAAGGCATCCTCCATCCCAGTGTAAATTTAATTTAAAACAGTACATAATAGATCAGATAGGATGCAGGAGAGGTCCCTCATCAATCTTCCAACCTTCCTAAATAATTATTAGTGTTTCTTTAACATTCTCCTGCTTCTCTCTCCTATAGGGCCTTTACTCTAGTCACACTCTGTTGTTCATATTTCTGTCTTCTAAGCTTCATCCTGTCTCCATTTAGTTGTCATATGCAGAGCACTGCATATGCTGTAAATAATCAAATATGTAAATAAGCAAAACTGTATATTGTTCAGAAAAATCTAACTACAGTGATCTTGCACTTTATTTAAATTGGGGTCACCAACTGGAGACCCTGCAGCCAAAGCTGCCAACTTGAAGAGAACTGCCTTGGCACCTCATTGCAAAAGTGGTGAGGGAAGCAATTGTGTGCCTGGCAAGCTAATACTGTAACTAGCCAAGTATTTTATTTGCCAGTTGCACAGATCAGATAACTTCTTTGCTTTTTTTTAATGTGGAAGAGTATCTGTTTTCAGAAGTAAGAGATTTCATCTTGTAAAAACATAAAAGGGATGAAACAAAGAACTGACTCTGTCACAATACTGTTTATGGTACAACAATAAAAGCATTTGCTTTAAAGATTTTGCTGGAATTTTAACAAAGTGGAGAATAGTGGGAAGGTGGCTGCAATATGAAGGGTTTGAAGGTTTTCAGTTCAGTCTTACTGAGTTATTTATTTAGAACCTTTACTGAACTTTAATACCCTTCGTGGCTTGCAGAAGAATGTTGAAATGTGCAATTTTATATTATTGCAGTCTGTCAAGCACTGCTGCTGTGCAACCTTGATAAATTGTTTTCTCGCAGCTCTGACAAAAATACAACTGCTTGTAAAATACAAGTCAAGAAAATTGAATTAGTTGGAAATATCTGTGTTTCCCATTGTCAGCAGTTATCCACAAGAGTGCTTTTAAGTTAAATCTACTTTAAACATCTAATTTCCTATTTTTAAAGACTTTTTTAAACAAATGACAAACAAATTCTTCTGAAAAGCTTAGTTGATGATGCTTTTATGGAACAGCTTCTGAAAAAGGAGGACAGTTTTAGAATAATAAGTAGTGCAGATAAAAGTGAAGAGAGGTGTCATTATGCTTTTTTTGTGCATTTTATGGCTGCTTATGCCAGGAGCAGTATGACCAAAACAGAACTAATAAGCTAGGATTTCACTTAGCATCTTATTTCAAGACTTTCCCACATATTACATAGCAGCAAATCCAAGTTTGTGAAACAAGTGTACACTTGTCAGTGAACTCAACTAAGTTTTGCTATTCACTTTAATATACCTGTATGTTATTTGTGTTTACAAACATGACTTTTGCATTTGCATATTCTATTTTAGATGTATGATGAATAGCTTCCACCAAGAAGGAAATACATGGATGAACCTGGAGCAAAATGTAGGCAGGACCATTATGTACAACGGTGGGTTTTCAAGACAAAACTTGATTTCCTGAGACTGCCAGCATGTGAATTGCATGCTGTAAACACTGAAGAGAGCAGTATAGTATTTGCAGGTGCTCTTAGGCTTTTTATAGCATGTGTTACTTCAGTTAAATGCTATCCAGAGAGAAAAGAAGTGCTAGTCAGGTACTGTTTGTTTATATCACTGCAATGTATTTGAAGAGTTGAACTCTGCCCTTCAAGTCTTACAGTTACGTGTCATCTTAAAATGTGAAACCCTCTACTGTATGATGTTCTGGGCACCTATCCTTCCTAAGTAGAAAAAGATAAACTTTAACTGGATTCTTGGAGCTTAGTATTTTTGAAACTTTTCCCTTGCTGTCTTTGAAAATGCCAGTGGTGACAGCTGTTTGCCATGCTAATTCCAACCCCTTTCTTGTAAATTTAGGCACCGTAAGAAGTCTAATTGGAGCTGCTGTCCTCTACAGACTTACCAGGGAGTAATTCTCATTGAATGCAATGTTACTTCTAATAGTTATTCATAAGACTGTCAACTGGCTTTTTAAAAATGATTAAAATAGTATAGTATAGAGAATGTTGCATGCATGAGAATGCAGGTTTGATTCCAGTTGTCTGCACATACCCAGTCTCGAGGTAGAGCACTGGGAAAGCCCTTCACTTTAATACCTTGAACCTTTCTGTCAAATCTAGGAGTGAAAGCTGCAGGAAAGCAAAGATGAATGGATCTCTTTGATTTTTCCACATAGGCTTTATGACTCCATTTAGGTTGCCTCACATTGGTTTTATGCCCTTAGTAGCTTGTAGATGTTATTAAACTGATCATCTTGCCCTCCCAATTAACACTAAAGGCCTTGCTGTAGCCTTAGTGATATCAGAGACACCTCAGACTATGCTGATCTTAAACCCAAATCTGGAAATCCTGGAATCTAGAAAGAGCTGCTGTGGTTACATGTGCTACATCCTTTGCATGCAAAGAGGCACTCTGTGCTGCTACTTATGATGGCAGTTTCATGAGTTTTGGAATTGTATTCAGGGAACACTGAGCTTTCTCAATGAGAAGATGAATATTTGCATACAAGTTCTTCTGGAAAGCAAACTGTACCGCACAATGATAGGAGATTATTTTCTGGTGCTCTGTCAGTTCACACGGGGCAACAGTGAGGTCCAATAAGCCTGGCCAGTTCTGTTCGAACTGACTGTAGAACTAACAGTTCTCCATGAATTGACCTTAGAACATCCCCAGAAGCACAATACAATACACAAGATTTTTTGGCAAACCCATCAGTGGGGAAAGCATTTCCTGATGATAGAAAGGATGAAAATCACTGTATTAGTGATTTGATCTTGGAATATGCCATTTAAATATTGTAATAAATTCAGGCATGAAAGAGCCTTACGCAGACACTACCCATGCCAATGTTTCTTAATGCAGAAATGGTTATTGTTCCATCTGCATGCTATGTATTTGAGAGGCATTAAAGTACAGCCAAATGAGTTCTTAAAAATTGGTTACTATTTCCATATCAGTCTCAGCTATCGTGACCAGTTGTGATGGATTGTAGGAGCTATAGTCCAGAACATTTGGTAGCCTATGTGTGCTGTCATTACTGCCAGCAAGTTCTGTATGAGGGAGATCTGCTACTACCTAAGGATAGGTAAGCCTTAGAGTGACTGCCTCACCTGCCCTTGATACCTGTGTAGATGATTTAAGCTAATACAGTCAAGCCTGGGCTGGAACTTTGATTCCCTGCATTGGATTCCTATTCATATGATTAGTATAAATGATGCGAACTAATACTCAGTTTCAGATGTTTATATTTGCAGACATCATTTCTATGTTAAGTAAGATCCTTATTTGAAGTCTTAACATGATGCCAGCACCTTCATTCATTCTTCCTCCCCCTACTGGGGTTTGTTCACCTATAACAAGCCATCAGTTTAAAATCAGAGGGTTCTTGTTCACAAGCAGAAGAAAGTGGATGTGCTGCTTGTAATGTACTTGCCTCTTCCAATTTTATTCAGCTGTCCACAACTGGCTTCTTAGCAGGTTGCTGATTGTGACATGGATTGCTTAGGGGTTTAGTTTAAATCCAGCAGTCAACCCATGGTCTGTTGTTGAATCATGGGTGGTAGTTTTGTACAAACCTTGAATTGTAGTTTAAGTATGGGTTAACCACAAA